AAAGTATGTATGGTCACGGTTTCGGTTAATCAAAACAGTTATCAATACATAAATAGTGTTATACAAAGTTTTCTATTAGTAGTTATACATTTTTGTTGCGGTTACGGTTGAATTAATCTTAATATACGATGTTAAAATATAGATCGTATATATCTTATATTGAATTTTAGGGGCCTAAGACTCGTACTGCCTGGGATCTAGAACGGATATCTTACTTGACTCCCTGCCGTTCCTTCTTGCTCTTTTTGCTCTTGGAGGCAGGCTTAGCCAGTGTGCGAGGTACGATGTCGTCGAAGGGATTGCTGAGCACCTCGGTGGAAACGATGCGATGGGCGTGCATGGGACGCTCCTGGTGGTCCACGATGCTCTCCTCCAGCTTGAGCATGTTGTAGATGGTGTCGCCGGTGACCTTGCCGAACAGGGTGTTCTTGTTCTGCAACTCCGGCGTGGGTGCAAATGTGAAGAAGAACTGCGAGGCGTTGTCATCCTTGCCAGAATTGGCCATTCCGACGAGGCCACGGCGAGTGTACCGCAGGCGGGAGTGGAACTCATCCTTGAAGGGCTGTCCATAGATGGACTCGCCGCCGGTGCCATCTCCACTTGGGTCGCCGCCCTGGACAATGAATCCCTTGACAAGCCGGTGAAACTCGGTGTTTTTGTAATATCCCTCCAGGCACAGTTGCACAAAGTTCCGGCACGCCTTGGGACACTCCCGCGCCCACAGCTCGATGTCTATGTCGCCCACAGTGGTCTTCAGAAGGACCTTTCCCGACGTGGGCGGCTCCTGGATGTAAATATTGCTCATTTCTCTCACAAAATTATAAACAACCAAAGTGGCATAGTGACCGTAGCGGTGTTGAAAGAAAATACCATACAATTTCAACAGATGGTATATTGAAAAATGCTAAAAGACAGTTAATGGGGATAGAAAAGAAATAACGGTACAACTTATTTTTAAAAGTTTAAAAATTATTTCTTATTTAAAAAAGAAAATATGTAAAATATATCACTGTTAGGTTGAAAAAAAACTTTAATTGAAAATAATAGGAGTACAACTTACTTATTGTTTAAAAACCCCATGTCTAAACTTTATAATTCATGCAAAATCTAAAATCTTAAATTTATTTTTTAATAAATGAATGTTTGTGGTGGTAACATTTCTATATTCGAAATACATCAAACTTTCATTCGCTAACTTTCTGCTTTTGACTTTTTAAATATGTTACTAGGCAACCGTTTTGTTTTCATGTTTATAGTCTTTTACTTTAACTATTTCAACTGTGCGGTTTGATTGATTTAAAAAAATGAATTTCAACGACGACCCACTGGCGGAACTACTCAGCGACAATAGCCTGGATAATGACAACTTTTTCGATTCTCCAGCTGGCGGAGGGGCTAAAAAGCCCCCGAAATTGGCCAAGCCGAAGGGAAAACTGGAGGATTTGTTTGGCATTCAGGAGGAGACGGAGGCGGATGTGCAGGGTCAGGGGTCGGGAGCCAGGAGCAAACCCAATGCCACCAGCACGCCCAGGATTGTGAAGCAGAAGCCCTCCATCTCGCTGGACGATGATCTCGCCGAGGATGACGACCTGGGCTTTGATCCCAAGCGACCCAAGAGCGGGGGCGCCAAGCGGAGCCTCTTCGACGATCTATTGCCCAGCAGTGTGGAGCCCAAGAAGAACATCTTTGATGAGATCCTGGCCGGTGATGCCGGCAAACGTCCTGCCACGGCCAAGCCATCGATGTCCCGCCAATCCACAGATACTACGACGGAGAACTCGCAGGCGAGACCGAAAACCTCGACGGGAAGGAGGAGCTCTGCTCAATCGGCCACCGTTAATGCCGATCCTTTGGGTCTCTTTAACAGGGATACGAATGCCACCGTTTCGGGCATGTCAACGCCCGTTTCCAAGAAGCGGGGCACCACCGCGGATTGGCTGGGCTTGGAGCAGGAGCAGGATCAGCGACCACCCACTCCCAAGCCACAAACACCCAAGAAACAGGTGTCTAGTGAAGGTCCTCCGAAGAGTACAGCCGACATCCTGCGCCTTCCCGACTCCGATGAGAACGATGTGGAGCCGGAAGCCGTAAGAGCAGCTCTTCCCAGCGCTCCATCCGGCGTCACTGCCTCCACCCAGAACATCCTGATGTTGAGCAACCTCAATCTGGAGAGCAATCACAAATTCAATGCCCTGCAGCAGCAGGAGGCGCAACTGGTGATTGCCGCCCAAATGAAGAACCAGGAGAGGACCTTGCTGGAGATGCAGCGGCGCCAGGAGAGCCAGGATCGCAAGTTCCAGGCCTTGATTCAGCAGCAGCTGCAGCGCCAGCAGCAAATGGAGGAGCACATCCAGGGGCAGCAGGAGCGGATCAATATGCACATCCAGCTGATGATGTCGCAGCCAATTCATGTCCAAGAAGTACCACCAGTATCCGCTCCCTTGGAGAAACCGGAACCGGAAACGAAGGAGACCACCACTAAGGCGGCCGCCAGCCAGGAACAGGAGCACTTGCTCCTGCTCGAAGTAGAGGCCAAGCGAAATCTACTGGAGAAACAGCGACTGGATGAGCTGGTGGCCAATATGAAGGTCAACTACGAGCAGGAAATCGAAATGATTGATACCTCGTATAAGTGAGTAATCCTTATTTTCTGCTACGAATGATATAACATAACTTTTAAGTTAAAGTTAAAATAATCAAATCAATCAAGAGTTTAATTTAAAATTAGCTCATCATCTAAGCAACTTTCATTTGTTTATTTATAACTTATTTTTTTAAAAAGATAATTTTTAAAAAGAAGTGAAATTTCAAATAAGCCCTTTGTCTTAAATACTGCAAAGATATACAAATTACAAAAAAAAGATAGCCACATTTTTTAAAACTTTTAAGGTTGTAAAATTTATTGAAATATTTTTATTTTCGTCCATTACTGTTTTTAGTTATTTCAAATATATATTTTCTAATTTTTAAAACCTTTTTAAAAATACTAAACTAAATTATTATAAATTTAAATCAATTAGAAACAATTTTTGATCTTATTTTTTTCACATTAAACAAAGTGCATTCAATTTATTATTACGGTTTAAATATTAAAATTATGAACTCGATAGTCAGATATATAATTTTACTTTTACATTTTTTGTATCGGTTTATTTTTAGAATTTTAAAACTATTTCTCATGATGTTAAGTTCTTTAATTTCTGTTCATACTTCTTGTATATTACCCCTTTCAGAAAGCAACTAAAGGTCTTGGAGGAGCACTTGTCCGCCGTCGAGGATCGCCTCAAAGTGGAGAACACCGAGCTGCGGCAGTACTACAGCGACAAACTGGAGAAACAGAAGCAGGACTACGTGGAGCAGATCTCCAACTTGCGGCAGGATCACGAGGACGAGGTGCGCAAGCTGCGTCAGTCCCACGAACAGGACCTCGAGGGGATTCGCCAGGCCAAAGTGCTGGAGTTCTCGGCGGTGCAGGATCATGGCAACTATCTGGAGACCCTGCGTCTGGCATCCAGCAATCTTCAAGAGCTTCGGGACGAGATGACCGGCAGCCAGGAGAAGGAACGTCAGTTGGAGGCACGGGAACGACGACTGGCCGACCAGGAGAGGCGTTTGAAAATCAACGAGGAGACGGCCGACGAGGAGAAGCGGCGCCTCATGGAGCTGGTCAGCACGTTGGAGCTGCAACTGGGCCGCCTGTCCAAGGACTCAGCCGAGGAGAACTGGCAGCTGCGTCAGCGAATGTCCAGTTTGGAGGCGGAGCGCAAGGCATTCGAGCGCGAAAAGGACTTCCATCGCGAGCAAATGCAGCGGGATGAGAAGCGGGTGGAGGAGCTGAAATCCCTGCAGCTGGCGGAGACCGAACGACTGCACCACGATCTCCAGCAGGAGCGCAATCAACTGGCAGTGGAACGCCAGCAAATGGAACTGAGGCAGCAACTGCACGAGCATGGCGACACGGACAAGGATCGCCGGGAGCTAGAGGCCCAACTGCAGGTGGCCCGCGAGGCCATTCGGCGGGCGGATGAGGAGCGGGATCGCTGCCACAAGCTGCAGCGCGAATTGGAGCAGCGCAAGCGCCTCCTTCTGGACAAGGAGAATGCCCTGAATCTCAAGGAGGACGAACTGGGCCAGGCCACCGGTGCCTATCGCCTGGCCACCAGTCGCACCCACATGGCCGAGCACAAGGCTCGCGAGGCGGACCAGCTGCTCCAGGCCAAGCTCAAGATTATGGGCAAGCGGGCCCAAGAGCTGGGCGAGAAGGAGGCCCAGTTGGCCCAGGAACGAATGCTCCTGGCGCAGGATCGTATCGCCCTGGTTAATCTCAAAAAGCAGATCCTACGCAGCCGGTGTGCCCTCTGCAAAATGGGTGCAGAGTCCGCGGAACTGGCCTTACGAAGGGGTAATCCCCTGACCACCACCGATCTCCCACTGACCCAAATGCCTCCCAGCAATGCGGAGCTCCTGCTCAAAATGTCCACTCAAGAACCAGGACAGGTGCAGAGCGACATTGTGGATCGAATGCTGGACGAGAACATCGAGGCATCCTATCGCAGGATGTATAATGCTCCACCTGGTAGTTCCCAGGACGATGTCGACTATGGAGGACGACTGGACCTGGACGATGACTCCAAGGTGGCATTGGATCACGGCAGGAACCTCGATCTGGATGAGCAATTTTTCGCCAACTATAAATAGGAACTTATTAAGGAGTGCAAACATTTAAAGGATTTCTGTTACGAAACAGAAATAAAGGACTCAATTATTCAAACTTATTTATATAAATCAAATAAAACTAAACACAAGCAGGGCAAATATTTTTAAATCAGTTTCAAAAACGGTTCCATTAAATTGAATTAAAAAACTAAAAAGGAATTCGGCTAAATATTTATCTGAGACTCAAACCAGTAATGTTAATCGATAGTTGCTACATCGATATATATACCAATGTATATAGACATCGGCATTGGCTCCACCTCTATTGCTTGTTGCATTCCGTTTTGCTTGAGTTCGTATTGTTCGTGTGTTCTTGCACACAAAAAAACAGATTTTTGATGTAACAAAACCAATATGTAAATAGTATGTGATAGTGCAAGAGCATAAACTTAAATAAAACCAATTAATGTATGTCGCGTCTTGTATATTTCGTGTTTTTTCACTGTTTTTTGATCGTGTGTGTGTGTTTGTTCGTGTTAGTCCCGCATGTGTGTGTGGGTGTAGGTGTGTAGGAGGAGATTCACCTCCCCTTCCAAAAAATAAAGCATTCGGAAAGTTTAAAGCATAATTATAACTTACAAGTTAAGAAAACTAGTGAAAAGAAAAGATTTCACCGGTTGGACTGAATTCATAACCTAACCCAGCGTATTGACCAAGTTAACAACGGAACTGAAAAAAAACCAGTGGAGGTGACACCTCAAAAAGCGAGTAAGTTGGCAATTTGCGAATGAGAATCCCAAAGAGGAATTCAAGTCTGCATATTAATGACAATCTCCATTATCATCGGTTTTTGCTTTCGCCCTCCACCGAAATTCAATGTTTTAAAATTTCACTTTCCTTGCTGTTGAATAAATTGGCAATCAATTGAGTTGATTGCTGTTTATGAGTAGTTATAACTTATATTTGTTGTAATCTATTGATTTACCTTAACCTTTGCGGTAAATGTTTCTCTCTCGCGCTCTCTTACTTTATTTTTACTCTCCCTTGCCGGTTGGCATTTTGTTGTCTTCTATCCCTCTCCTCTCGCCACACGCACACAACCTTTGTGGGTGTGTTTATGGCGAACAGCTGTTTCCTATCTGCATACGAGAATTGTGTTTCAATGGGAATAAAATCAGAACGCTCTACTTGCAGATAAATACATACAATATATATATACTGGCAGCATTCATTCACGCAAATTGATGTCCCCTCTATTGTTTGTATTTATTTATTTATTTACAATTGCGCGCTGAATTGCGGCATTTTGCGCCATTCGGATGTATCGCAATCACAAATTTGGAGCACATGCAATGTTTATTTTTGCATACATATGGTTGTGCTATGTACATTGTTTATATCTGAACAGAATAGGAAACTTTTGAGTTTGTTTCTTATCATTCTTCCCCAATAAATAAACATTATATATCTTCGTCTTTCCGGGCGAAAAACTTTTCAGAATTAAACTAAAAAGTTTTTAAAAAGTATAGAAAACAACACGACGTATAAGTTAATAACAAATACACTTAAAAACGTGGACAGCAACTACAAATTAAGTTCTCTTTTACATTTTTTATAACAATAATGCTAAATCAGATCGTTCAAGGCAGGGCCAAAACAAAATTATTGATTTGGTTCAGGAGATATTGGCGGTGACGTTAAACTTGTTGAACTATCTGTTTTTGCCTGCCTGAATCATCCGATCGGTGTCTTTATAAAAACCAAACGAATGGCACCACCACTCTTTCCAAAAAAGGTGGTACCCCACCTAATTGTTTCTCACCTGTTTTTTGGCCACATACTCTTACCACTGCAATTTACACATCATAATCATTTTTATCGCCGCCTGTTTGTTATCGCAGAGATAAGCGAGTCGAAAAAGCAACCGCCTTTGTTCGCCGAGAGAATAACAAATAAGCATTGCAAGGGACAATACAGAAAAATCGAAACAAAATTTGAAAATAGCTCACTTTCTGTTCTGGTCTCTATTCGCAGTTCAACGGACCGAACGCTTCAGAGGGGATAATGTCAAACCAGGCGCAGATCGACTACGACCAGCAGTTCCAGGATGACCTGGCCAAAGCGACCGCATTGAGTCTGGAGCAGCAGGCCCTCGACGATTATCGGCGGAACAAGAAGTACGGCTCCGGCTCTGGCTACCAGCAAAGCAGCTCCCTAGCTGGCCGGGATTACCAGACGGCGCAGCGTAGTCAGAGCATTCACCAAGCTCGACGGCACTCGGAAGTTCATCAGGTGGCAGTCAGTCCGGGAAATGTGGAACGTTCGCGTACGCCGCCGGCTCAGGGATCGGATAACGACCTGATTTGCTTTGCAAGTCCCACCAGCAAGCAGCCGGAGAGTAGCACCCCCTTTGGCAAACTGATTGAGGATCTGCAGCGTATGCAACCGACCAATCCGCAGTCGGCTCTCGTGCCCATGGGACCAGTTGCAGCGGGTTCGCTTCCGGCTCATTACGGCTATCCTCCTCACCAGCAACAGTCGGTCCCAGTCCAACCCCCTTCGTATGGCATGGTGGCAGCAGCAGGAGGAGCAGGAGCAGGAGCAGGACCATATGGTGAAATGCAGTTGGTCCCTTACCAACCCGCTGTCCAACAGCAGAGGCCACTGAACAACGAGGAGCTCCAGCGGCTGTATAGCATGCCCACCCAAATGGCCGTGGCTCCGGTGCCGCAACCCAGCGCCTATTTGTATTATCCGGGAGCAGTGGTTTCGCCTTACACAGCGCCGATAGTTCCCGGATCGGCTGCCTTTATGCCGCCGCATTATCCTGCACAGGGATACGGGTTTGGAGGTGCCTACACACACATGGATTTGCGGCGACCTCAATCGCAACCAGCTCCTGTAGCACCGCCAACAAGTCATCACAGCCAACCGTCCAATCATTCCGTTCCTTCCTCCTCGGTGGAGGCCAATGGAGTAGCCTTCCCGGCGCGCCGTCAAGTGCTCTCGACTGGGAGTGTCAGCTCCAGTAGTCACATTGGCAACAATTCGAATGGCCCACGCAGGGGAAACGACTTGATAGACCTCAACCAGGAGGATTAGTAAGTATCACTGTTGCCCTTAAATCATTGAGCTTCTGTTTTCAACATATATCTATTTAATATTTTAGCTCCCGTGTGAGTGTGCTGGAGGCATTCGATCCCCTGCTGAACGACAATACTGGTAAGCAACCCCAATGTTGTAATTAACGTGTAGCTCCCGGACCCACGTCAAGATTCCCATAGACTTTTCGCACCGTAAACAAAGATTGAAATATAGTATGAAACTCGTAAGATGTGATTTTTTGCTAGAGAACTGTTTTACCTGCAATTGAAACCAATTGGCCTAATAATATTCATCTGATAATCTTTGTTTTCTTTTTTTCGTATTTCCCCTTATATCTCAGATATGGGGAAAACACTTGTTTTGAATTAAAAGAGAAACTGGGTTGATTAATTACTCGATTTATTACTTACTAATTACTAACATTATTATTTCAAAATAAATTTCTGAGGCTTTATCGTTGTAGCGTTATTAAAGATGGTCCCTAGACTTTTCCAGTAGAATGTCGTTGCTCGCCTTTAGTTAAGAATTAAACTGAATGTTTTCGTTTCTCTATATTGCAGTGTCGAAAAAGTAATCCATTTTTGTTGCAAGTCCTCTACTACTATCAGTACTACTACTACCAAAACTGCAAAAACAACTACCTTACAAACACAACAACTACACCATCTAAAGGGTTTCGGGTCGGTTTGGTTCGTTTCGGAAGCAAAGACCAATTAGTGTCCATAGCAGCACGTATTTAGAACCACCTACTTACACACAAAAATACTAATGTATAATATATATGTGCCCTCATGTTGAAATTGGTGCCTTCCGCTATCACCGGAACAATTTTGAAGACAGCTTGTAAATCGATGTCCAAAATATCGTATAATAATGGTGCATAGCGTTAGAAGATTTATATGTTATGGCGCTTATATGTAACTATCTAACCGTACTGAACTTTTCAAAATTTAAAAGAATTTAAAGACTATCATTTGGATGAAAAGTGATCAAATGAGAAGATTTTGTCTCTTCATTTTTATAACCATGTATTACGAAATGAACAAATTGTGATTTGCTGCTACATATATCCATTATTAACCATATATATACAAAAATAAATACATACATATGTTTAATTCTATCGTGTATTATTGTGAGAGAACAAATAAAAAATTTCTTTAACAAAGTATAGTCTGTTGTTGTTTTATTGCCGCTTGTTTTTAACTCCCGCTTAGCAGATTTTAAATTGCCGCTTTACTAAAAAATATTTGACGTTACACTTTAAATTTAAAAGCTTTTTGAGCATATGTATGTATTTATTTATTACATTCAAAGGAGTTTGGGAAAGGGAACTAACTTTACGCGTTTAATTGTATTTAAGTTGTTGCACTTTAGGGAAATTACTTACAAATTAACAATTTTCCAGACTTTGGAAAGTTTAAAAAAGCATTTTCCTAGTGATAAGAACCAGATGTTTTTTCAATGGTTCTCAAACTGACAAGGTCTTTAGAGAATCTTAACCTTTAGTGGTAAATTAAACAGATGTAAGGGAACTAGAGGCGACACAGATTGAGAACGAATATAAACAATGCGATTTAAAAATACACACATGGCTACAGTGAATAAAAGTTTGTTGGTTTGGTGGATTTATTACAAGAAATCAACTAAAATAGTAGCATATAATTATGCCATGCTTTTCAATAGAAAACTTATAAATAGAGAAACAATTTTTTTTAATTTATATAAAACTTATTTAACTTGAGGCCTACTACTTTTTTTTTAAGACTCGTGTATTTCTAAAATCTAGTTTCTAATTGTAATGTCAAAATTATATTTTTTAGAATATTATCAAAAGTCAGATCTCTGGTTTTTTACATCTAAATTTTTTTATAAATTCATTAAACCAATTATCTATGTTCCACTGTACTGGTGCAGCGTGGGCGACGTTTGACAGCAATCACAATTAGCTATTAGCGATGGCAGCCGCCTCGCGGTTCGGCGGATCTGTTAGCGTAGATTTGCGAAGCATTCTCGCTTTGGCAGTGGTGTCCACTCTAGTCTGGCCGATCCACCTCGCTGTGCTTGGGCTTTTGGGGCCGTCTCTTTTATTTTTGGACACACACACACACATGTGATGTGCCCGGATTGTCGCCGTAGTAGGCCTCGGGTGTCGAGCATATTTGCATAACTACTGGCGCTATTCGGACTGGGGTCTGGCAACTGGATTTGAACCGGAACTGATCATGCACTCGCTACTTGCAGGAAACGACAGCGCCTCCGACAGCACCTCCTACTATGCGGAATACGATCCCTTTGACTTCCTGTACAGCGGTGATGCGGGCACCCAATACTCGGATCCCATGTACGAGGCCGTCAACAGGTGGGACAAAAGTGCGGCCACCGTGAGTCCGAGTGTGGGCCTGATTGGCTGGCGGCAAGATTTTCTAACGCAGCCATCAACATCGTCATCGTACCTTGGTCAAGCACCACCGGAGGAGAGTGTGAAGCTGTCCGAGAACGGATCGGGAAGTATCTCCCCGCCTCCACCGTTGCCGCCAAGGAACCAGCAGCTCTACGAATCCAACCAGGCACCCGTTCCGGCTACGAAATCTCATCAGCCGCCTACTCTGTTGACAGACAGCTACACCTCCAGCATTCCGGCCAATGTGGTGCTGGATCGCCGGAAAACCTGTACGCGTCTGTACGAGGTGATCAGCGAGCAGCGCACAGATGATCCCGAGCTGCTGGAGTTCTACCACATGGTTAAGGAGATCAGGGCACGCTATCCGCACGACGATGCGACCACCAACGTTGGCCATGTGGTGGCTGCCGAGTTCAATTACCACTACATGATGGACACCAGCATCAAGGTAATCGTGCATCCGGCTCTGAACACCCTGCAATCGCACGTTTTGGCCGCCTCGATGGCCAAGGAGCAGGTGAAAGGGTATGGAATGCCTGTTACCTTCACCTGTGACAGTAAGTCTTAAAGTTAAAGTGTCTTGAGATCCCTCTAATGTTTTTAATCTCGTCCAACAGTTGACTCAGTTGTGGCTCAGGTGGTGGCCCAAGCCGTGGCCTCGTTGGAGGGTCAGGTGAAAAGCACCGCCACAGATTATGTGGTCAAGGTTGGTATGCTTTAATCGTTATAGAATTTAAGAAATTATTAAAATTTCTAAATCTAGTTCTACTAAATTAGATTTCCTTGGTATAAAGCTTTTGATTATTAAAAGGATTTAGGATTTAAAGAAATACAAATTTAACAAGTATTTAAAAAGGTTTTAAAATTATAACTTAGCAGAAACGTTTTTGGTATTCTGTTTGGTTTCATTTTCGATATTATGTTTTCGCAGAAAAGAAGATTGTCATTAAAGTCTAAAAATGTAGACATGATTTTACAAAAATATTTATTTATAAATGGTATAATTATTATTATAGCCCATTGGTCTACTGGAGTGGCTGGCACCCACCTCGAAACTCAGTCAGTTGGAGTGCGTGCACAACAGCTTCCAGTTGGAGAAGGATGTGCACCTGGGCCTGTGCCTCAGTACGACGGTCAACATGCAGGCAATTGCAAGAACTGAGTGGGATGATGAGCACGATTCGGACCTGATGCCGGAGCAGCTGCTGCCCAACGAGGTGGTGCCGATTGTGACCTACGACAACATGATGATACTCATCGAGACACTCGAGATGGAGATCGACAAGCTGGAGTCGGCGGCCGACGGAGTGCCCGGACGCAGTGTGGTCAGCTGCTCCGGTGTGGTGCAGGCGGTGAAGGCCATTTGCGCCCTGCTCGGCTCCATCGATACGCTGGAAATTGCACGATGTGTGCACGATCTGAAGCGCATCTGCGAGGTGGAGCAAAAGAAGTTCTCGACGGGGGCCAGCAATCCGGAGATTGTCAGTGACTACGGTGACTATGCCCAAGTCGTCCTCCGTCCGCGTTCGATGCTCGAGCAGATCAAGGTTAAGTGCAATGAGCTGCGCGATGCCGTGCAAGAGCTGGTTGAGCTCTATGCGAATGTGTTCCGGGTGGCGTTCTCCGTACGGACTCCAGATTACTCCACAAGTAAGCTATCTGTTTTTTTTATAAGTCTAAAATCTAATCAACCCTACTGTTATAGCTCCCATACCCATCTCCTGTGTGTCCAAGCCCATTGTGGTCAGCATTAACTGTCTGCACAGGCCGCCGCCCAACTGGAAGTACGAGGATTATTCACTTTGTGTGCAGATAGTGTATGGAACGCGGCTGCTGTCCAAGCCAAATGTGCTAACCTGCTCCAACGACACCAGTGGTGGCCTTTTCCCACGCCTCAACTTCAGTGCCTGGCTGACCTTCGATCAGCATCCCATTTGCACTCTGCCCAGAGAAGCGCGGCTCACTTTTGTGCTGTACGGCAAACAGGCGGCCAGCGAAGGCGAACCCAATGCGGAACAGAATGGCGAGCGGCGTCAGGTGACCACCGAGTTGGGTTGGTGTTCCATCCAACTGTTCGACTTCAAACGTGTCATGATCTGCGGCCCCTACTTGCTGTCCTTGTGGCCCCCAACGACGGATAAAATGCTGGGACCAGCTCCGGCGCGCGGTTGTCATCCGCATCCCGACTTTTGCCCTGTTCTGAGCGTTGAGGTGCCACCGTATGGAGGCCGCATTGAGTTCCCTGAGCACCAGGAGGTGCCCAAGCCTGCGCCACAGTAAGTGGTGGATCTTAAAGGAATGATCAAAGTCTTATTTTTCTTTCTTTTTCCTCCCCCCAGTTATGACTTTGCTTCGCTGGATGCCAACCTGCAGGAGGAGCTGCTGGACACCGCTGAACTGGGTTACACGGGAGCCACAGAGCGACGGGAGGTGTTCTGGGAGAAGCGTTTGTATCTGCAGAACTATCCCAACGCGCTGCCCAAGGTCTTGCATGCCGCTCACAGTTGGGACTATGCCAATCTGATCGATTTGCATGCTCTGCTGCATTCGTGGGCACCGCTGTCGCCATTGCAATCGCTGGAGCTGCTGTTGCCCCGCTATCCGGACGCCAAGGTGCGCGAGAAGGCCGTAGAGTGGATCTCAAAGATGCCCAACGACCAGCTGGTGGACTTCCTGCCCCAATTGATGCAAAGTCTGAAGCATGACACATACGAGGGTTCGGCCATGGCGCGATTTCTGCTGTCCAAGTGCCTGGAGTCGCCGCGCTTCGCCCACCACATGTATTGGCTGTTGGTGCACAGTCTGCCGGATGATCCGCACAACTCCATCGGGGCCGCCATGGTGGACCAGGAGTACGACGAGTCGCAGGTCACCCAGGCGCGCTACTACCGCCGCAACAAAATGATGCTGCGCGCCCTGATGGCAATTTGCGGCGAGAAGATGCTGCAGCGCTTCATGTACCAACATCGCATGTGTCAGGTAAAATACACATATATAAAATTATAATACAAATATATGGATAAAACCATATATATTGCTCCTATAGAAACTAACTACCATAGCGGAGTCTGTCAAAGAGGCTAAGGAATCGATGCGGCAAAAGAGTTTGGCCGCTGGCATGGACGAAGTGCATCAGGATCTGCTGGAGAAGCCCACTTGCCTGCCGTTGGGACCCGAACTGGAGGTAATTGGAGTGAGTGTGCGCAATTGCAGCTACTTTAACTCCAACACGCTGCCGCTGAAGATCAATTTCGTGGGACCGGATGCCGAGTCCTTACCAGCTATCTTTAAGGTAAGTACTTTATCCTTATCACTTATAAAACATATAATCTAAAATCTAAATACAAATCACTTTTAGTGCGGCGACGATTTGCAGCAGGATCAGTTGACCATACAACTGATTCGGATAATGAACAAAATGTGGTTGGCCGAGCGCTTGGACCTGAAAATGGTGACATTTAATTGTGTGCCCACAGGATACAAGAGCGGTATGATCGAGCTGGTCAACGAGGCGGAAACGCTGCGCAAAATCCAGGTGGAATGCGGACTGACGGGTTCGTTCAAGGATCGCCCAATTGCCGAGTGGCTGGGAAAGCAGAACCCCAGTCCGCTGGAGTACCAGAGTGCAGTGCGAAACTTCACCTTGTCCTGTGCTGGCTACAGCGTGGCCACCTATGTCTTGGGCATCTGTGATCGCCACAACGACAACATCATGCTGAAGACTTCGGGACACTTGTTCCACATTGACTTTGGCAAGTTCCTCGGCGATGCGCAGATGTTTGGCAACTTCAAGAGGTATAAAACCGTATTAATTAATATTAATTGATTCTAATATTTATTAATGGTTTTACAGAGATCGCACCCCGTTTGTCCTGACCTCCGATATGGCTTATGTGATCAATGGCGGCGACAAGCCCTCCACCGACTTCCACTATTTCGTGGACCTCTGTTGTCGGGCCTTCAACATTGTGCGAAAGAATGCCGATCTGCTGCTGCACACGCTGGCCCACATGGCTACCGCCGGAATGCCGGGTGTCAACTCAAATGCCGTGCAATACGTGCGACGTGCTCTGCTGCCCTCACAATCGAATCCCGAGGCTGCTGCCACCTTTGCCAAGATGATTCAATCCTCGCTGAAAAGCTGGTTCACGCAGTTCAACTTCTTTCTGCACAATCTGGCTCAGATGCGATTCACCGCCGACGAGGGAACCGGAGAACTGCTCTCGTTTGTGCCTCGAAAATATACGTGAGTTTTATAAAACTTTAAATATTACTTTTATATTACTTCTATAAATGTTTTTTTTTCCACTTTAGAATGCAACAGGATGGCCGCTTAAAGATTGTAAAGGTGGTGTGCTTCCAGAAGCACTACAGCATGGAAAAGTTCTACATGTACATTCTGGAGGTGACGCGACATGGACAGCCCGATCCAACGCACTTGTTCCGCTCATATCGCGAATTCACCGAATTCCATCAGAAGTTATGCATGCACTTTCCCCTGATCAAACTGCACAGGTAAGTTTTAGATTGAGACAAAAAGTGTTGTTTTCATAGCTGATAGAATTCATGTCGTTCAATAGTTTGGATAACTTTTTTTTATGGGTTTTAAAGTACAATTCATTTACTCTATTCACATACTGACTTATGTCTGTCAGCACTTTATCTAGACATTGAAAAATGAAATCGAAATTGCCGGTTAATCAATAATGCACAAAAATGTACTTCAGAATTCTTCGTTTCTCGTGTTGATTCACTTCCCCTTCGCGCATTCCCAGAAAAGTTTTTAAAACCGTTCGTTTTATCATCGTTTGCTTTCTTGCTATAATTTTTTGTATTTTATATAGACAACATGATATGGCAACTTATCAGCGAAATGTATGTACATAAATAGGTCATAGCCATTAGGCCAAAATTAACACATAAAATACTGTATTTGCTAAGGAAGTCAGAGGGCGTGGCAGTCGGCTTAGGCCTCCGTGTCACTCCTGACAGCGTTTGTCCTGAAGGCCGCCGTCATGGAACGATGCCGGCTGATGGCGCGTCCAAAGCCATCGTCGTCATCACTGTCTTCCTGCGAGACCTGGGATGCGAAGAGGCTGGGCACTCCATTGTTCCTCGGCTCGAACAGCACGGAGCGCTGCATGGGCGTGGGATGAGGCAGTGGCTCATCCTCGTCAGACTCGCCACTCGAGGTTACCACCTCGGCGGACTGGTAGTACTGCAAGTTATCCACATCGAAGCGGACTTTCAGCGACTTTGGGTCACGCCTCGCTGGCTCTGGAGCCGCCGAACGGGCTCCATCCTCCCCGTCGGTATCACTGCCACTGGAGTTGGGCAGCTCTCCAGGTTGATAGCACGCCAGGGGCGGAGCATCACGGCGAACATTTAGGGTGGCTATCTTGGTGGATCTCGGTGCTGGCTGAGGGACCGCACGCTGTGCCGGCACCACCACAGCCATTTCCTGGCACAACTCCTCGAAATTGTGAATGCCGTTGCTCTGGCCACCTGAAGATCTGGCTGTCTCTACCTCATTCACTTCCAGATCGGCATACAGATCCTCTATGCTGCTTACGTAGTTGGATTTCTTTGACCTTTGCTCCATTACCTCGGTGTAGTTGGGCAAGTTCTGACCACTCTTTGTGCTCTCCAACTGCATCAGGGATTCGTAATCGGGCAGATAGGGCAGACCAGGATCGTATGGCGGTGGTTCCACCACAGGAACTGGCGGTACGGGCTCAAAGATGTCTAATCTCGGCTGCATGAGCTCCAGTTGATGGAACAAACCCTCAACCTGTTCCACATGGTCCAAGCCAAGAGTGGCCTCATTCAGCGTCGTCTCCACAGTGGGCAATTGCTCCAAGCTATTTGGATGCAGGGCCCAGTTGGGTTCCGGCACTGCCGTCACTGTGTCCAGGTTCGCAAAGTTCTCCCAATCCTCGTCGATGCTCTTGCCAAATCCTGGTGGACTACCGGCCGTCGGCAGCTGCAGTGGATCCACGTCCAGGATGTCCGCCTCGTTCATCACAAATGAGGAACGTATCCGCACGAAGTCGCTGTCATGCTCACCTTGTGGTAGCTCCAGGTCATCGAAAAGACCTCTCTGAACGGTGGGCCTTACACTTGGAGTGGCTTCCGTTTCCGGACTGCCTGCAATAATCTCCACGACAAAAGCCGAGTCCGCATTGCCGCCTGGCTCCTCGAAGGGATCGCTTTGTCTTGGGGGATGCGATTCCACAGCTTCCGCTTCTTCCTTGGGTAATGCTCCACGGTGCACCACCGCCGTGACGGACAGAGCTCCTCCCAAGCCGTCATCTGGAGTCAGTGGCTCCGGGACGGAATCCTCGGGAGTGAGAATTTCTGGCACATCATCCACCCGCTCGAACATGACATAACGACCACTGTTCTTGCTCCTCAGCTGCGTTGGCCGTGTGACCTCCGTCGCGGGTTTCACACTGAACAGCTCGTATTTCTCGGCAAAGTGATCGAAGTTCGGCATGCCCAGTTCGCTAGGAGGCTCTAAAACATTGTTTACAGGAGCTGCAGGCTGGGATTGCTTTGATGCAGTAGTAGTGGCTTCAGTTGTGGGTTTAGATGCTGGAGCAGGCAAGGATTCCAGTATATTAGCTGGAGAATCTCCAGGACTCGTGGATTGAACAGGCACGGGAGGAGAAGGTGGCTTTCGGGTGGGTGGAGCAGTGATGTATTCATAGTGTTCACTGTGCACCTCCAGGCGTTGTTGTCGCTGCATCTGTGATTTATCCCGATAGCAGACTTTGGATTCATCCGTGTTCCTCGTTTGCCTGGGACTGGCGCCATATAATTGCAGATTTGGAACACTACCAGTGATATAGTTGTTTGCTGTAACAAAAGTATAATTCGGTTAATAATATTGGTTAAAAAATAGAAAGGTGATAAATAGGCACAACTACTTCGAACTTGAATCACTTAAAAGAATTTCGACTGTAGTTAGTTTCGATTCAATGATTTCCGTTTGCTATCTTCACCTGTCGCTGTTGATGGCGATGGCCATGGGCTTTCGAATTCCTCGAGATTGCGACGTCGGAACACACCATGGACAGCGGTATCGGTGCCGTTAACCTGGGGAAGTATAGAAATTGCATTTTAGGCTATTGCGTTAGTCTGTATAATATTAGCTTTGCCGTCCATCAGCTGTCGATTCAGCTGTTTGGACTGATCACTGGGATGCGTCACTGGGGCTAATGCAAAAGGTGTTACACATGACCACAAACACGCCAAGGCAGACGAATAACAAAACACGTCCATGTCCGTGCGATAAGGTGCGATTTTACCTTTCGTTATGAGCTACCTGTGAAGCTATGATTTCGATAAGCTTGTCAGCCTTCTCAACGTAATTGACCTGTTTTCTTAACAAACAAATTTTAATATATATTTCTATTTTTATTTATTAAAAAAAAATTAATTTCAACAGAACTATACAAATCTGTTACAAAGCTTTCTTATAGTGATGTAATAGGTAATATTTGATATTCCGCTAATTATTCAGATTTTTATGGATTTTATATTGCTTCGCTTCACAGTTCAATAATATAAATGACGAACCCAATTCTAGCCCAGATTCCAAGAAGTGAAAGCCGAATTCGATTACGATTTGCATTTCTCACGCCCCCATCGCTATCTCCTCAACTTACACACTCTCTGAAATGATATAGTCACAACACCTGCGAGTGTTTGTATTCGTATTTGCCCTGCCTTATCAGAACCACTCGTCGCTGGATCTGTGTTCACATATATGCTCACATGTATGATGCACACATGAATATTGGTATGGCTATGCCGATGGTTAAGTGTTGGTATCAGTATCACATTAACCTTTATTAACTGCGTGCATCGGCTGTTAAGTTCTTCCGATTTGCATACGCACCTGGGACTCGAAAGCCGCGTAACGTGGCGGCTGTTGTTGCTGTTGTTGCTGCTGTTGCTGTTGTTGCTGTTGCACCTGAGATCGATCGAAAGTCAGACGCCGCCGGAAGCCAAAAAGTTTGATGCCCAGCAGGGCGAAAACCAGACCCACGAGCAACATGGTCGAGGCGAGCATTGGGCCAACGAAGGTCTGCTGACCTGGAGAGGATTGATTGATTGATACGAATGATTGTAGGTAGATCCAGGAGGAACTGGAAGATGGAGCACCTACCTTGGCCCACATTCTTTAGCTGGCCCATGTCGCTTCTTCGCTCTAGTCTCACCAGCAATTCTGTTGGCTTAGCATTCTGGCCTTTGTTTTGGCCAAAAAAAAATATAATGAAACTTCACCACGTCGCTAATCGAACCGCTCTCGGCTCCGCCACCCAGCTCGCTCGTCGACTGATTGAGCGCTGACGTTGGCGCTACCGCTTTTGGGCAGAGACCGCTCTGCCGCTTATCGAAGTGATTCGGCCCGATATCGTTTACTCGGCCCGCCGCCGTCGTCGCTCTTTCACTCTTCCACTGTGACTGCGACTGCTCTTCGGTGCTCAGGTTCTCCTTCTCCGCCGGTTCGGTTTCTGTGAAATCAGTCCGCCTCAGTCGGCCGATTTATCAGCCATTAGCGGTGTTACCGCAGAGCCATGGACTTCGGGGGAGACGCTTTGCCAGCGCTGATAAGTAATCGTGAATTTGTACCATGATTTGTCAGCGCACCTTGACAAACCACCACTGGCTAAGTAAACACCATGAAAAAAATAATAATAATAATGGGAATGGGTTCCCAACGGCTTGGCTATTAAAAGCTGCTGAATCGTATCTTCAACGATAATAGCCTCCATGTAATCGTAGACAAGCTGATATTGTTTACACTCAATTATAGGCCCAATTATCGATCTTCTGTTGGCTTTATTCACATTGGTAATTTGAATTCTGCAATTGTTGCTATCTGTTGATCTACACTTAAAACTTGGAAATAATAATCATAAAATTAATAAAAATCATCTGGTTTGATTGTCGTTTTTTAGGATTTATTGGTTTATTTATAATCCGTGATGTGGGTATAAAAGTACCAAAACGTTTTAAACTCTCTATATGTTTTATAATATTTAATATTATTTATAATTTTAGGAAATAAATAACCTTTATTTATTTGTGGTTAATCTATAGTGATTCACAATTATTCAATAATTTATTAAACATTTGTTCAGTGTTAGCGTAGGCTGATTATTAAACTTTGTTTACTTTATGATAACCAATCACCTTGATGTAAATAGGATTAAAAAGGAGATAAGCTTTACTTCATTTTAAATAATCCAATGTTTTTGCACAAGCTTACATTTAGAGAAATTAGATTTTGGCAAACTTGACATCAAGATAAATTGATTTAATATTATTTTAAATATTTTTCTTGTGCCTTAAAATTGATTTTTATAGTCTACCGGCTGGCGTGCATGTGGGACGTTCCAATATCAAATCTGTAGCAGAAAAACGACTACCTCTTATACAGCGATTTTTGAAATCGCTGTTTGATGCGTCCGAGGAAATAGCTCATTCGGAGCTCGTGTACACATTCTTCCATCCCTTGCTGCGCGATCAGCAGGAGGCGAAATTGGGGATGCCGAAGATAAAGGGTACGTTGCGATTTAATAACTAAATATTGAGCAGAAATCACTAATAGATTGCATTTGCAGAGGTGAAGCGACAACCGTCGCGGGATAATCCCAACGAGATTGGCCAAATTCGACTATCGCTGCAATATCAACGCGGCGTACTTACTGTGATGGTGGGCGGAACTAGATTAGTTTAGTATGATAATAGGCTTAATGGAGGACATATATGTATTGCAGATACACCACGCCAAAGGGCTGCCCATGCTACAGGGCGGTCAGGAGCCCAACACGTATGTGAAGTGCTACCTAAAACCAGATCCCAAAAAGGAGACCAAACGCAAGACCAAAGTGGTGCGAAAGACCTGTGTTCCCAGTTTCATGGAAACGGTAAGTGTTTGTCTTAAATTCCGTTTTGCAATCTGAATAGCTTATTTATTATTTGTATTCATTGATAGTTGGAGTACCGCATGCCCCTGAATATTATTCAAGAGCGCCGATTGCAAGTCACCGTCTGGTCACACGATACGCTCCAGGAAAACGAGCTGCTCGGAGGCTTCGAGTTGGATTTATCGAAGCACGATCTGCGCCAGGAGCTCTGCGATTGGCATCGCCTGGGATCGGTGCCTAGGAACTGACTCTGAACCACTTGGGACACTCTGCCTACCGACAATCAGGCCTAGGATTATGCAATACTAATATATGTTTGTGCCTGTCTTCTCTTGATCGCAATAATACTTACTTACTCGAAGTGATTGTACATTCCGTATACAAATTTATAAATAACTTAACTGACAGTAGAAAAGTGTTATTTCTTTCAATATGTGCCTCAGATGTAAATATTTTATAGCTACCACACAAAATTCTTTCAAAATTTAAACCTAATTATACCTCTAAAGTGTAACTTTACCCCTGTTTTCTTCATATAAGATTTATAATCAATCAATTAATTTTTAATAGGCACTTTGGGAATTCAGAATATTGATTATATTGGTAGTTGTTAGTTCGAAACATTCTGTTGTAGGTAAATGTTCTTCTGGAGTAGTTAAATAAATGTTCAGTATTATGGCTAAAAATCTATTTTTGTAATAGAGCTATAAGAGATTATGGAAACCCCATATACTTCAAACACTTTAATTCAGTTAAAGATTGAAATTCTATTTGACACTAAATATACAAATAAAATGCACTTTTCCCTTTCTAAAATGTTTTAAGGTAAATAGAAAAATTGAATTTTTGTATGTACTTTGGCATAGAACATAAACTGCATTACGCACACACAAATTAAACTACTTATCGAAAAACAAAAAAAAAAATTTCTACTCTTCACTTTATGCTTTCAATATGTCAATAAGATTGCACTTTTGGCAAGCGTCTGTGCTTGGGTCTTTACTTAACTCCTTCAACAAAGTTACACGATAATAGTAAATAACTATCAAAGCGAACAAGTACTAAAAGTGTCTTAACAAATTAAACGAATATCGACAAATATGAATAAGAGCATACATCGCAATCTACAGATTATATTTTTATAAAAAACAACATTTAAGTGCTACGTCTGCCTGAGTATTTTAAATAGTACTTCGATACTGATAAAAACTTTATCTGTAATGTATCTAATGTTTTTTATAAAAATAATACAAATTTAAGGACAAATTAAATCTTTTCTGTAAATCCTGACGAATTATAAAACTGTAAATCTGATATAATAATCATTTTTGGCACAAATATATAAGCATAACAAAATAATAAAACTAATTTTGTTTAATTTTAAAGGTTGGTTTTAATTGCCTAGAGGAAGAGGAAAATTAAACGGAAAGCTAATGCTTTCTTTCGTCATTCTGATAATTTATTTTAATTTGATCTCCATAAAGTTTTGACCAAATTTAACTGTAGTACGCTATGAGCTATGAAAGTTTAACTGTAGTCAAAATACATTTTTTATTTAGGTAGTAACAATTTCGAGAGTTTTGTGGATTTAATTTAATATTTTAAGGTTACTTCGGAGATCTTTTTCAAACAAATTCGGTTGGAATATTTTTGTAAGTGGATAAATCTTTTACTCTTTCTGTTTCTGTTTATAATAACTTTATATCAACTGAATTTTTTTTAATAAAAAAGTTTTAAAGAGTTATTTAAAGGATAAGAGTTATAAGAGTTATTTAAAGGATGATGAATACAACCTATACTTTATGTGATCGAATAACTAGTCAGCTATGCTCGTTCTGTTCGAATCCCGTATTTGAACTCAGAAATAGGACAAACTTAAAGCCTTCAGATCTGAGAAGTTAAAAAATTAAAATAGTTTTGATCTAGCAAATGGCCGAAATGGCGGCTGCCAACATGAATAAGGGGGAGTTGATGAGCCAGGTGAAGCAGCAGATCGCACTGGCCAATGCCCAGGAGATGCTCTCGAAGATGACGGAGAAGTGCTTCAAGAAGTGCATCCAGAAGCCGGGCAAATCGCTGGACAGCACCGAGCAGCGCTGCATCTCGCAGTGCATGGACCGCTTCATGGACGCCTGGAATCTGGTGTCGCGCACCTACGGCAATCGCCTGCAGCGGGAGCAGTACAGAACGATGGACTCGGTGGAGATGAGCAACTAGGACCCTGATTGCGATCATCTACCCTTCCTGTAATTAAAACCGAATTTATTTTGTTTTCGACCCGGTCTCAACTCAATTTTGAGTCGTTTTTAATCTGTTGACAGTCAACCCTTCCGAGGGCACTTATCGGTGCCAAGTTGATAGCCAGCTGATTATGGGGAATGCAATTGCAAGTGCAAGTGAAGACCCTCCTGAGGGTTGGGGGTTGTCTTCGGGTGTATCCCCATAGCCGCCAGCTTGATATGTGCACTTTTCCTGATCGTTATCGTGTTTGGAATGGTCTCGTTAGCTAACGGATGAGCAAGTGCTCGGCTAACTGGCCCAAATGCAATATGCAAGGAGACGCCGGTTACCCAAGCACTAAAGGTGTAGTTTCGAGACCACTCTAATCCATTGCAGCATTTTCCACTATATGCAAATTTAACTTGATTTTCTTGCTAAATCTGTGAACATTTTTCTTGGCTGACCAACAATGTAGGTCAAGCGTTTGGTTACAGCTATGGGTATTTAATCAGTTGTACTTTAAAGTTATTTAGAGCGACTATGGGGTTGTAGAAACTAAGATGGGCATTAAATAAAATGTTAGGGTTATTTTTTAATATTTCATATTTGTGAGAATGAGTGCAAAAAAAAAAATTATATAATATTTAATAATGTTACTAATATGATTTGTTTATTATAAGAGGTTTTAAGGGTTACAAAAAATGATCTTGCTTCCGGACTAATATAATAGTACCTTCCGGTTAAGTACATCACATAGTCTTCGTTTTGGGGTCACAAATCTTTCGTCATTGTGAAATATCAGTCGTCCAAAAAAACAAGAAGCAAGACACCTGATAGGTAAACCAATTTAAGGCCACTTAAATCCAAATTAACATGACTGTATGCATTTTGTTGGTGGGCCAAGCTCTAGACCTCTTGGAGGGACTATCAAAATTCTCTGATATCAGTGCTAACGAACGTACGTAACATGGCAAATTACTGGCCATTTTAGTGGGTGCAGGTGACCCCGTGCACTGGCCAAAAAAATGCTGCAAGTAAATCAAAAATTAATAATAAAAAAAAAAAAACAAAAATCAAAAATAATAAAAATGCAAAAGATAAAATGCGAATTCGTGGCCGAACTTATTGGCTCGAATACCAGAGGTAACAAAATCCAACATGGGATTTTCCTCAACTAGGTACATTCGAAGCCACACAAGTTACGATAAGAGTGCGGGCCAAAACACTGCTATATGGTGGAGTATGGAGCTTCCCGCCAAAAGCTTTCTATCAATTTAAAAATAGTAATAACGCCCACCTGCCTCGCCCCGCCCAAAAAAAAAAAATACAAAAACAACAGCAACAGCAAGTGCTCCGGGGTTTTGAGTAATCATTGCAAGAATACGGGTACGATAAGTGCTGAGACGGTTCCTTATCTGAACAACTAATCGGAAATGTGTTTGTCGGCCGAAGGGCGATGGGTGGTGTGTGATGGGTGGGGTTGGTGATGGGTGGCAGGTGGGTTGATGGGAGGGTCCCACCACCAAAGGGGCAAGAGCCGTTACACTACCGCCCGCAGGTCTCCAACGGTCGACATTGGCGTCCGTACAAGGTGAATCGAGATAAAGGCTTGCTGACAGCCCCATTATGGCTGCAGATTAGAAAGATTATAAATGCGGACGGAAGAGCTTTCCCAAGACAATATAATCGCTAATCATGATCTTGGAAGTAATGGTGATTCGAGATTTTGTACTTATCTTTATATTTATTTATTTTTGAATAATACACAAGGCCTACAGGGCTTGCAAACTCATTAAAACGTCAAAAAACATCAAATACAATATAAAATATTTATTTCCCATCAAAAGTTATATATGTATATATGTTTTACTAATAAGCCCTGAAGGCAAAGATGCTCCTTGTTTTACGAGAAGTGTTTCAAAGATTCAAAAAAATAAAACAACAAGTTGTTTTGTCTATATTTTTTGAATAACCCAAATTATTTAAAAGCGGGGATGGATAGCAAGTTTAAATAGACGTTTTAACTATTTACTTATAAGAAACTTTATTAAAAAAAATATTAAAAGAAAGTTAAAGGGTATCACAAAAGACTTTTCTTAGAAACAAGTGCTGTTATTAGCAAGTTCTTAGTTTGTTTTGAACTATTAAACGAACTATTTGCGACAAAAAGTACATACAAAAACCATTCCGTTTTGTTTTGTGTTTAATTTATTTAAAATACTTGTACTTTGCAATTTTTTGTACACATTCCACTTGAGATTGGCTACTTGTTCCCACCGGAACGGTAAAGTATAAATAGAGAGAAATTGGCTCTGCGCCGTAGCATTTTGTTCAATGTGCTTTTAAAATGCAAGTTGGTAAGTATACATTTTTGAATATATAGAAAAATTAATCACTAATAATTTTCAGTAAAAGTCCTTTGGGCTTTTCTTTGGATTCTTCCCCGGGCACTTGGAAAGGATTCCTGTGCAGGACTATCGTTTGGATCCAGAGCAGTCGACCCAGAAGATTCCAGTTCGTACTTCCTCTGCCTGGGCTTTCTTGGCCAGATAAAACAGTCTTGCGAAAAGGAATATCGCTTCGATGGTCAAACGCTAGAATGTGTGATAGCAAACAAGACAAACCTTTCCGGACTGAAAAACGAAAAGGAAGGTAAAACTGAAGTGAGCATTAAACAAAATGTGAATGTGGACAGACCAGTCATATTCAACATCCTTGGAAACTTCAACTTCTTTGCAAGTCTGTGGGGCAGCTCCCACGATCCGACTCCTCCGCCTCCAAAATCCAGCCCAATAGCTCACCTGCAGTCCTTTGACAGTGCTGGGGAAATTCAATTTTTGTCTGCCATTGAATCCTCTACGTTAGATGATTCTTTGGCCACTTCTACTGAGCTTAGCGTATCTAGCTCAGACGATCCAAATTCGTCTCCTGGAGAACCTGATGAACCATCTGAGACCCCAGCCTCTACTGATTCTTCAGCCGGCAGTTCTACAGAACCAAATGTTTCTAGTTCAGAGAGTTCATCTTCAACTGAGTCACCTCCAGACTTTACAACCGAAGCGAATGAAAGTTTATCCCAGGAAAGTGAAACGAGCTCTGAAAGTCCCTCGTCCACAGAATCTTCAACAGGCGCGTCTGAAGAAAGTACCACTGAAGATTCCCAAGCAGAGATCACTTCAAGTTCGCAAAATCCCTCAACAGAATTGGAACTAGAAGTTTTGTCCCAGGAATTTAGCTCAAGTTCTGAAAATCCGTTGTCTACAGAGTCACTTACAAAAGCTACGGATGATTCTTCATCCACAAACGAATCCGCATCAGAAAGTTCTACACAGGAATCATCCACAGAGTCATCAACAAGCGCGAGAGAAGATTCATCATCTGCACCAGAAAGTTCCACACAAGAAAGCAGTTCTAGTTCCGAAGCTTCTACAACCACAGAACCTTCCTCAGAAGAGAATAACTTGAGTTCGGAAAGTCCTTTGTCCACAGAATCATCAACTGATATCGATTCGAGTTTGGAAAGTCTCTCAACGGAATCTGAACCTGAAAGTTCAACGCAAGAAGGTAGTTCAAGCTCAGACAACCCAGAATCATCCACAACTGAATCTACACCAGAAAGTTCCACGCAAGAAATTAGCTCGAGCTCTGAAAATCCCTTGTACACAGAAACTGCTCTGGAAGATTCAACCTTAAACTCGGAATCATCAACAGAGATCGATTCGAGTTCGGAAAGTCCCTCATCTGAGTCTGAAAGTTCAACGCAGGAAAGTAGCTCAAGCCCTGAAACCACTTTGGAGGATTCATCCTCAACAGATTCCGCATCAGAAGGTACCACACAGGAAAGTAGCTCAACCTCTGAAAGTATTTTATCCTCTGAGGAGTCATCCTCATCCTCAGTATCAGAACCAGAAAGTTCCACCCCAGAAAGTAGCTTAAGTTCTGAAACACCTTTGTCCACAGAATCATCAATAGACGTGACGGAGGATTCATCCTCAACAGAATCCGCATCAGAGAGTTCCACACCCTCAGCTCAATCCCCATCGACCTCAAATCCCTCACCTGAAAGCTCAACTGAGGAGAGTATTTCAAGTTCCGAAAATCCGACGACCACAGATCCATCTGCAGGCACCACTAGGAAAGATGGTGACTTTCCAGTGTTACCTGCCGAACCCACAAGCACGACTCCATGCACCACGGTTTCATTCACACAAAGTTCCACAAAGATTACAGAGATTTCATCAACCTCAGAACCATCACCAGATACCACAGAGAAGGACGGGGACTCCGGTAACAGTGGGTCGGAAAGCGGTATCTCCACTCCGCCATCTCCCCAGAGTTCAACAGAATCATCTCCAGAAAGCTCGACGGAGGAGAATATACCAAGTTCTGAGAGTCCCTTGCCCACAGATACGACATCGGAAACTACAACTGAAGGGAATGTCGCTAGTTCTGAAAAGCCATCCACAAGTACGACTCCATGCACCACGCAAAGCTCCACCAAGATTCCAGAGAATTCGTCAACCACAGGTGCCCCCCCAGCTACTACAGATAAAGATGATGGTTCCGGAAACAGTGGGTCCGAGAGCGGTATCTCCACAACCCCAACTCCACAAAGCACTACCGATGATAACATATCCATTTCCGAGAATCCCTTGAGCACAGAACCGACATCGGGAACTACCACCGAAAAGAATACCTCAAGTTCTGAAAAGCCATCCACAAGTACCACTCCATGCACCACGCTTGCTTCTACGCTAAGTTCCACAAGAATTCCAGAGACTTCATCAACCTCAGGTACTACAACAAAAGACGGTGATTCCGGAAACAGTGGTTCCGAAAGCGGTGTCTCTACAGAGCCATCTCCACCGAGCTCAACAGCAGAAACTCCACAAAGCTCGACAGAAGAAAATATTTCTAGTTCCGAGAACCCCTTGACCACAGAACCCACTCCGGAAACTACAACCGAAGGGAACATCGCAAGTTCCGAAAAGCCACCCTCAAGTTCAACTCCATGCACCACCGTTTCCTCTACACAAAGTTTACCCACCGAACCATCTCCACAAAGCACAACAGAGGAGAATAGATCCAGTTCTGAGAATCCTTCAACTAGATCAGAAAGTACAACTGAAGAAAATATCGGTAGTTCCGAAAACCCATCCACTGCTACAACACCTGGGACCACAGTTTCAACTTCAGAAGGTTCCACAGGAATTCCAGAAAATTCTTCAACTCCAGAGACCCCACAAGATTCCACCGAGAGAGACGATGGAAATAGTGGGTCCGAAAGCGGTGTATCTACGACGACCACTCCACAGAGCTCAACGGAACAATCTCCCCAAACCTCGACAGAGGAAAATATTTCCAGTTCCGGTTCCACAGAACCTAGACCGGAAACTACAACTGAAGGAGGTATAGATAGCTCTGAAAAGCCATCAACTGCTACAACACCATCGACTACAGTTCCAACTCCGGAAGGTTCCACGGAGATTCCAGAAAGCTCATCAACCTCAGGGGCTCCACATGATTCCACAGAGCAAGTTCCACAAAGCACTACAGAAGAAAATATATCCAGTTCTGAAATTCCTTTTACCACAGGTCCTACATCAGAAAGTACAACGGAAGGAAATGTTGCTAGTTCTGAAAAACCGTCCACAAGTACGACCCCATGTTCAATAGTTCCATCTACACAAAGCTCCACACAGATTCCAGAGAATTCAACAACCACAGAACCTTTACCGAGTACCACAGAGAAAGACGATAATTCCGGAAATAACGGGTCCGAAAGCGGTACCTCCACAGAACCACCTCCAATTATATCCAGTTCCGAAAATCCATTGACCACAGAACCTAGACCGGAAACTACAACTGAAGGAGGTATCGATAGCTCCGAAAAGCCATCAACTGCTACAACACCTTCAACTTCAGAAAGCTCATCAACCTCAGAGACTCCACAGGATTCCACAGAGCAATCTCCACAAAGCACTACAGGAGAAACTATATCCAGTTCAGAAAATCCGTTGACCACAGGTTCTACATCAGCAAGCTCAAGTACGACTCCTTGCTTAACGATTCCATCTACACAAAGCTCCACACAGATTCCAGAGAGTTCATCAACTACCGACTGTTTACCAAGTACCACAGAGAAAGACGATAATTCCGGAAAAACCACAGAACCTACATCAAAAACTACGACCTCAGGAAATATTGCTAGTACCGAAAATCAAGGCAATGTTGTTAGCACGTCAACTTTAGAACCCCCAATTGGAACGACCACTAAAGAAACATCTCTTTGTAGCAACTTGCCAAACGGATCATTTCTTAGGGACACATTATCGTGCAACAAGTATTATGTTTGTCTGGATGGTAAAGCGATTCCCAGCAACTGTCCAAGAAATCTGAACTTTGACATTAAAAGGAAGGTCTGCAATTTCCCTAGTTTAGTGGATTGTTCTTATGAAGAAGTCCTTGAATCTGTCACAAAGAATCCTTCGAACACAGAGTCGACGCCAGACTGCAACTCTGTTCGGGATGGCACTTATATAAGAGATCCAAAGTCATGCAATAAGTTCTATGTTTGCACTAACGGTCGTCCTTTATCTAGGCAGTGCCCTAGGGATCTACTCTTTGACAACAAATCTAAAATCTGTAATTACCCCAGTCTGGTTCAATGCTCTGTAGCAGAGACCCAGTCGAGTATTCTTGAAGCGCTAATAGCTGAAGGAGTTCCGGATTGCGGCAAAGTGGTAGAAAGTACAAGGTTCGGTGACGTCAAGCAACACAATAAATATTACGTCTGCCTTCAGGGAAAGGCAGTTTTGCATTACTGTAGTCCAGGAAATTGGTTCGACCTTCGAAGCCAGAAGTGCGTTGATCAACGACTGGCTGTGATTACAGAACCTTCACCTGAAAGAAAAACTGAAGGGAACATCGCTAGTTTTAGAAAACGACCCACAAGTACGGCTCCATGGATCACGAGATCATCAACACAAAGTTCTACAAGAATTCCAAGCACTTCAACAACTCCAAAACCCCCAAAACGAACCACAGAACCAAGTACGCAGAGCTCAACATCTACAAAAGATACTACGACACGGAGAGATATTTCTAGTTCCACAAGAATTCCAAAGACTTCAACTGCAAAACTCCCAAAACGTACCACAGAACCAACTTCACAGAGCTCAACATCTACAAAAGAAACTACAACACGGAGGAATAATGCTAGTTCCACAAGAATTCCAAAGACTTCGTCAACTCCAAAACCCCCAAAACGCACCACAGAACCAACTACACGGAGGTCAACATCTACAAAAGAAACTACGACACGGAGGAATAATGCTAGTTCCACAAGAATTCCAAAGACTTCAACTGCAAAACCCCCAAAACGTACCACAGAACCAACTACACAGAGCTCAACATCTACAAAAGAAACTACAACACGGAGGAATAATGCTAGTTCCACAAGAATTCCAAAGACTTCAACTGCAAAACCCCCAAAACGTACCACAGAACCAACTACACAGAGCTCAACATCTACAAAAGAAACTACAACACGGAGGAATAATTTTAGTTCCACAAGAATTCCAAAGACTTCGTCAACTCCAAAACCCCCAAAACGCACCACAGAACCAACTACACGGAGGTCAACATCTACAAAAGAAACTACGACACCGAGAAATATTTCTAGTTCCACAAGAATTCCCAAATCTTCGTCAACTCCAAAACCCCCAAAACGTACCACAGAACCAACTACACGGAGTTCAACAGAGAAAAATATGTCCAGTTCGCGGAATCCTTTGACCCCAACATCTACATCCGAGACTACAACGAGCAGCAGTATCCCAACTCCAGGAGGTTCGTCTCAGGGTTCGACTCTGGCAACATCAACTTTAGTACCCTCAACGACCACTGAAATCCAAGAAATACGACCTGATTGCAGCAACTTGCCAAATGGAGTATTTCTAAGAGACCCCCTGTCATGCAACAAGTATTATGTATGTCTGGATGGTAAAGCGATTCAAGAGAGCTGTCCGAAAAATCTGAACTTCGACATTAAAAGAAAGGTCTGCAATTTTCCCAGTTTAGTGGATTGTTCTTTTGACGAAGTCCTAGAGACTGTCACGAAGAAGCCCTCAAATACAGAATCCACTCCCGACTGCAAATTATTGCCAAATGGGGCCTATATAAGAGATCCAAACTCATGCAGTAGGTTCTACGTTTGTGCTAACGGTCGACCTATGGCTCGACAGTGTCCTAGGGGTCTGCACTTTGACAACAAATCAAACTTCTGTAATTATCCCAGTCTGGTTCAATGCTCGGTAAAGGCGTAGATCAGCGACTGGTTAAGATATCGTAAACAAAGAGCTTTTAAATATAAGTATACGGCACGCTCTGTAATCTAGTTATAGGAATATGGTGAATGGGTTTATTACATTAGTTTATATGTACATTGGGTTGAAGGGTAACAGCTACTAATCAATATATTTTAGTGTGGTTACTGACACATAAGTTACAAGCAGACTCTAATACGACCTAGCCAGTTGAAGAGTATAGTTAATTACTCGATCTGTCTAGGAATTATATAATAAATAAAGTACTTACAAAACAAATATAAATTACTTTTGGAATCCAACAATATTAGGTATTACCTATCTTTACAAATAGAAACAATTTGTATTGTGTTGTTTGAATACAGCTAGTCTTTGAATCTTTTTTAAATTTGTTCGATAAAACTGCGCAGTCACAACTGGGAGTGGAACCAAAATTTCAGAATTTTGTCAGAAAAGCGATTAAAAGCCAAGCCGCCTGTCCATTATAATTCAAGCCAGATATCTTGGTGCTCTTTCGCGTGGCAAAGGGCAGACAGACGCTAATTTCTTTGTGCCGCGGAAGTGACGCCCGACCACAAAGTTATTCCATTTAAATTTAATTACGAGATAAACGCATGTTCCTCGTGTTTCTGACGTAGGCGCTTAGGCTCGACTGCGTCGGAAAGTAGGGAGCGTTCTAGCTCCGGTTACATTAAAGCCGACTCCGTCTGCGCTCCGTCTCCGGGTGTAATTAAATTGTCCAGGAATCAGGGGGAAAGTCCTTTTGTGGGTGGCCGTGGCAGACTGACAGGCACTTTGCGTCACTGTCGTGCGGCGACAAATTACAGGACACGGCTCCGTTTGCGCGCCAACTCATCGATAGCAGACTTTTGGGGGTGGTGCTACTTCGAAATCGATTTGATTCCCAGGCAAGTCCAGACACCAGACGCACAAGTCTCATGTTACACTTGCCATCTGATAAGACACCACGACACCACCCACCCATTTTTCAGCGGCTTTTAAGTAAGCGTTTGAAAAGTAGAACTCCACATCCAATAAGGTAAGTCTTATACATGTTTTAGTGTGCTGCATTGTATGAGTTGTCCCTAATTAAGGTACAATTATTAGATATTTAAATAGGTTCGCTGATAAGAAATCCTACTGTTGTGCATTTAATGGATTCTAAAAGGGTCCCTGATGAACACTAATTTATTTTTATTGATTAAATATGAATTGTCATTAAATTAAACGACGTTGCGCGCTTAAATTCGGGTGTTAGTGGCTCATATTGACTATATTTTAAATGGGAGTTTATTTTTTAGATAACAACTAACTCCTAGTAGTCATATACTTTTACACATTCAGAACGGAGTCCCAGTTAGGGCGCCAAATTTAAGTACAGGGAACTCTGGCTAAATTCTAATACCTCAGCTAAGGGGACAGTCAAGGTGAGACTGAGAGAAAATTAGGGGGAGTTTCGCAGAGTGTGCTGAGAGAGCGAAAGAGTATGCCGCAGGGGTGGTTGATTTTAGGTGGCAGGTTTATTTTCTACCACCAAAGGCGCCGGCTTCAGTTCGCCGTCAACTTCGCTCCGTTCCGTTTGCCACAATGATTCGTTTGTGCATCGATGTGCACCGTCAATTAATATAAACAAATACAACTAAGAGAATGTTAGTGAACTTTGTGCTAAACAGAGAAGTGGAAGTGCAAACTCAACTTACAACCAACTTTTTACTTTGCTTAATCAAAGAGCCAAGCTGTCCACCCTTTTTTTGAAGTCTCAGTGGAGCTGTCTAGCCATCCCGCTCGCACACGGCTTGGCAATCGATAAGCTTAACAGCGGGGCTGTCCACTCGTCGGCTGCTGTTACTGTTAAACTTAGACAGCGAGTGTTTAAGGTAAAAGTTTCGAGCGACACGTCAAAATAGTCGCCATTTAAAAAGGACGAGTCGCAGTCGCAGTTGAAACGTTGAGTGAGAAGCTTTTCGTCGCGCTTTGCCAATTCGCAAGTGTGTAAAATATACTATCGAAAATGAAACTACAAATTCAATATACAAATATGTATAAGGCTTGTTGTTAAAAATAGCCGCTGAAGCTTTAGCACAACAACAAGTGCATTTGTGCAACTTAAGTGATCGAAATTGATTGTGTGAGTAGTTCTATGTAGTTTGGTAACAAAAAAACATCCGATTAATTAAGAAAAGGGCGGCTGCCTGCAAGTTGATGGAATTATCAATAAACAACAGTAGCCCAAGTGCATAATAAATTCAGTTACAGTGTCGTAAAAAAGCCAAAAATGAACGAGTACTGCGGATGGGCACCGCTTTGAAAGGACCAGAAAAGCGGGAACGGTAACTGTAACGGTAACGGGAATAGGAATAGGAATAGCAATAGGAACAGGATCGGGGGTTGCTGCTCCCGTATTCCCTGCGTTGAGGTCATTTGCACTCATTTGTCGCGAGGTCCCAAAAAGGGGGTGGATTTTGGCTCGCCGGTTAATCTCATTCATCAGAGAGCCGCAAAACGGAGACGTCAAGTTGAGTTTTACACATTTTACGCCCCCGACTACGAGTACTACGAGCGAGTAGTATTCTCTCTGTGCGAGAGAGCATTCCATTTCTCCTGAGAGCGCACAAGGACTTCTGTTAAGGCTGTTGTCTCGCTCGCACGCAGAGTGGTGTGGTCGATGGCGAAGGTCCTTCACGCATATCCCTGGCATATATGTATATACTATATGTGTGCGTGTACTGGAGTACATACTATAGCAGAAGGCGAATGTGTGAAAGTAGTGCCAAGCATCGCACACAAACACACACACACACACTCGCACATGCCAGGGTCAGGTCAGGAAGTGTGGTAATGGAGGATTATTCTGTTGCTTCCCCACATTCCCCCCCACTCTCCACCCTCATCCGTTTTGGATTTTCTAATTTATATTTTTTGTTCGACCAGGTTTTAGCCAAGGCTCCCCGACAGGTGATTTATTTGTGTCCGCACTCCATAAAGCCCAGTAGTTCTCGCCGCAAATCGTAATTCCAGCCACCACTCGAGGGACCCATAGAAAAGCAGTTAAGCTTTCCTTACTTGCAACACAAATATAGTAAATCTGATTTGGAGAAAATCTGTCTTCAAAGATTTCTAAATTTTTTTTTCAAAACTATAGCTCACAGTAGCTAGTTTCAGACTATATACTATTTTGGCTTATGAAAGCCTATTTGAAAAGTTTTCTTTAATCATAAAATAAACTGTTTATATACTGATAAATAGCTTGATTTCCTGGAACTCTCTATCCTTTTAATTAGAATTTATTTTTATTGGCAGTACAGAAAAAGTTCCTGAGCCTTCACACTTTTTGCCTTAAGGGATTTATTAATTTTACTTAGAATCTAAATAAGGTTCAATAGATTAATCTAAATTTAAAAATGTCATTGTTCTTATATTAATTTTGTTCTTTAAGATACGCTTTTTCAATTTTTTGTTAGTTTAACAGAAATGTGTAAAGTAGACTGGTTCTCACCCATTTTTATTCAAGATAAGTTATTGTCAGTTAAATAAGCTGGACCGCAAAGTGAGATAACGCTGCTGTTGTTGTTATTGGATACGCCACTCGGAGTTCTTGGAGCAGCCAGTCGTATTAATCATTAGCCTGACCTCGACCCTTTCGATCCATCCCCTGAAAACCGCCATACGCCATTCGCCACCGATGGGAAAACAAGTTGATGGGGGCTGTCAGCTTATGTGCTGCGCTGGGCACAAATGAGAAAACTGCCAACGGCTAAACATAAAAATAAATAAATAAATTTGATTGCGATTGCGGTTTCTTGTCTGGACTTGGACGTGGACTTGGATTTGGATTTGGAATTGGACTGGGCTTTCGCCCCGGGCTCGCCCTCGCCATTAATCTGTCAGTGGGATTTGGCCAAAAGGCAAATCGAGGGCTTTGATTTTTGTCGTAGTTCGGCTCTTCCGATTGCTCGTCCCATCATTGTGGCTGCTTTTTGCGTCTTGGGATTGTCTCAGCTGTCACTCGTTAGGGTTTCTTGTCAACACCCGTCCTTTAAGCCACGACGTCGTCGGCCCCATCTCCTGCATAGTCCGCCACTTTCACGGTTTGTCATCGCAATCGCCATGGCACCACAATCTCATGATTTGGCACTTTTGGAGCTAAAGGAAATGGGTATCATGAGTGGCGAAGTGAAGGGTTTTTTTTTAACACTCCATGAATGCGGGTGGTTATTTATGAGTTGGTTGAAATCGCAGAAGAAAATAAACTTTAAGCTGGCAAAAAATAAATTTGGTTCTGATTCTGATTCAGCAAGAAACCCCATATACAATAAATTAAATTACTTTAAAATATGGCACCAAAGAAACCCTCTTTATTTTCACAAAGTTAAGTTTAAATGGCGAAACTATTGTAAAATGATCTCGCAGACACCACATGGAAAACCCATAAAAGGACTAAATGCAGCAGAAAATGACTTCAAAAATGCACACAAACGTGTTCCGCACAAAAGAGCTAAACGAAAGCGATGGCCAAAACAATGCGGCCTTCTCCTTGGCTCTTTCACAAAAACCCTCCCACCTCTCTTGCCACCAAAATTACTCATTCGCCATGGAGCACGACTGCACTTACACATAGTGACGTGTTTTGTGTTTCTGTTTCTGTTCCTCTTGTTGTTGCAGTCGCTGTTGGCAGCTCGGTTCCGCATTCAGCAGACAAATAGACATGCCCCGTGCAGACGTGAGTCAGACATGGACGGAGACCGGTGGACACAAATACGGAGCAGGAGACGGAGGCGGCGGCGGACGCAGACGCGGATGTGGACGGACTCAGACGGACACGGACGAACACTGGCGGACAGGGACGGACGGAAGGGCAAAAGCGGTTGGCAAACAAGCATGCACCAAGAAAAATGAAAGCCCTATCAGTATTTTTACTCATTGAGAATATTATTATCAGGGTTAGAAATTCCAAAAATTCTTGATTATATCAGGTTTTTAAGTGGTTATCAAAATTAGTAATATTGATGTCATTTTGTAGTCTAGAAAAAGGGAATCACAAGGTTTGAATGGAGTTAATATACATTTAATTAATTAATAAATTGTACAAGAAATGAGCATTTTCACAAAAAGGTGCTTTAGATATAGAATGGTATACATGCATAATTTTATTTTCTGTGTATAGGCAAGTAAGGAAAAAATGCGAAATCCGTTCGCATTCGTTGGCGGGTGTTGGCGAAGTGTTGCCAACATAAAACACTCCGCCGCCATAACGTAATTTCTTTTGTTTATAACGTCCTGCAGTTAATACATTTGCATTGTGTGTATTGCCGAGGTGTCGGCGACGGTTCCTCCCACACGGTTTCAGCCCCAGGACAACAAAAGGATATCCCTTCGAAACTCCCCCTTTGGGCCATTGTTTCCATTGCTTTTACCGCCCATACTGCCAATGTTTTCCCTGTAACCGCTTTAGCATTATTTACTGAAAGCCAAAGAGAGCGTTTTTTTGTGTGCTGTAAACGCGCTGTTCACAATGGTTAAGGTGCGAAGCCAGTAGGATTTTATGTCATGCATTCTTAATGAATATTTTTAATGTACTCGTATGAAAATCAGTAAAAAGCGCATTAAGCAGCAGCATATTTTGGACTGCCATTTAAAACTATTATTAGAAGATATACATATTAAGTACGGCTTTCATTTCAAGCAATAAATTACCTATTGAGATATACAAAAATGCATTGTTCATGCTCTTACAATTTTTTGTTAATATTTTTTTTGGTTAATATTTTTTTAAGAATTAAAGGATATTTTTGCCAAAGACATTAACATAATGCCTGACTGCCTACTAATGGATCTGACAGAAAATTCCAACTTCGGCTGACGGAACGTTCTATTCTTATTATCATTTTATTCAAAGCCTTTTGTTTACCCATTCTAGTGAAACTCCATAGAATATGGTGAATATTAGGGCGCACTGGGGCTTCAAAATCAAACAAAAGCAAACACAGCGAACACAAAAAAAATGTATTCTCCACGAATGTGAGTTGCATAGCGATTTGACGATGAAACCCCACAGGGCCATTAATTGTATGTCGCCTAAATTTTCTTGCCAGTAACGTTGTGTTGGCCATTTCGGCCATAGTTTTCAGTTGCTGCCACTGATATTGTTCCTGTGACTGTTGGCCATGTTTCCAGGGAGCAACTAAAGCCGCTTTTGTTGCGTTGCTGCCTTCTTTGTGTTGAATTGCTAGTGCTGGTAATTTATGCGGCTTCCCAGTTCCGCCACTCCCATTTTCCCTCCAATTTTCCACACATTTTCACTATGGAGCGCAGAGCGATAGCTGACTTTCATTCAGCCAAGTCAAAATTATTCGCTTTGATTTGTATTTTCCCGAATTTCTAAATTAGAGGGCAATCAAAGCGTAAACTTTTATTTCTCTTTGCTGGAAAAGGCACACGAAATTGGTCGTCGCGAACAGCGAAAATATATCCTCTAATGTCCTTTCAAAAGCGATTTTCTCAACTGCCCAGAAAATTGGTTGCCATGGTGGCCATGGACAATAACAAAAAAATAGCAACCATGGTAATACATGTTCGCCAGGCACATCCAATGCTCCCCATATCGCATACACCTCCTTTTACGTGCGGACTTGTGTGTGCAAGTGTGAATATTAGGTCACAGACGTGTGTGTGTGCTTCTACCCTCAAGAGCGATTCGCTGTCGCTGGATTTCCTCGGTTGGGTATTTTATTAATTACCGTGCTCCTTGCTCAACATTTTGCTGCTTGTCTTTAATTGTTTGGTATTTAGTAAAAAATTTAAGTTCCATTACAATAAATAGGGTTTAATCACAGAAGTTTGTGTAGCTTCTATCTTCTATATATAATTTGGTTTTTGTTATCCTTGAATTTATATTGTAAAACTTATTATGAAATTATTTAGTCCTGTTTTTAGCCTTATTAAATATAACGCATTTATTTTCTTAGCTTTCAACAATGCTTAAAAATGGAAATAACTTCATTTATATTGGTAATAACTTAACTAAACTTACTAATATCAAAAATGCAAGCTTTTATCTTGGGGATTGGAATTTATAAAAATTAAATTTAGCGTGGGACCTGGGCGAACACAAAGCCACCCGTGAGGAGATGCCAGGAGCAGAAAAAGTGGCTCACAAAAGAGGACAAAGTGAAAAGCTATAATCAGATTTAATTAAACACGAAATTGGAACGTTGGCTGGATGTCAGGCACGCCAGAATGTGTGTGACACGGTCACTGGCCATGTCCCCCCCCTTTTTGGCTGTGGGTCCTATTTTCAGTTCAACTCAGTAGTATATATACTACAATATGTACTGTACACTTAGATGTGTGTGGCCGTGATATATATGTTGCATTTTTTTGCAGCCTGCTTCTGATTTCTCATTATTATTTCGCTTTATGTGGAGCAGCTGGCGACGATTTCTAAGTGTGATAAACGTACAACCGAAGCCCCATGGCGTTTCGCTTTTTATTTTTCTCATTTCACTGCGGATAAGGAACAAAGTGGAGCAGCTGGGCAGCTCCTTACTGCCATCATTACTTTTAACATCCGCCCACACATCACTACACATCCTTTGGGATGGGCATTTGCATGGGGCGACAATGTATTCATGGCCTGCGCTGCCATGATAAACCGATCCACGCTGCGTATACGTAATATTTCACTTTGCATGCACCCTTAAGTGCGAATTGCGCCTGCATGGCCAGTGGCAAAATTTATGCATTGATTGCCTCGATTTATGAGATATCTTCACGCATCCAAATATTGACCCAATCCAGTGGGCACCATGATATGGGATTAAGCTGACAGAGAGAAAGTAATCCATTCAATGCATTTATTAAAATACTACAACATTCATTGAATACTGAAAGTTTTCATTTGTCCTTAAATAATAAGACATTGCTTGAGTTTCTTTAAATTTTAGTCTTCAATATATGGTAATACAATTCATCTTCAATTGGTCAAGTTAAATTTGGATTAAGTTTATTACCACTATTTTAAATAGAAATCATTCAGTTCCTCTCAAAATGAATTTCGGTCACTATTATCCATTATCGTCTGATGGCCGCAAGCTGTTGCCAATTACTTTGGCATTTTTTCTCAGCCATCAAATAGCATTTTTTCTAACTAAATGCACTTTTTGTTTGCAGAACGAAATTGGAACGCTGGCCGAAACCCGTTTATCTCCAATGAGGCGACACATTCGGCGGAAGGAAAATTCATAAATGAAAGCTTCTAATTGCCGGAGAATGACAAACGCGACAAGAAATCAGCGCGAGCGAACAAAAGCAAAGCAAACTTTTTAGGCAGCCCTAAAAGCAGCAGCAGCAGCAGCAGCAGCGAAAGCCGCGAAAATTGAGCCACCGAAGCGGCGGCGATGCTGTTGATGCCCACATCCTGTGGGCCGGGGCCACCACCCACCGACCTCGGCCCCTCATCCTCATTCTCGTCCTTGCCCCCGCCAACCCAACGAGCGGCAGATGATGGAGACACAGTGCGGAGGTCAGGGACCCAGGCCCCAAGGACTATTTCGGGGTCGAGCATTCCCCAATGGCTGATAATCCTCCTCGGTCTCTTCGCCATTCTCGCCCAGACACCAAGCAGCCAGGTGGCCGCCGAGAAGAGTAAACACTGTGAGTACACCTTTCTAAATAAAATTATTTATTGTTTTTCAGTACGTATGGTTAACTAAAAGATTATTGAATTTTACAAATTTAGGAGATTTTTCTTAAAATTTACTGCTAAAGTTACATTTTAAATAAACTAAACATTTTCAGATACTTTCCACTTTAAATTTAAAATTTTATTTTAATGGATTTAGATAGTATTAATATTTAAAAGCATAAGTAAGCTAACACTTTCTTCATATAGGACCATAAACTTTAAAGTCTTATGGCCTAAGCCTCTAAAAACCTGCATTTAAATTTTGCTCTAAAATTATGAGTTGTTCTGTATTACGAAATATCTTCTTAATTAATTCCGAAATAATCGTGCAGAAAACAAACCAAAATCCGGCAGTTTTAAATCTATAACTTTTATCTTAAGTATCCGATTCTGAAATGGTATATCTTAATCGCCTTTGTGCTTTGTTACCTTAAAAACTGCGTTCAAAACTTGGTTTGTAATTTTGGGTAGATTTTTTGCATTTTTAATGATGTAACCCCTTTAAAAATTTTCAAAAAAGTCATGTTTGCAGAAAAGTGACGAAAAACCTGTAGTTTTAAATCCATAACTTTTCATTCCGCCATCCGATTTCAAAGTGGTATATCTTTAAAGGCTTATGGCTTAAGCCTCTAAAAACCTGCATTTAAATTTTGTTTTTAAAATTTGAGTTGTTATTTAAAACGAAATAAATCCTTAATTAATTTCCAAAAAATAGCTTTGCAGAAAAGTTACCAAAGTCCGGCAGTTTTAAATCTATAACTTCTTTCTTAAGTATCCGATTCTGAAGTGGTGTATCTTAATCGCCTTTGTGCTTTGTTACCTTAAAAACTGCGTTCAAAACTTCGTTTGTAATTTTGAGTCGATTTTTTGCATTTTTAATGATGTAACCCCTTTCAAAATTTTCAAAAAAGTCATGTTTGCGGAAAAGTGACGAAAAACCTGTAGTTTTAAATCCATAACTTTTCATTCCGCCATCCGATTTCAAAGTGGTATATCTTTAAAGGCTTATGGCTTAGGCCTCTAAAAACCTGCATTTAAATTTTATTTTTAAAATTTGAGTTGTTATTTAAAACGAAATAAATCCTTAATTAATTTCCAAAAAATAGCTTTGCAAATAGCTTTACCAAAATCCGGCAGTTTTAAATCTATAACTTTTTTCTTAAGTATCCGATTCTGAAGTCGTGTATCTTAATCGCCTTTGTGCTTTGTTATCTAAAAACTGCGTTCAAAACTTGGTTTGTAATTTTGGGTCGATTTTTTGCATTTTTAATGATGTAACCCCTTTCAAAATTTTCAAAAAATTCGTGTTTACAGAAAAGTGCCCAAAAACCTGCATTTCTAAATCTATAACATAAACAAAAATGTCTGATCGTAAAACATTGCTTAAGACAGTAAAGTGTCTTGACTTTCATTAAAATCAAACTACGCAAAAATATTATTTTCATAAAATGTTTTTCATGTAAACAATTTTCGCATTTACCAAAAACTTTTGTCTGTTTAGATAAAAATATATTTTATCATTGACATGTGGGGAAATATTGTGCCATTTTATACATGTCATACACATATTTGTGTACTCAAATATGAAAGTAACGCTTTCCACCCTCCATAAACTTTGCTCGTCTTGTACAATGAAATCTGTCAACAGCTTAGTTTTATGTTTTGTGCGATTTCCTTCGCCTGACAATAAAAATTTGTTTGAGCAAATGTAATAAAAGTGCATTTAAATGTTACTGTCGAACGGATAAATCCGAAAAAAATGAAAATCCTTGAACTATAAACATAAAAGCACCAGGCACTCACGCAAACGTATATACACACAATTACATGGCTGGGCGAAATCATTGTGTGGCAAAGCTCTTGTGGTAATTCATTCACTTTCCGCATATTGTTTATGTGGCGAATAAACAACAAATAAATACATTTTTACGATGCAATGTCAACGTGCACACAGAATTATTTACATGTGTACAAAAGCACGTGCGAAGGCATTCATGCGCCATTTGTATTGGATAAAGCATTTTTCGCTAAGAAAAAAAATGTCTCTTTAGCATAATAACTTAAATCACGATTGTTTACTTAAAAATTTGATATTCAAAAAGAAAATATTCATTATTTATGTTTTACCCAACAGACCTAACATAAATAATAGACTTTAAAGTACTTGCAAGGAAGTAATTTGTACCTAACAAGCCTAGTGTCGGAAATAGTCCGATTATAAACTAGCTGGGAGAAGCGTATGTATATGGTTTCCCCGATATGGCTAAACAGAGAACGGTGACCGCAATTGCCGACCCATGAAATGGAATTTCTCCCTTCTCTGCGCTTCGTGCACAGTGCATTTTGCGTTCCGGCGACGAAAGTTGTTGGCGCAAATTATTTCCGTATTTTAGCATTAAATCATAATTAAAATTTTGAAGTAAAACAACTTACATGCCAGCAATTGGGGGCGCCGCCTCCTTTGCGGAAAGTGGGTTCGAGGATTCGCATTTGGAGGCGGAGGCGTAGTCGGAGTTGGAGTCGCAGCAAATGCGAAAGTTTGCTAGTCGAGGGCGCAGAAAAAGTTCGCTGCATACTTATTTGGGCCTGTTTCCGGTTTGCTGCTGACGCGGCAGCCTTTTTCTCTCCATTTCCCGCCCTTTTTTTCCACCGTGAGTGCTTCGCAGCCTAATTGAAGCCTCCGCGGAAAATAAATCGGGTGACAAGTGTCGATGCTTACTGGGAATTGCTTTCGAACAGACTAAAAACAACCAATTTAGGAAAATAAAAAATAATATATATAAATATAGCTTGGTAAAAGGTTTTAGGATTCTCAAGACTAAAGATTATTTTTTTTTTTTGTTGAGAGTATTTTTTTAGACTATGTGGCCCTTTTGAAAAGAAAGCTACTAATAACAAAATAAAGTGTTAAAAAAAATTGTTATGGAGTTATAGATAATTAAGATAGGTAGATTGCCTATCCATTCCAAAATGCTAAAAACCTAAATTTAGTTTTTAAGGTTCTAATGTATAATGTAACTAATATGATACACATTTTTGTATTCCATTTTTGTATACTATGTTACCCTTTTGAAAAGAAAGCTACCAGAAACAAATCCAATTGTTTACAAAAAATTTTTATGGAATTTATTTAAAAAAATTGTCTTAAAATAATCTTGTCTGAATTTAGTTAGACAGGATGTCTAAGTTTTGCAGTGGTAAAACCTTAAATTTTAATTTAAGGCTCTAATTTTAAAAACAAAATTAATATTAATAAGGGAAAACCTAATTATTTATTTTACCGCTGTTTTCAATAGTCTCCTAAAACTTTCCAACTCGTTCCACTGTGCCCCCCTCTGATAGCGTTTTTCTTGCTCATTTCCGGGCGACGCTTAGTTGCACTCGCTGTTGCTTCTGTCCCTGCTGCTCCTACTCTTGGTCCTCCAGCTCCAGCTCCTGATCCTGCTCCTTATTTGCTGTGGTCACACACCCAGACTCTGACTCAAACTCAAACGCAGACACAACCGCAGGCACTTCCCCTTGTCGGCTGTTCCCGGCAGACTTGCGGCCCACGTGGCGTGTACTTAATTTCCCATGCTCATCGCTGGGGCGCGTTTACGTTTTTACCGGCCACATACTTACCGCCTACCCCGGCCCAATTTCACCCCCTTTTACCCCCTTTACCCAACTCCTTTTACCCCTACTTATTCCGCTTTCGAGCCGCATTGAAGACTTTCCAACTCGTTCAACAAAATTTTGCACAAAAGTTTCATAATTAATTTCATGTTAAGTGGCAATGCGAGTGATGGGCGTGGTTTTGCCAGCCCCTTTTTCCATCCAGCCTCTTTTCCCGCCCACCCCCAAACCCCCCAAAAAAAAAAAAAAAACCTTCTGGACTAGTGTCTTTAATTTGAATTGTCATTTCCTTTCTTCAGCTCTCGAGGCAGCCACTTCGGTGTCGTCTGCCAGGCATCCGGTTGTGGCCACGCCCACTTACTACAACATCCTTTTACCACAATACCCCTCCACTCCCCCCAAACCATCCGCACGTTCAACTTGATTAGCGTAACTTATAATGACTCGCAGGAGCAGCGAGTTTGGGGCCAAAACTTGTTGGGTCTCACTCAAATTCTATTCTGGCAAAACACTTGCAAACGGTTACTTACATAAGCAAATATATACCTACGGGTTTTTGGGGGGTTTTCCGAGGCATTTGCAAGTGGTTTTCATAATTACTTTGTGTGTGTGTGAGCAAACTTTGCGAACTGTCACAGAACCGGAACTCGGCTTTCATGTGCTTGTTAACTCGCCATTTACAAAAATGTGTGTGGTATTTGCTCGTAATTACATAACCATATATTAACAAGCATATTACTTAGCATCTCGCATTTTGATAATTAGATTGCGTTCAATTTAGTTAAATTGGGCATGCGCTTATGGCTGTTAGTTGATGAATATAAAACTAATTAAATATGTTAATAAACACCAAAACTTATAAGGAATTCACTTTCTGGACTTAATTTAATTGAATAAAATAAATAATTTGCTAGAACTCAATTTTGAGCATACATATGTTTATCATTCAACCTTGTTTCAGTGCTAGAAGAAATATTTTTAGAAATATTAAATTCGTATAGGATGAGTATTATATGCAATTAAAGCAAATTTGCACAGTTAAATAATAATGAAAACCAAGAAAAGCTTGGCCAAAGGAAATTGGCTTTTCTTCTTTTTTTAAGGATATTTATTTAATAGATTTCATTTTCATTTTTAATGTGAACATCTTATTGGGTTTTTATGTTTAATGGCGGAAATCTGTAGCTCGCACGCTTTTCCTCAATACATCCCTCCGCCCGCAGTGTGCCATTCTTTGCAATAATGCGAACATTATACAATTTTGAAAATATGTCACGTTGCCGGGATCCAACTCCAACTCCTTCCATTTCCATACTCCAACTCAAACAGAAGCTCTGATGGCCGACTGCCAATAAATTTGTGAGAAAAACAACTGTCGACGAGGACGGAGAAGTGGCATAAAACTTTTGCTCTTTGTGTGGCATAAATGTGAATGAATGGATTTGGACTTGGACTTGAGGCTTAGGAGTGGGACCAACTGGTCCACTGCGGCATATACGTATACATATACCCCATCCTATCCCATCGCATCCCGTCTCGTGGCACATACAAATATTCCAAAATGAGTTTCAGACGAGAGGAGCCCAATGCGGTCTTCCCACGTCAACGGTTGACTTCACAAAGGCAAAAGGGCTGAGGGCGAAGGGGAAAGGAGAAAGGGGCAGGGGGCAGGGGGCAGGGAAAACAGGGACTTTCCATGGGCAATAAATTTTAATTTTCCTTAAATCCTTGCGCATACGAAATGAGATTTGTAACAAGCCGCAGCAATCATCTGATGGCGCTTTCTTTTCACTGCCTGCAAACTTCTCTAAGTGAGAAAATAATGCTATGGCATATCTTGATTAATTGTGAGAATAATTATTTTACTCAAATTCCCTAATGCTTAACCCTTCTATGCCAGTTCTCAAATGGATGAACTTAATCATAATAAAATTCTTGGCTTATTTTTGAAAAAATTCAGTGAAACAAATTACTTGATAAAATAATGTCTTTTGGAAGATTTTAGTAAAAGTTATTGTATTTATCTAGCTATTTGTATCTGTGCTTAATTTGGATTAACTTACTTATGTTAAATTAATTTTGATTTTTTTTTTTAACTTTTAATATAATTTTATACCCAATACTCATTTCTAAAATATCTTTTAAATTTTAAACAGCTTCTTAGCGATATTTGGCGTCTTCGACCTTCGACCTGCTTGTTTCCAATCCCTGGCCCCACTTATAATAAATCTTTGGTGAGTGACGATGACTCAGCTGCTTAGCGATCCCTGGAGAGCGGGGACAGGTCACAGTCAAATGCGCAGATAAATGTTTATGGAAGATAAATTGCAGCCAGCGGATAGAAATCAGGCAACGCATAATAAATTCCATTTGTAGTTGCAAGAAGCTTTGGGCAAAATTAGGGAGTGGAATGGGGTGGGGTGGCAAATTTCGCGAGGGAAGCGATGCCAAATCGAGTATTGATGCGTTGGCATCCCGCGGCATGGTGTCATTGCCAAAAAAGGCCCCTCCCGATCCGAACAACCCACTTATTTTTGCACCCCCTCCATCTGGGCACCGAAAACATGGAGCACGAGTACCGAACAATGAATTCGCTCGATGCGAATTGGTTTTGTGAAATTGTCCACGAACGTGGGCGGATCATTTATCAATATTTCCGCTCTGCTGCTGGAAGCGGAGTAGGTAATCGCTTATTATACCGAATCGGTCGATAAATACAATACACATGTGAGTGGGTGTCCGTGTCCTGTTCCACTAACCCCAACAAAATTTAATTTATGTATTCCCCCCAAAAAAAAAACATCCTGTCAATTGCTTGAATTGGGTGTGACAAATCGAATTTGGGGAATTTCCAAACTTTGGCCCATTTTTAATTGGCTTTACAATGCTTACTTTTTGTCAACCCATCAGTATTTATTTATTCTATTTATTTCCACCCGAAATTTATTTGAAAACTATTTTATTTGCGATATTGACATTTGATAAATTCTGTTTTATTGTATAAACTGTTTTGAATTTTCATTGCCTGTCTACGTTTTTGGTAATCATTTCACATTTGATTATAGGTTTTACAGTTCTCTTTTAATTTTAAGTTGAGCACTATTTACAAATTGTAAAACATTGTGGATTTTCCGAACTGTAAAACACATTGTTGGATTTATCTCTACTTCAATAAATTGCTAATAAATCACAAAATGTACATTTAATTGGAATATTTCACTCATTTTAATTGGCAGCAAAAGGCTGTGCCCAAATACAATTCATATATTGTTCTTTCTGAGAGCCAAAAGATTTCTTCATCAATTTGAGAAAACTTAAAGTAAAAACCGGATTACTTGAGTATTGCATTGATGAATTCCGCAAATCCTGGCAAAAAGAGATAAAACGAGGGAAAGTGTACGGGTGGGGCCACAAAGGGGCATAAAATGAGTTGAACATTCCGGGCATTGTGCCTTCAGTTAAGCACATGAATCCCTTTTGTAATCAAATGCACAGAAAATTGTATTCTATTCAAGAAAAATCCACAGTGAGTCCCAAACCTCTTTCGTGTCTTCCTGATGGGCTTTGTATCGGCCAGGGCTTTCCTTATGTACTAATACTAAATATATATATATATACATATATACATATATTTTTGTGTCCTGTATCCTTAGCCGAGCTTGTGTGCGCGTGATCCACTTAGGCGTTGCACAGAAGTGAATCCACGCGGCCGCAAAACAAAGCGTGGAAATTATCTTCCCGAGCTGAGATTCCAACGGGGGGCGGACCGGTGGGCGTGGCCGGTGGCTGAAAGAAAAATATTACAAGAAGCGCCTAGACAATAGCACCGAAATAAGTAAACAACAATAATAAAATAAAATAATAAAAGAAAATAAAAGAAAAGAAAAGGGAAAGCTGGAGAAAAGACGCAGCACCAAACAATGGCGTAATAAACTAACGGTGAAGCTAAACTCGCCGGCAAAACTATGCAAAAAGTTTTTGCTTTGTTTCGCAGCAGCAGTAGCAAAAATGGAATTAATAAAGGGAAAAATGATTTTCGAAAAATATTTAAGCCCCATTTTATAGGCCAGATAAGACCAGCCGAAGGGCAGTGCAAATTTAATTAACAATTTGTGCGAGGGCTAAAGCAAACAAAAGCCACGCGGACCTTTGGCCGAACACTGCACATCCCGGGGGGCTCAGCTGGACTTACCTTCTCGTCCCGGACTGTCCGGCGATGATCTAGTCCGGGAATTGAGTAGCCCTTCGATGACAAGTTGAGAGCTCTTTGACAAGTTCTTAATGAAAAGTTGAGAGGCGCACATAATTAAACTGCCTTTTGCGAACGCAACTGCCAAAGTTTGTTCAATCAGCAAAGGAAATAGAGCAAGGTCCTTCGTCCCGAGTGTAGCAGGAAAGTTCCATTTTATTTGGAAACGATGCGTTCAGTACAGTCCTTTTCATTAGTAAGTAAATGGAAAACTAACAAAAATTCCTCTCTTTTTTATACATTTCTTTCAAATACAATTAAACTAATGAATGAAAAGGCTGGTAAAAAGAGTTTCCAAATGCTTTTAATAATTTAACATTCCTTAACTTACAGAAAACTAAAAATCTAGTGACTTTCATAATATTTCGCTAGAGAACTCAGTGCAATCAAAAAGTTGTAAAAAAATTTGCTTAAAAGCTTATTACACAATTAGGTGCCTAAACTTACAATCAACTAAACTTTTAATGGGACTTGTTTAAATTTTTTATCGCTTGAGAAGTCAATGCTATCAGAGGGAAAAATGTGCAATATAAATTCTAAAACTTTTGACTATTCAAACACTTTGACAAGCGACAATTCGCTTGATTATTGCCATGAAATGGAGGGAAAACGAACGAGAGACGGCCAGACTTCGCTGAGTCTTATCGTCTGGCCCATTTCAGGCATGTCCTTTTCGCCAGCTCCTGTTTGTGGGCATTTGCCTCGGGTCCTGCCTGCCAGTCTCTCAGTCGCCCAGTCTCCCCATAGTTCCTTCATTAGTTTGGCACTTCATCTTGGCTGCACGCTCGAGTGCCTCTGCTCTGAGGTTGCCACATTCTGAAAAGTGACAAAAGTTTAATGATGCGTTTAAGTTGCACGTGGCATGCCTCTTGCCCCTTTCCCCTTGCCCCTTGGCACCCACTGATTTCACTGCAGGACTCTCGACAGCATGATTTGATGAGCTCCACGCACTGCCATGCTCCTTCCAAAGGAGCAGCACTCCCAAAAACTGCAGCTGTCAGCATCTTATTGATTTTTATCACGTAACTCCCAGACAAATTATGGTGTGTAGGTACTCGGGCACTTAACATCGGCTGTAGGTCACCGATACACAGAAAACCAATATCTCATTCCGCTTATGGCTAAAATTTAATTATTATGAAAACATTTAAGTCAAAAGCAACGGGAGTACACAAATCTATAAATTTTGATTTATCAGCAACAAGATTTTCTTTTTCTGATCTCTTAATATTTATAAAAAAAAAAATTAGATCACTTACATAGGTAATTTAATTGAATAAAATTGTCCATAAAACTGTGTAAGCTATCTAAATTCAAAGATACAAATGTGAAACAATTCCTAAAGATTTTAGAAGAATCCCTTAGGAAACCAACAATATCAATTAAATATGAAGTTAATTTGGTTAATGTATTTTCTGAACTTTTTATGTATGTTCTTAATTTACATCCCTTAAATCTTTATACGATATTAAATTTAATATGTAAAATAGATAGGCAATGTTTGGTGAGTTAACCCATATTAAGCCTGATTAATTTCATCCACTTTGGAGTCCTCCAACTGCTTGAACTGAATGAGTATCACCAAGTATGTGGTCACAGCCGAAAAGATCTTGAAAAGCGTGGAGTTGTCAATGGCAAAGAATCCGTAGGCGGTGAACTGCAAATCCTGCTTAATGCTCTTGGTGAGGAACTTGTCGATGAGGTTCTGGAACTGTCTACTTTTGCCGTATACCCTTGCCAGAATCTGGACCGTACTATTCGCCTCGGATGCCAGGCAGTCGCAGGCGCTGCAGATCATGGCCATGGTGATGGTTTCGGCCAGCACCCAGGCATAGGATAGACCCATGGTGTCGGCCACATTTTCCTGAAGGCAGAATGCATCTAAGCGTTGGTTGAGGAATCCAATTCGTTGCGCCAAACTCCTCAGTAGAGTCCGCAGATAAATGGCAAAGACAGTGGAGTAGAGCAACTGCAATGAGTAGACCAGGAGCAGGATGACCTGCTTCTTGTAGTTAATGCCACTTCGAAAGTGGATGTAGTAGAAGGCCACCGCGAGTACTCCAAGTGCTGCCGTTCCGACCAGGATGCTCACATTCCGGCAGCTGTAGTTCTCCCGGAAGCCACTGATCACCAGATACTCATCGATTTTGGCAATATCCCGCAGAGTTCGAAAGTGCCTGGATGCATGCAGCACACTGGACAAGACCATCATCGTATAGCTGCCGATGCAGAGGAGTGTCTCGATGGTCCGGTTGATTTCCTCAGTGTCCCCTTGGTTATTGGCCACCAATCTGTATTCGCTGGACGCGAAGAGCACGTCGTGGCCGAAAAAAAGGGAGCTAATCAATATAGTTAAGGCCACCAGGCGTCCATACCAGCGACCCAGTCTGCCAAACCGAAAACTCTCCTCTTCGTTCCCTGCATAAAATGGAAGCAAGGCGTAGATCTGCGATGGCCTGGCTATAGCTCCAATATCCTGCACGATCTTCATCCCGGAGTTGTGTGTTTACTAAGAGTTACAAAAATAAAAATGGTAGCCCTTTAGTTCTAAAGCAGGTTTTGTTGATTTATTACCTTTAATTGATAGTAATAAAGACTAAATGGACATGGTAGTATGATATCATCGCACTTAAGCTTACATATAACAGTGAAACCTATTATATGGTTGTTTTTGCTATCGAACTCCAAACAAAATAGTTCTAGAAAGAATATTAATACCTTCGAAAGTAACCATTTTGTAAAACAAAACTTGTAAATACCAATGGAGTTTATATTTGGTTCGACCAAATATTTAATAGTAAGAAAAGAGCAATGTCAAGCCAACGTAAATATTATTAGCTAAAAAATGGGACTTTAATATTTCCTTTAGTTTTAATACTTAAGACTTTTGAATTTGTATATAATAAGCATAATAGTAGTCTGTCAGAAAAGTTACAAAAATGAACATCGCATCAACTTGGCAACATCTCCAATTAATTTGATCAGAGGCTAATATGGCTGCACTCCGAAATCATGAGCGATGAGTGTGCTAAGTAGTTCCCGTGGGTGAATGACAATCATTGGGTAATTACGAGCTAATGCGACCTGTCATAATTGTGGGCCGACATAAATGCCCGCGGAACTTGAAAGCCTGTCCGATGCGCCACGCAAATTGCCCAATTACTTTGACAAACCGCCGGCGGTGAGCGGAGCTCGATGACTCGGACATTCCGGGGGCCAAGGGAAGCGGCAAATCCAGTGCCCAAATGGAGATTATGCTCATTATGCAAACGCCTTCCACGGATGAGCTCGAGGTCGAAGACGTAGTCAGCCAGGCGAAAGGCATTTACTTCAATTATTTCATTAAAGCGGCAACAGCAGCGACAAAAGTCCTGGGGCGTCATCAGCGTCATCCTTGTGGCCATCGCAATGCCTCCAAGATGCCATCGCCATCGCCATTTCGGCATTTCGGTAGCGCTAATGGAGCGTGTGTGTCCGGCGCCAGCTGTCGGAGCCAGCAGCTCCGGCTTACTCAACTGGACGGAGCCTAGGTCCTAGGATACTGCACACAAAACAATTTTCTACATTTTTGTAGAAGCACAGAGAGATAGGCCTAAAATGTTAACAAATAACTTTAAAATACTCAAATATAACATAGCCTTAAGGTTTAAATTAAACATGTTTTAAATGCAAAACAATTTAAAACTATTGCCCTTAAAATATTGCGTTTGTAGTATATCTATGGGGGTCTTTTTAAATTGGAAACACTAATAAATGTTTTAGATTTGATAAATGAATTCCAACAATTACACCAATAAAAGGTTCTCTTCTCAATTAAGTTTAAAAATTTAAAATACCTTAAAATAACTGTAAAATATTTTCAAATTTTTTTTTTTTTTATTTTACGCATGTTAAATGCTCAAGAATATCATGATGTTTTATTTATTTACAGTATCAAGTACATAGAAGAAAGCCTTCAATATCAATACATCTTATTTATACTTTTATAAATTTGAAATAAATGAATAAAATTTATAAATTTAAAAACTAAAGAGCACGTTGTTGGTTGTGCCCTCAGTGTATAGTTGCGAGGGCGATGACTTCACACGGACGCCGAGGGTCATTCGGGGGTCAGTAAAATTCAATATCGAAGCTCAGGAAATTCATTGTTTAACCTTTGTTGCTTAAATTGCTCAAATTCCTGCCATTAGTTTGACAAACGAGCCAGCGAAATTATTTTGTTGCAGCCAACTTGCCGGGCACATCCGGAATGAAAAGGGGGCGTTGGGGGCTGGGGGCGTGGATGATCGAAAACCGACCAGATTTCGGGCCAAAGTTTTTGCACACAGCAAACCGAGCACCGGGTACAGAAGCAAAGGCAACTTTGAACCCCCGGCTCCACCACAAATCTCCATCCACTACAAACCGCCCACGAAACTTTCGTCCAATCCTCCAATCCTCCAATCCTCCTCGCTTTGGGGCACGCACTAAGCTTGCCCCGGTTGCGGTTTCGTTACCGTTGCCAGCCATTGTTCCCACTGCTCCTTGTGGCATCCACATCCACTTGCACATCCAGCAGCCTCGACACGGTGGCCATCCCCGGTTATTCCATTTGCTGCAGATTTATTTGTGGTTTTGCATAATCACTGAAAATTAGTTTAAAATATTTACATTAAATTTGCATCGCAAGGTCTGGGGACTGGGAGCTGCAGGAAATCCTAAGTATAAGCCCTTAAATGGGCATTAGCCTGCTGGCCGGACTCAAGCAGAATCTCCAAGAGAGGTCTAATTAAATAAGCCCCTTGATTAACTAGAATAAATTAAAATCCACAGTTATTGCAGGCAGTTTTTGAAGGGATTCTGATTTATTAAGGCTGCTTGATGAGCGAGCAGTTTGAAGTAAGGAACCGTATACTTTATATTATAAAGTATACGCAGCGTTGTTTAACTTTTAACTTGTTCAAGTTGAAATTCAAAACACTTTCGGCCTATACTAAAATATGACGATTTTATTATTTCTACCAAAGAGTTTATCAATAACTACAAAAATAGCTACGAAACTTTGCAAACACATTTCAAATGAGAATCGAATATCGAATGCCCGTAAAAGTTAAACTGATTTAACCACTTTATCGAACTACTAACATAAACAAGAAGAGTCGATAAATATTGAGTCAGTTCTCCTCGTATATTTTGTTTTGCCATCCAAAACTTTTCCGTAGTCAGCGAATTATTTGCTAAAGCATCTTTGAAACTTTCTCTAATCACAATTCGGCATAAAGTTAGATTCATCAAATAAACTTAACGGAATCTCCGTTTGCAATTGCAATACACCTGCCAGTGTATTTGCAATGCTCAGTGATTATCCTTGGGAATATCCTTTGGGAAATGCTTTGGCTGCGACTCGCTTGTTTACGTTTCTCAACGCATATAATAATTCCCACCTTGCAATGCTTCTAGTTCTACTCTATATAAGTCAATGCTCTCAGGCTACGAAGCACAAGTCATACACTCAAAATAATAAATTAAAATAATGTGCTCTTAAAAGTTAAAAAAAAAAAATATTATAAAAATATCAAATGATAAATATGATTCTTGTTATATATCAAATTAAAGTATTTTTGAAAAGCATAATATAATAGTTTTATTCAGCCAAAAAAAAAATGTCATGAAAACTGAACTATTTTTATTCGAATTTTAAACTGTTGGGTATGAACAATTTCTCAATAAGATTAATATAAATTTATTATAAATTTATAAAAAAAAGGTCTTTAGACTACAGTTTTAAACTCTTCGGTATATAAATGAAACTAAAAAGTATAGAGGTTATGTTATTTAGTATAAAACTAAAACTTAAACTTTAAGACACCCCTATCAATTTATTTATCAACCTAAATAAAACAAAATATTGTAAATCATGTAGTAAATCCTTAAATGCAGAAATTTTTCCCAGTGTAACTAGGGTTGCCTTTATTTGCGAAGGTCGACCCTTGCGTGTGACTGTGGCCCAAGAAAGCAGGAGCAGCACAAAGTTAGAAAGCAGAGTAAACATCATTTCCCAGCCAGAGAAAACGAAGACATTTGAAGACATCTAGTGTCCTGTGGGACTAGAGAATGGGCAAAAAACTGCACTTGGAGTTTGGGCCAAAACGCATTTGGGACCACCAAACACTTCCGGCATCCCTTTTACCGTCCTCGGCCGGAAGCATTAAGCTGCAGAATGGCTTCTCCTCCTGCGGGGGCCATTACCAATGCGATTTTGGAGTGCGGCAAGTTATGGTGACGACCAACGACTTGGACGTTCGCAGATTGTTTGCGAATAGCCTTTGGCAAAATAGGGATTTTAACCATCACGATAAGTCCAAGGGAACGGCTAAATAAAAGACTTTGCGCGTGCTACTCAAATTGCAACATAAAAAGACTCTCAGCTACTACAAAACAGTTCTTGTGGCATTATTAGTCTATTAATAACGCGGGAAACAAAGCCTTCAAATTAATTATGCCAGTTTTAATCCTTTTGGCAGTGGCTCTGACTTAGCAAATGACATTCCGACCGAGTAATCCCGGCCATTAACTGAAAAATTGGCTTTGGCTAGCAGATGAGACTCAGTCAGTTTTGGATTTGATATTTTCATGAACACGCCGACCAGATTGAGCTTCTTTTTTTTTTGCTATGCCATCTCCCTTTTGATGTGGGACACACTCAGGATTTAAGCCCGGCATTATCCCTAATTTCGAAAATGCCGTTTTCCTGTGTTTTTGCTGCCCAGCCATCAAAACTAAGCCCGGCCTCCAGTACAAGATTCCATTCGAGGACCGACTGGTTTTTCCCCCCTTATTTTTTGCCCTCGTTATCTGTTTTATGCTGCTCCTCCATTTATTTTCCTCCTTTTTCCCTGCGAATGCATAAACAAATTGAAGATAAACATACTTATGTGTGAATATCTCTATGCGAGAGGGCACTGAGACGAAAAATAGAGACATTCTTCAGAAACTAAACAAAAATATAAGAGCATATAAGTATTTTGCCAATTTTGAAGTCCACTTTTTTTCTTGAGTTTAAAATTTGCTTTTTATACTATAAAATATTACAACTATATTCAATTTTCTTTAAAAAAAAAAAACAAATTGGGAAATAAATGTTTTAATCAGTTTTATATTATTAGTTTTATAAAACTACTTGGGAAGGAAAAAATAAAATGGTATATAAAAAGCCTTGCGAAATATTGTGTTAATACTTAACATTTAAGAGTTTTTATCTTTAAATTACCTTAATTTTTTTCAAGTGCAAGCAAATGGCTCATGAAAGAACTGAACTTGAAACATGTTGCAATTTCAGCCAACAGATCCGCGATGCCGCCTCCTCTGCAAATGGAATTGTTTTCCCTGAAGCCGACAACAATTGTGTCAGAAATGCCTTAATTTATAGAAAATGTATCTGCTAGATGGGAATGGACTCCATCTCCAATGCCATCTCCATCTCCATCGCCATCTCCATCTCGAAGCTGGCTGCCAAGAGTGTCACATGGGTTTCAACGTCCTGCGCGGCTTTCGTTTGTCTTTCACTTCACACAGAGCACCCGACAGCCCGAAGGCAGCCACCATTTGCTCTGGTCCTTTGCCCAACCCAAACCCGACTCCCCCAAGAGCCACTCCCACTTCCGCCCCCTATCTATCTCGGAATATATCTCCATCCGCCGGGGGCCCAGCGCAGATGCATGATAATCCCGATACGTACATGAGGGTAAACACAGTCAACTCCACTCACTCCTCGCAATCCTGTCCAGAAATGATTGAGGGATTTCTGGCCGCCTAGGAGTCAATGATAAGGCAAGCGGCAACCGAGCACTTTGCGCTCCATTTTCACTCCACCCAACGTAATTGATATTTTACAATTGTCTCTGCCGGTTCATTTCCTTTAGCCCAACCCCCCCCCTTATCCTTATCCTCATGCTCATCGTCTCAGTGGCAAATTGTGCAGAAATTCTATTTCTATTTCTCACTTTTACCGCCCTCCGCCCAAGTTTGGCACATGGCATGGTGCAGATGTAGATACGGATGCGGATGCGGATTCAGAATCAGATTCAGATGCACATGGATCTGCCGGAGCTGCACCATTTGTCGCTGTCGATGTCCCACTCCCAGCTGAGTGAAATTATTCAGCCGGCAGCAGCTGCAAGTGAATTTATCAGGACGATAAAGGCTCCGAAAACATAACTTCTGATATACATATTCAGGAGTGCAGCGGTAATCTCTTCCAACCGAATTCCTCCCGAAAGTCGTGTACTTTTTCAAAACTATCTGAGGAGCCAAAAGATTTATCGAGTTTGATCTGGTAGATAGAAATTATATATTTTAGTTAGGAAATATCTAGTGTTTAAATTTTAATAACAATCACAAAAATCTCCAAGAACTACTTATTAAAGATTTTTGCTGCTATAATTTTAATTTAATAGTATTTTTATTTTAGTTACATCAGTTAGTTTTTGTTACATTAATTTATTATTTTTTTCTTAACCTACGAAGCGTATTCATAAAGTCATTAGCCAGTCAAAATATAAACTATGGTAGTATTTTGTTGGTATCATGATTATAAACCATTACATAACGCTAATCGGTTAATTCCTCGTTAAGGTCATGACTCGTGAGTTATTTTTCACTGCCTTTGTTTACTCACTAGAATGTTGAGTAGAATGTGGCTAAGTGCAGAGGAAGCCAGCGGAAAAGCTGCCTCCAAAAATTTCCACTACCTGAAAGGCCACGGAAAATTACTAACCAAGTGGCTTGCGGCCAATTTGTGCAGGTGGCAAAGGAGGAGCGGAACCACGCCCCCTTTTCACCTCTTGTTCCACGCCCATCAGAGCTTCTTTGAGCTACACTCTGCTATTTACTTTGCCGGAGATCAAAGCGAAATGTATAACGAAATTGCCAATTACATATAAAGCAGGAAAAACTGTCTACCTAGTGAGGCAGTTGGGAAACATTTCATTTCATTTTTTTTGGGGCCGAAATACACATAGAAAAGAATCGGACTATATCAGTTTTTATATGTCACAAAATTAAATTTAATTCAGTTAATATTGAAACATCTTTTTTACACAAACAACAACGTAAAATAATAAATATTTCAAGTTAATAATATTCTTTGAAAATTCAGAATAAATTTTGTTTTCAAAAAAGTATGCTATTCTTTTAGCGAACTTAGTATTTGCCGTATTTTTTCTCTGTGTATTGGAGCAATAGGGGCTAAAACAAAGGGCAGCCAAGTCTGTCAGCAATTCAATCCAAATTGTGAATTCAATTTTGAAGTTGGCAACGCGGCGAGGACAACATTTGTGACCGAAAATGAGGCATTTGCAGGCGAGCCAGGAGCTCACATGATGGCTCTTTTTGCCATCATCCAGTGCCGGGGCGTAAAACGAATTTGTAGTGAATTCCTTGGGCGTGCTCCTGCTCCTGCTCCTGCCCCCCGTGCTGTTCCACATCTCCGCTTGCCAGGATGCGGCGTCATCTTTTCGTGTGCGTTTTATTGGGGGCGAAATTGAATTAGTGCGGCGGCGGGAGCGGAAGCGGTTGCTAGGCAGGAAATTGCCTGAAATCAGGCGCACGTAAGCTTAGGGGGTGCCCCCCACTTAAACTCGCCCATTGCCTTAAACCCTCCCCCTCCCTCCCTCTTACACACATTATTATGTTTCATTATAAACCCGCCCCAATGTCCTGCGTTGGTTTTATGGTGTAGTTGCTATATGTACAAAGTCCAGGGCTTCATTTGCATGCCGCTACGTGGATGTCCAGCTGGCCAGCTGGCGGCGGAGCTCCTCGCCTCCAAATGGCTCTCGTTTCATGTTAATGCATTTGGCACTTAAGCGCCATAGTTTGCGCCATCAAACTAATTAAAAGTTGCTTAAATAATGTGATATTATTTTCGCATTGCCGCCTGTCTGCAGCTGGGCTTTGACTTCCTCTTCCACTTCCACTTCCACTTCCACTTTTCGAAGCTCGTCGACGTTGAGGTCGTTTTGATTGAGCCGGGGCAAATTAAAAGTTCAGCACGGAAACTGTCTCCTTGGACCACTCAAACTAATCACACAAATCACTAAAAATGGCCAACGATGGCAAAGTTATTTTAAAAAGTATATATTTCCCTCTAAGACTATGATCTCGAATGGGGTGAAAAGTTGGCTAATGTGCTTACATTAGCAAATTAAATACTTGGGAAACTCTAATTGTTCAAAAACTATAGTTATATAAAATACAATTTTAAGTGCGCATAGAAAATAGAGTTTTTAAAAAGTTATATTAATCTGCAAAGCTGAAAAACAGATTCAAGTTTAGATTTAAAAGCTAATGTTTTAAGATTCTGTAACTTCATTTTTAGGACATACCCGTATCTCTACAAACTCTCATAGTTTTATGTTTGGTTAACAATATTATTAAGCTGCCAAATCAATCAATGCAAGATGTAGACTTTTGTAAATTTATAATGGAGAAACTTTAATAAAGAACTGGTTATAATAAGTCTATACTTTTTTGGTAACTGTGAGAGTATATAAACTTTTACTTACCAAAGTTATCTTTCTTCCTTTTTGTATATTTAAATATCGTTTTGCCACTCTTTTGAAGTTACTCCCAAATGTTATAAAGGCCATTCCCTGCTCGGTTTACGACCAGATTAGGTATTAACGTGTGCGTTGAATTCGTGATCAGACTTTATGCAAATCCACCGCATCCAGTTGCCCAACTGCAGTCTGGAAAGGCATAATAAACGCAACTAGTGAGCACGGAAACATGTGCAAGTAATACGCGAAGCGAAGCGTAAATGAATTTTTCATCCTTCCATTAAAATTTAAGTGCACATTTTCCGGCGCAGCGCACGAGACGCCGCAATGCCATTAAGCCAAAGGAAGTTGCCAGCGGAGACGTCCTGCAGACTTTTTTGAGGCACTGTCGGCTTGAGGGTGCTATGGTGAAGGGCTGGTGGGGTATTGGGGTGCTTAGATGGAACTCTTGAGTCTACCCTACATGTGGGTTATGGAATTATTAAAAAATATATACACTCGGTATATATGCACGTTTTGCTTTCCACAGTTGCAAGTGAGAAATATGACTTCTTTTCAACGACTTGTAGATGTCACATAATCAAACAAATGAAGAAGTTAGAATGAATGGTTCTATTTTGTTTATATATTCATTTCTATGTTCTGAGTTTCTGATACCAAAATATGGCCTCATTATAATACAGCCAAAGAAGGTTGCGGTAAGTAATAGGTGTTAATATATAATGTAGGTACCTTATTACTAACCAATTAAAATACTCACTTTAGCAATATTGAGACAAATGAAATGGCAACTCATTTAAGAAATCAGACTGTGTAATGAGTACTTTGAGGATATTTAATTACTTTTTTCTCTTTGCTGACAAATTGATTTTCTAACATTTAAGAGTATTTTCAAAATAGTATGTTTCTTGCGTATATTTGCAGATTACATGCAGTCGCTGTGTAAGAACCACTTCCTGCAGCAGCTGTATCGGAAAATCGATGGGGCCGTGCTGTGGTCGCAGAACGAGCGGAACCTGGACTGCATCATTACCTTCCAGACGCACTCGGTGCTGCAGCGCTTCATGCTCCGCTTCGACATGCTGCAGCTCGACTGCAACGATCACCTGCTGGTCTACGATGGAGCCCATGCCGTGGCCACGCCCAAGGTAATTATATCGATACGCCCCCAAGAAAGGGGCCCTGGAATCCCTGGAATCCCTGGAAGTGAATATGAAACCCGCCTGTGCATTCCATATGAGCCCCATATTTTTTTATTAGCGATTTGCTCATTTGCATATGTAAATCGAAGAGCTAACGCCTATCTGCTGTAGAGGACTTTACACTCATATCGTTCTATACGCTTGCACTGAGAAGAAATCTTAGGAGTAAGAAAATATGCCTTTTCGGTTGATAATTTCTTTAAAACATACCACTTTGTATAGACAAGTAGTTTGTTTTTGATAATAGGGATTTTAGGGATTTTTATACGTCCAAATGTGACCTGTTTTTGGATGTTATGAGTAAATACTATTACTAGTTATTTGAGTTATGGGTTTTAAGTTCATCTCTACCCTTCATCTCTGGTTTTTATGTAGCTCTATTGGTCAACAGATATCTTTAAAATGCACACATATACATATTTCACATAAATTGAATTGGTAATTCAAAAGTTTGTTCGAAATAAAATATATGTGTTGTTTTGAGATTTTCCCAACTGAAATCAATTACAATTTTATTCTCAACTTTTTCCTGAGTGCATCAGTGCATCTGTGCACTGCATTGGTTTATTGATTCGCCTGGAAATGGCTAATCATGTGAGTGAGTCGACCAACGCCGTGTGAACAATTAAATTGTGGTAGCAACGCAGTCTGAGGCAGCACTTGTACATGAGCACGAGTATCGGATATGTGCTTCGATTCGGATTCCCGGGAGAAGGAGAATGATTGTCGAGGGTTGTGAAAGTGCAGGGAGCTGTAATTATGTGCATACGTTCGGCGACATATAAGGTTTCAGTATCTGCAGTTGGATGTGGGTGCACAGTAGATTGAATTATTAGGAAGTGAACTGTGAAACAGGCAATTCAAATTAGAATCACTCATGGCAGAGCGATATGTATGCAAATGCGTATATGTATGCTAAGTGAATTAAGTGATGTTGCTTCTCCAGTTTTGCCATCAAATGAAAGTCATCGTTTCTCTTGCAGCCTAGTGTGCAAATCAGGTTTCCCCTCTATTTATCAATTGTATCAACAATATACCGCCCACAGAAATATAAATATTTATTTATGGATTTTTGTTTCGTTTGTTTAACCATCGGAAACACCGATGTGTTTACAGGGGGGGCGGGGGGATGGGTAATGTATATTTAATTTCTCCCAGATGGGAGACGATACTATCCAGGCCATCAGCGTGCATATTCAGATATTTGCATACCTTCATTATGGAATCATTTGCTAACGTACATACAAAAAACATCGACATCCCAATATTCAGTGTATACACTGAGCTGGAAAAGTACTTAGGTATGCACAAAAAATATGGTTTTAATTTATTGACAAAGGTTTTAGCAATAAATTGTTGTGATTAGCATAATATATTCACTTATTTTTTTAAGTCATTAAAATGTTTAATGCATAATTTTTTCTGTTACAACATTTTTTTCTTTACTTGCAAATATACGGGTTTCGTTTAGCATATCAAATGCTATATCGTGTTATTTAATCTCTATTTTATTTTTTTTTTTGATTCCAAATATTTGAATGAATTTGTTATATTGTCTCTACTTAAATACATTACAAGACAGTTATACATAAAATACTTTGGAAAATAGGAAAGCTTTGCTTATTCAAACAAAGAAATAACAATGTCTTGTAAAATTCGCTTTAAATTGGCCAGGGAGAAGCCATCGGTGTGTTCCCCTGTCGATTACATGCCACATCCCTGGAGCTGCATCCTCGGTTAAGTAACGTTTAAGGAATCCGATGTCGCCACACATCCTTACATATATGTAAATATGCGCTGGCATCACATGTCGATAGTTAAGGCCAATCATTGCTTAGTTTGCGACACTCGAAGGCGGTTGGCTGTATTGGGTGTATTGGGTGGATTGGGTGGATTGTTGGGTGGGTGGGTTACACGAATCCTCTGCAATTTGTTGGCTAAAAAGGGGCTGATGGCTGTTGGCTGAGGGCGTGGCAGCCGCAGCCACCGCAATATCCAGATCACGTTGATGCCTCTGACATTTTAGGTTCAATCCCTGTGGGGCTTCCGCTCAGCCCGGGATGCTCCACATACACATACAGCCCGGACACACATGCAGGCATAATTTTCTCGCTGCAACATTTGCAATGATGACAGCCAGCAAGGATGTCGTGTGGCAGGTTGGCCAAAGTGGGTGTTGGGTGGCATGTTGGGTGGCAAGTTGGCTGCCACTGCGGCTGCAATGCGGCAACAGCTTCTGGTACTGCTTCTTTTGCTGATAGCTCTGTGATTTTATCAGCAACAATTTCCATTTTTCATTCGCCACTCCCCCCATTTTCCGCCCACTCACTGCATTATTTAATGCGGTCTGCAGGGGGTGGAAAAGTGGAAATGTGGGAGAGTGGGAAAGTGACACTGGTTTGTTCTGCAATGTGAGCCAAGGAAAGTGGCCACAAATAGAGCGCGCGCATAAGCCAAATCCTTTATTTGCCAAAGGAAGCTGCGACATTGCCACTAAAGAAATATGCATAAAAAATGTTCAACTAGAAAATTAGAAAAATGCCAGCCAAGGCAGCCCCGCTTTCACTCTCTTGGCTTTTTTTCTCCGGGGAAAACCTTGAAAGTGTTTGTGCCAAAGCTGAAAACAAAAATGTTTCAGCCGCTTTCAGTCGCTTTTAGTCGCCTGTGTGGCGCGACCCAATTTCCCATCTAGTGGCGGTTCTCGTGGATCTGGGGCTACTTGCTCGGAGCCTGTGACACTATATACCACTGGGCCACTGCCAAAGCCCTGTCATTTTCCTGGGAAAATAATGAGTGCATCCGACATTTGGACTGGTCAGATTAGCGGGGTCACGGAGAAATTATAACAATTTTGTAGGATTTTTGGGGCATAACAATAAATTGATTTTTTTGATTTTCAAGCAGTTGGAAAACTTACACGAGTGTCACAAAAATCACTTGATGAAATATAGCTTTATTTTATATAAAAAATAACATTTTGGATGCGGTTAACAAAATTACAAAAAATGCATTCAACATATCTTAGTTTGGGAGAAAAATATAAAAAATGCGTATACGCCACGTGGAAACAGCAATAATTTATTCAATAATATAACGTATACGCCACGTTGCCCAATTTATACAAACAATGCAAATAAATAAATATTATTGTTTCAATTATATAATCTCAGCTAAATGTTTATATACCAAATACATACATAAAAATAAGTATATGTTCTCAACTCCATCTAAACACGAAGTACCCACATAAAATATGGCATAAAGTTCCGGAACGAAAGTCGGGTTATAACCTGTAACCAAATCAGGAGCTGAAAAGCGAGTCGAAATTATAACTGAAATGGGATCGTAAAGAAAGTAATTTTCCTGGTTTCGGCATCCCTAAAATAAGACTCATCCTCGAACATTATTGAGCGCTTTTGTCAACAAGCCGCGTGAGTGTATCGATGGAAACGAAATTAACCTTAATTATGAGGGTTCAGCACTTGAGATGCCAGTTCGTGTGACAGTTATTATCCGAAGACCAAGGCTTCTGGTCTGATTTGGAGCAGGTTCGCCCCTCGAAGGGAACCCATCGTAAATAAGTTAGCAGGCGAGTGGAAGGCCATAAAAGCGAAAGTATCGTAAAATCGCTCTGCCAAATCAGCGACGAGGATGGTAAACACCAAAACAGGGACAACAAGCGAGCTCAACAGGCGCCATCACTCATGGGTGGGCCATTGGAAATGGGAGTTGGGTTGGTGGGATGGTGGGGTGGGGTGGGGCCACAACCTTAAATCGAACAAGGTCAGCACACGCACGTACGCCTTCTTCATGGCCGAAAACAACGAGAATGGATGAGGCACTGAATCACCGGAATGAGCCTTATTCGGTCATTAGAAGGATGCAGTGCCGCCTGCCAAATTAGAACTCACTCATCGGCCATCAAAGGCAGTCATTTGCTGGTGCAATAAATATGTTTACACCAATTAGGGTAATCTTATTATCTTATTGGTCTCATAATTAATCGAACGAAGCAATATCAGTTAGAAATCGAATTTTTTTAAATTAAATTAAACCACTCTGAAGTTTTGTAAACTACAAAAATATCAAAAATGGTTAATCGAATTTATCAAATCATTATATTTATTATTAAACCAAAATTTTAAAGGCTTTTTATATATTTTCTTAGGTTTATTTCTATATCTAAAGTGTTTTTGATTAAAATAGTAAGTAAAGAGTAGCGACTAAAGCCTTAAAATAATAGAAAGCTGCGATAAATTAGCTTTTCAACATATTTTCAAGAGTTTCATTAGCCAGATCTACAAATAGTGATTCAAAAGTACTCTACACTCGCTTGGCAGTAAAATGCAAGGTGCTTTCCTTCAATATTTCATATTTTTAATAAGCCATCAAGTGGCACAAAGTGACCTCCACGCTGTTCAGTTGACATCTAAATGGTCGCGATAAGTACCTTAGCGACTGCATATTTGTCGAGTGTCTTGTTTTGCAGTCCCTCTGTGCATATTTAAAGATGCAGAAGTTGAGAACCAGACGACTTGCGGTGTTTGCCACCTAAGCAGCTTTGTAAGTTGCCCGCCATTCGGGTGGTGAGGTGGTGGTGGTGGTGGTGGTACAGTGCCGGCCAGGATTTATGAATTTGACTTGAGCCTGCGCCACTTGGCTCAAACCTGCCTGCCAAGTGGCAAGAGTGTGTATATTTGGGCTCCACACTGGCCACAGCAAAGGCTAAAAAAAAAACAATTTTACGAATATGTAAATAGTTTTTGACAAAAGAAGTTGTCACTGCGTCAAGTTGGGCGGTGGCCGCAAAAATCCAAAATTAAAATTTTCCAGCACACATAGACGACGCTGCTGACAAGCGGGACACAAAGTGATGCCGGGGGTGATTGGGAAGGGGGAGGGGCAAGGCGAAAGCCGAGTAAAGTTTGCATTTTGGGGGCTGCAACAAAATTAAAATATGCCACAAAGCGTGCCACGTCGAAGATGCAGGAACATGTGATGGGGAAAAGCACGAAGGACCAAGAACAGGACGCTGTGTCAAGAAAAGCAGCCACAGCAAAGCCTACAAGGGGAGGGGAGGGGGAGGGGATTCATATCCTATGAGGACGTTGATGAACCCCCAGTGAAACTTTCATGAGCCAAAGCCAACAACATTACACATTTACACAGATGCGGGAGTGGAAGTGGGAGTGGCAGTGGTTCCTGGTGATGAAGCGGGCGACGTGACGCATACACGTGCCAAACGGAGTGGCAAGGACCTCGCAGGAGACGAACGGAGGGACATCATCATCATTTTGCACTTTGTGGCATCGGCGGCGGCAGTGGTGCCGATGAGGATGGCGATAACGTGACCGACCAGCAGACGACAGTGGAAAAAGTTCGCCAAACTCTGTAAACTAATTGCGAAATCAAATTAAATGCCTTTGGTTGTTCATCAATGGGACAGCGAAATATCCCAAAAATATATTTGTTTACAAATGGTGGCTTGAGTGTGAGCAAAGTTTGTGAATAATTCTACTGACAAATCTATCTGCCCAAACTGGTAGTCCCAACTTTTAAATTGCTTCTACCATTTTTAAAAAATATATTTCTCAGAATAATAAAAGAAAAACTTATTCAAAAAACAATATTTATTATATTGTATTTTTTGCAATCATAAATAAAATGTTTGGGTAAAACTATTTTCAACATACAAACTGTAATATAAATCAAAAAATAATTTTGTCGGCTAAAAACGCTTAGCCAAGATATTCTGTAATTTTTTCAATAAGTTTTTGATATGAAATTAATCAACAGGCAAGTTTAATACAAAAAAAACTTTATAGCCTTTTTGATGGCTATAAATTGGACTCAACTTGCATATTATTTAATTTCACCTTAAAAACTTGTTTAAAAAGTTCCAGAATATTTAAAAAGAGAGTTTTCCATGGTGAGGCAGTCATTTCATGGGTGTAAATTGGGCTCAATGGGCATTATGCCGCCCAGACTGTTGCACACTTGCATGCGGGCCCAAAGGACAGGTGTCGTGGGAGTGGAATGCTTTGCCACACGAGTGCCCCCCGCCCCCTGCCCACCAGCCCCTCCTCATTGTCTGAATGCAGTGTACTTTGCAGGTGCATAGGCTGATGTGAAATTAACCACAGAAGCGGAGCACATCAATACGTGGGCCGCAGTTTAAGCGGGTTGATGTTCACCAATTTATCGATGCTTTCCAGCCGAAATGCAAAAAGTTGCTACTCAGTCCTTTGGCTCTGCAGAAAAGCTTCTTTCGTTCCCTTGGTCTGCGTTCGTCAAAGTAATTAAGACTTGAGTTTTACTTCTTGAACATTTCACTCAAAAATGTAATTCCTCATTATGTTTTTTAAGAGGGTATTACCATTTTAAAGGCCACTAGAGGTGAAACTCATTTTGGGATATACTGCGAAGCAGAGAATAATTTTAGTTTTAGAGCCATTTGACTGAAACTTTAACCCATTTTTCTTTAGCGTGCAAGCCGTAGTAAACATTTAAATATCTTAGCTGTGCTCAAAATTTTTAATAAAAAAATTCCTTGGACTGTAAATAAAAATACTTTCAAGATTTGTACTTTATTTTTTTGAAATATAATCCCTTTGCGAAATAATACCTTTTATTCAATGAAAATGAAAGGCTATAAATTAGCCCACTATAATCATAGCTAAATGCCGTTGCCTTTGAGCCCGCAATTACTTCGAACGCAAATCATTGCTCCCATTTGCATACGACGAATGCTCGTTACCGTAATTGATGGTAAGCCAGCAAATACTAATTTGTGGATACTTTGGCTTGCAGATTGACATCTCCTGTCGCAACACAAAGAACACCGTCAACGCGCTCCTGACGCGCACGAACTTTGTGACTCTGAAGTACGTGACCGATGGCTGGGGAACGGATGCGAACGGCTTCAAGTTGGTGATTACGTCGGTGAAGGATCCCAGTAAGTACAGATGGCGGTGCAGATGGAGGTGGAGTGAAGATCCAGTTACATGCCAATTTCCTTACAGAGCACACCTGCAAGGATTTCACCTGCGCCACCCGCGAGTTCTGCATCCATCCGGATCTCCTCTGCGACGGCATCAACCACTGCGGCGACAACTCCGACGAATCAGTGCAGAATTTGTGCCAGAGTAAGTGCAGCCTAGGGTTTTTTTTAAAATATATCATTTTTATGAGTTTTCCGAAAATAAAAATGAAATATATGTGTGCAAACAATTTCACAGTGCCTTTGGTAAAAGTCCGTCTTTTAGATTTTATACTTCTTTGAATTTTGTAAAATGTGTTTCATTATTCTTATAAACTTAACTTACCTTATTAAGCTTTTATCTAATATTCAACAATTTTCTGTATTAGTTTTCAATCGATTTAAAGTACTTAAAGCAAAAATAATTAAAATGATTTATAAAATAATTTGATTTTCTAGGCTTTGAGAGCAAAACAATTTGTTAATTTTAGAAAAAAAACTTTAAACAGTTGCTAGTTTATATTATTTTAATTAATAGGTATTGCTTTAAATAAATTTTCTATGCAAAAATAGTTGTTTAATTATTATAAATGACAGAAATAACAGTCCAAATCCTAAGGATTCTTTCAAAACATCAACACATCTTTCGAATGCATTCAAAAAATGGCTCCTTTCTTGCAGGTGAGACGAGCTCCACGGTTTTCGGCCTGGACATGACCTGGTTCGTCCTGATCGTGGTGGGCGTCCTGCTCGTCCTGAGTGCCCTCATCGTGGCGGTGGCCATTTGCGTGTGCCGTCGCCAGGACGAGAACGCCGCCAACGCGAACACAGCGCTCCAGAGTAAGCACAAAACAAATGCGGGGAGGATGGCGATGGCCAGTGATCGGGATCGGGATCGTGATCGTCGGAGTTAACCAGATTAACATGATCCTCTGCTTTCAGTGCACCACACGGCCGACACGAACGGGTCGTCGAAGCATCTGCACTACCACGGCCTCAGTGTCGGCGGGACACTGACGCGGGAGCACGGGCACACTCAACTGCCGGCGTCGGGAAACTGGCATCACCCTGCGGGACCATCCGGGTACCACCGCACTCCACACAACTACTTGAAGATGGCCACCAAAGTCCGTCCCATTTGGTGCTTGGCAAATTCCGTCAATTAGGTCAAGATCTTTCGCACAACTCCGCCGGGCTCAGCCAGACGAACATCGCCGGGTCTGGGCATCCCAATGCCAACGCCGTCGGCGCTGCGCAGAAGGACGAGTGGTTCGTCTAGGACCAGGCAGCACTGTGGAACGACCGATTGACTTGAGCACAATAATCTGTACTTTATTAAGTAAGCTTATGGATATTTGCAGAGCATTAAATGAAGTGAGTACTGGAACAACTTTATTTGAGTTAAAATCAGAAACATAAACATTTAGAACATTAAGTTTTTATTAATTGAAAAAAAGGCTAACGCATGAAGAGATTATTCTTTATAGTTATGATATAAGTATCATAAACTTTGAATACCTAACTTTGTTTGAGATGAAATCAAATATGTACATATTTAATATATGTAATATGAAATTCCTTAAATCTTGGTAAACAGTCTTACACATGAAGATATATTAATTTAAAGTTTATTTAAAGTTTTATAAACTTTGAATACGTAAAACTGTGCTATTACAAAAGCACAGTATTAATTGCCTATTAAAGCTAGAAATCAAGTGATTTTAAAGTGTCTGCCTTAGATATATATTTAAAATGTGACATTTTACAAAATGCAGCTCTTTGCATAAAACATTTTTCATAAAGTTACTGGATATATAGTTTGGTTATTTAAATTGATAAACAATTTGATTGATAAGCCACAAACTAAATGTTAATACATCGCCTTTGTTGTCTTTCCAGGACTGTAAGACTATATTTAACAACAATTAGTGTGGACATCACCGCGCAGGGTGTATTATACAGAGATTTCTACTCGTACCCAAGCAGAATCTCGAACGCATTGGCCAGAACATGCCTGTTCTGTCGGATAACCAGTGCACCTGTAAATAGTTTATGAATATATATTATTTATGATTTAACTGATTAACACTACCAGCTGGCAAGACAAGACCCTCTCAAACCCATATCCATCAAAAATGAAGAGTTATAGAGCAGAGTCCGTATCTTAATTTCGTGCAAGTGTGTTGGCATTTATTTAGAACATTACGTATGTTTAGAAAGCAATTAGACTTGAATTATTGCGTTCAATTTGCACCAAACACAGATCCCTTAAATTAATGTACGAACGAATCGGAGATTGTCGCCGATTCGAAGAGGTAAACTAACAATCGTAAGCATTTAATTGAAAAGAAATTGTGAACAGAAACCGTAAGAAGTATTAAAGCTCAACATGAATAACCGAAAACTGTCATTAATATACAAATACAACTTCCGAGTCTTAGAAATTTGAGATGACTGGCTGAGTTGTTGGCCAGGTGGTTTTTACAAAAATTAAGCTGAATTCTAATCACAAAAATGGACACAAGAAGATCAACCAAAACAAGGGATGTACATAAGTAGTCGACAATATACTTATACTAACAAAAAGAAAACCAAATCGAACAAAAGGACTTCTAGCGCAACTGTCATCTATACAATTTCACCTCCACTCCTCCATTGTCCACTTGGAAGTCGAAGTCTGAGTTTGAGACTCCAGGATCCAGATAGAAGCAAACATTTCACCGAGAGACTCATTCCTCATCAAAGAACCGAAAAAACCAATGCTAAACGGAAATATTCTGAGACATTAAGGACAATACAGTGAAATCTTTTGCTTTTGATACGACTAAATTGAGAAAGTGACATGGCATGCATTTTAACCTACAGAAGTGTCCGAACACAATTTTCTACAATCAACCAAATGGAATTCTACAAAAATGAAACAACATAAAGATACATAAACAAAGTTGAAACATTTTGCTACAAAATCGAATGATAACGATCATCTATATATATATTTATATATATATTGACGACGATGTGTATGCTGTATGCTGTATGTGTGTGAGGAAACATGATATGCAACTTGAGAAAACCAAACTAAAATGCTTCAAAATGATTGTAGTACTTCCCGCCGTTAATATTTTTTTAATATATCGTACATACTACAGATACAGATGCAAGTCTTAATAATAATACTTATACTAAGAGGCAATAATTAAGAATTTTCCGCTGCTAAAATTTGTCTTTCAAAAAACTTCCATAGGCCCGGTTAGTTAAATAGTTTTGTGGCTCCTCAATTTTCTTTTTTCCCAGATAGTAACCGAAAAATAATACTTGCTCCTTTGCTAAGCCAGAAATAATAAAAAAATATATATCAAATTAAGTGCGAAATTTAACACTAATCGGAGTGGATGGCATACGTTCAGCCCGATCAATGCTATTAAGTCAAATTAAATTAGTTTTGTACTTAGAAGTAATGGAAAACCCAAGAACTAAATTAACTAATCTTCTAGGCATAATTTCCGCTGATAGTGTCTTTTTTTTTTAAATTCTTTTCCACCTTCTTTTGCCCTTCTATAGTTTGTATTTGTAAAACTACAAGCGTCTTATACTATATCATAAATTATAGGAAAATGGTATTATGATAAATTGAATTTTTAACCAAAATTATAAGCAAATTGTATTAGGCGTCAAATTTTAGAACAGAATGAAAAAAAAAACCGAGAGGCGAGACATGCTGAAGGAAACAAACACATTGAATAGATATACAAGTATGTTATGTGTATGGGCTAAAACCACATTCATACATGGCAACAAATTAATCTTAATTACTTCAAAACGATGATAATAAATGATACTAAATAATAACTGAATAACCGCAAAGCTAATTTATGCAATACAGGAATATGGAATACTGAAAATTATGCGTCAATAAAAACGTTTAGGCAAGATTGTATTGTAATATCTAATCGTAATTGTACTCGTAATCGCATGCCTACTCCCCACTGGTGAAAATCGGTTAGATCATGTCGTATATGAGTGTAGTTAAAATATACATATTTACCTAAAACACAATTCAATCGGAATGAGAAAGGGAAATGAATTGCGAATCGATCAGGGGTATATAGATGGATAGGTCCCCGATTACTTGTAAAAGATAATATGAAATAGGCGAGTGTGGGATGGTGGGGAGAGCTTTTCGTTTCCCAGTGTAAGTGTTACAATGTGTTAAGATTAATTTTTTACCCTCTACAGTCTTTAGATCTCGAAAAGACTTTGCCGCAATTAGTCTAACTCTTCTAGTTATATGTAAACGTATGGTACATGTGTGTAAGTACCTAAATAACAGCGACAGAATATTCAGAAAGTGTCATTTTAAAGTCTCCTGCTTTGTCCACTCACTCATCATCCATAGACCGAAAATCCATATGTGATGGAAATTACTATTAGAAACATTTTAGTTTGGCGCAATATCAGATACATGCAGATGTGCATTGAATACTTTTTGCAAGGTTTGAACCCCTCGATGGATAACTATGGGCTTAGGAGGTATTTAAGTATAGATTGACTAGGTATACACCCGAAAAAAAAGAGCCACGGTCATTGAATCGTAGTGCAAATGTTAGACGAAATTATTGCCATAGAATCCAGTATCCAGTGGATTTTTTTCCCGATTCAGTTATCGCACGCATTCCGAAAACAGAAACACAGAAAGTCCACAAGTTTTAGAGTTATTGTTTTTGGTTAAAAAAGTTAATAGAAGTATGCATACCTACCAGCGACAACAATAACAATGAGAAGAAAACATACTAACCCGTATCGAAAAAATAAACCCAAGGGATCGCGTAAAGTAATGCTTAGCTTTGTGTTAAATTGCTGTTGAATATAAATGTACTTGTACAATGATAATAATTACGATGGCATTGAACACACAGAAACACACACACACACACACACAGGTCATCAACAAAACACATCAAACAATAACAATGCAAGAAACAGAACCCAAATCCAAATGAAACTAATTATAATAAAATAAAGAATATAAAACGTTAAGTTCCATGGTCTTTTAACTGTCGTCTAAGGTTCCAAAGTAAGTAGTGAAGTTAATCAAAATAATATAAGCAGATCATAAACTAAACTATAAACTAAACGATTTCAATTTAAAAACGGATAAATACAGGGACAGGATTAAGTAACATATCAAAAAATGATGATAAAGTTCTACTCAAAATGAAAAGAAAACAATTAAGTTAATGATCTCCTTCAGAAATACAAAATATATTAACTGCCGCTTAGACGGTGAACTCCTCCGATGAGGATGCCTCTTGGTCGGCATACAGGATCAGCTCCAGGTTCCGCATCTTGCGCTGTTTCTCCTGCTGCCGCTTGCAATGGATTTGGGCCAGGCAGTTCAGCGAGGAGACCACGAAAAAGGCCACCATGACGAAGGCCACCAGCTCGAAGGCTCGCACAACCAGGCCAAGATGGGCCAGGGAATCGGAATTTCCGTTGCCGTGCATCTGCTGCTTGGTGGAGCGCAAAATCTCCATGATGATCTGCTGCAAGGGTGCTCCCAGAAAGGGCAACTTGCCCAGACAGGACACAAACTTATCAACGAGATTCTCGGTAAGAGAAGCGATCACAAACATTTGCTGTATGGTGGCCTTGACCAGAGTCTTGCCGATCAGCGTGGCCAGAAAGAACTTCCAGAAGGGCACCAGGAAGTGGCCGCAGGTGATCCCGGCCAGGTCGAACAGGGGATTGGGCACGCTGGCGCAAAGTAGGATTCCCAGGAAGCCCACTCTTCGCATCACCCGCTCCATGAGCAACTTCGTTCGCTTCAGGATATTTGTGTTTCCGCTCAGTCCCTTCGCAGCCTCCGGTCCGTCCAACTCCTGACCGGAAAGCCGAGCTCTACGGGCCATAAAATACGGCGGCAACTCGCCCAGGGCAGTGCCCACGCCCCAGAGCAGTGCCTCCGGCCGGACCTTCGATAGTATTTCCCAGACGTCTGGCTGATGTCGCCGGTAGGGCTCCGGTGGGCAGACCTTCATGTCGGGATAGGGTGGCGCCGGGAACTCCAACGTCTGGCACTCGTAGGCGGCCAGAGTAACGGCGGCCAGGTGGGGACCCAGGTAGAGCAGGAAGGTGTGCAGCCCGGTGCCAAAGCCCACCGATGAGAGCACTCCCAGGCCCAGCCAGTACACCGCGAATCCGAATCTTTGCGCGCAGAATATCACGAACTCCTCATGCGGTCCAGGCAGAAGACAGATCATGACCAAAAGCATTAGGAAACCAGCCAGCCAGAGGTTCACCAGCTTGGCGGTGAAGGATAGCAGCAGCTGACTGGCCTCCAGGCTTCCATACTTCAAGGTCTGCACAGGACGACGCCAGAGGACCAGGGACTTCCACTCCAACTGCTCCCGGACCATCTCCTCCAATGGATCCACCTCAATGGGCAGGGAAGTATTGATCTCGTTGCCGGAAGCCATTGTTGCTCTCATTCTTTCGAGACTAGGCACTGAGCTATATCGTGTTCTGAATCTACTGCCCAGTAGATTTCGACAAGAGTGTTTATCCATAGCAGCAAAGTAAACTATGATTATTTCTTGCTTAAATATTTTAAAGGAATGAACACTATAAACTTAGATAAATTCGATTAAATAATATTATTAACAAGCAATGAGATTCTTAAGTTGTATATATATATATTGTTGTATTGTAAGATATAAATATGTCTATGACGATTCTCCAGCACTTGAAGGAACTTCGCGGGTTTGCGAAGCAGATAAGCGACTTAATTCACGTAGAGCATTGTGCTGCCAAAAATCGAGTGCTCCAGGCGGCAAAGCTTTTAGCTTACCCACAAAATTCTCGTTGTCAGAAGCCTCCAAATGTTCGTCCTCGACTTGATACTTAAACTTACTAATCTGAGTGATGAAACTCTCGATTTCCGAACTCTCCTGGGCTCCAACTACCTCCTCCTTTAAAATATGCACCATCTTAGCCCTGCACAAGATGGTTGGTCACATATGAGAGTACATAATTTAAGGTATTCAAAACTCACATGTTCATGATGTGCGATTCCTGAAGGCGAAAATCGGCCACCAGGGTCAGGATGTGCTGCAGCGGCAGAAGACGATTCCGTTCACGGGAACTGGTCGCCTCCAATCGCCGCACGCGCATGTTCTTGATCAAGAGATTCAGCGAATCATGAAAGATGATGAGCCGCAGCATCCAGGAGTCGAAAGCGGAGCAGTTACCATCGATGAGTCGCAGGTGGGCAGTCAAGGCAGCTAAGGCCCGCTTCTTGGCGCTGGCCTCTTTGTAAATGTGCATCTGAAGAACCGGCAGGCAATGGGCATAGGTTTCAACACGACATTCCATGAGGGCACCTATGAGCTCCTCAATCTCTGCGTCGAGGAATTTCAATGCAGGCGGATACTAAGAAGATAAAGAAAAGGCTAAGTTAAAGAAATTTTGTGAGCTTATGAATGAAAATGAAAGCAGTAAGATGGGAGAAGTGTTTTTATACTTTTCTAATGTTTATTTTTTTATCTTAAAGTAATGTTTACATGTTTGCATTTTAGGTCGATAAAAAAACAAAAAATAGCCTTTTTCTATACCGGTTTACTAGTACATTTTCTAAATTTTAAAACGTTATTCCCACATCTCACGTGTTAAAAGTCGATGCCCATCATAACTTTAAAACTACGCTTTCGATCATTTTATCTAACGATATTTTAAGACCTAACGATTAAAGCCTTACCGATTTGTATTGCACGAACACCTTCCAAATCCGATTGTTGGGCAATTCAATTTCCGGTGCCCGGATTAGTTGGCGAAACTCAAAGTGCAATTCGCGAACATAACTATGGGTAAGTTTAGTGCCTTCGGGCTGCGATTTTTGTGGTAGTGAGATTAGTGATTCCAATATCAAGTCGTAGGTATCAGAATCGAGGTTCAAATACGAAAGCTGACCCGAATGCAATGTGAGAATCGAACAGAACATAAACTTGGCTCGCTTTAAGGCGTGATCTACGTTTGACAATTCAGAAACGCAAAAATCTTTTAGCTGCTGTACTAGAGTGTAAATTCTGACGCCCATTTCGTCGTCCGAATCCTTGAGCTCTCTGTGCAACAGGATCAGCATGGTAGCCAAACATTCGGAGCCATATAAAGCTGAAAGGCATAAACCTTATTCTCTTGTAATTCCACATAAACAACCATATCTTACTTATATTGTCGTTCTGTGTGGGTGTTTCCAGCACAAACTTGACCAGAGTCTCGTACATGTCCGTCACATAACGAACGTGCAGCTTATTGGCCATTAGAAGTGCATGTATGCGACGCAGACTCTGGGCAAATGTCTTCAATAGCTCCTGATTTTCAGAATCCTCCAAGTCAGTGGTATACAACTCGACCTTCAATCGAACTTGTTCGTCTCTCAAAGCCCTCGAGGCCGAAGTGTGTATCTGTATGTTTCCTGTTGCCTCCACAGAGCTTGAGATGTTCGAGTAGAGCCCATAGAACTCGGACTCACTAAGAGTGTCGTCATTTAGGAAGTTATCCAGACAGCATGTCTCCAAAGTCAAAAGCAGCTGCAAATATATATATTTATTTAAAATGAATTGATAGAGTTATAATAAATACCTCAACATCACTCTCGGCCACAGAGTCAAAATCGACCAGGCCATAAATGCTGTAGAGCACAGGTCGAGTTGCAGCTTTGTTTGAGGATCGGAGAAAATATGGCAAGCAACGCAGGATTTCGTTGACCTGGTCACGAGCCTCTGGAACCGTTGAGTACTCAGCCATGTTCAGTTCAAAGAGTACGTTGACCGACTGAGCGGCAATAAGACTCAATTCGATCATGGCATTCGGGGCAGTTAGCACATATGCGTAGAATTCAAACTCCTGCAGCGCCGGAAAATGCCGAATAAGTGTCTTCAGATAACGTGTAAGTTCAGCTCGAAACTGCGCATAGGTGACGTTCTTTCGTTGTTTATTGCTGATCTTAATGTAAGACTCCAAGATGTGCTGAGCTATGTCCCGTTCTTGGTGCTGGCGCAGGGATAATTTGATGTACACCTCGGCAGCCAGGGACGCAACTGCCGCAGAAGACGACGACATTCGCAGGACAACCTGGAGCAGGACCTCGTGAAAACGATTTGAAAAGCACTCAGTGCTGATCAAATGTCTGTGGGGGATAACCAATTGGTTAGAGGTACATTTAACACTTAAGCTAGCTCTTATATTATTCGATAGTCTACCTTTGAAGGGTCATCAAATACTTAAGAATGGCCATGAGCAAGGGTTTGGAATTACTCTCATTGAGTGATCCGAATTGCAAGACCAGAAATTTGTCAGTGATCAGCTCATTGGTGAAGGGACGCAGATAAAGATTTTGGCCTTGATCGCTGCTGCTGGCGAACTGATTTATCATGGTCTTCAAGAACTGATAAGCCTTGATATAGCTATCGTCATTTTTCATCTGAAAGGATTTGCTTATTTTGGTTACTTGCTTTTCAATATAATGGTGTTGGTCTTACCACCACCGTCAAGATACAGTAGACGAAATCTAGAGCCGATTTTTCGGCACCACAGAACGTTTTATAGTACTCCCGGAACATGTCCAGCATGGGCGGAACAACCTCTGCGCAGGTATCCTGATAGCTGAAGGAGTTTGAGTAATGTATATATGTATGTATATATAAAATATATATATATGTATATTGACAGTTTCTTGATACTTACAATACACCATAGCGAACGTCCACGGTGAGTGATAGGCAAATTTCTTTGAAGCCCACAATGTCTAGTTCGAACTTGGGTAGTAATTTCGACAGTCCATTGAGAATGCTGAAAGCTATGGAATGGATTTTGGATAGCATCGGTAGCTACACTACTTATATGGAATAGCATATATATGTAAAACCTACACATCCTGGCCAGAGGTTCGCAGAGGAATCGATCCAGGGCGGTGCTGCTGCTGAGCTGCATGGTGGTGGTCATGGCGTGCACCACCTTGACCCACTTCATGACCAGATTCAGATAGCACGGCACCGGCTGTGTCAGCTCATCGTACCTGGTGCCCTGGCTGTGCTCGGCCAGAATGTCACCAAATTCGGCCAACACCTGCGGCAGCCGATCCAGAAAGGTGTCCACCTTCTGCATCAAAAGCGGCACCGGATCGAAGATATAGTTGGGGTTATCATTGCGGTACGGATGATCCTGCGTCTGGCTGAAGGCGTCCACACTCACGGTGAAGTTCAGGCCGAGAACCCGGAAGCACTGGCCCACAAACTGATGCGATACCTTGGCAATCCAATTTTCCGGACTCACGCACACGGCTTTCATAAAAGCCAAGGCGTATTCCGCGGCAGCGTTCTGAATATAATCTTCTTAACATCGGGTATGCAAAAATAAAAACTTAAATACTCACATCCGCATCGCCGACAGTCAAAAGTGCTGTAACAAAATCCATATCCACAAGTTAGCTCAATGTGACGCCAAGTTTCAAAAAACTTTTGCGGTAGCGTCCTGCGGTGTTGGGTAGGGTCAGAAAATCAATATTGCAGTGTTGACCAACTTATAAGATCACCACGATCAAGCTTGTTCAAAAGTTATCGATTGTTTTCTGGTGTTCGGAAAAATTCAAAAGTAGATAGTAGTTTTCACTCTCAAAATATGTACAAAATAAAAAAAATCAAATAAATATGCTTTTCAAATAATTTTATTTTAGCTTTAAGCACCAAATAGTTATTTTAAAGAAAATACCATAAATCTTGCTTTTCTGTTTGCTTATGTCATATCTTTATTTATTTTTCCTATAGCTTTGTTTCAAATATTTTGATATTCATGTGATTTTTAATATAAAATATTTTAACTGTTGTCTTAATTGAAAATATATTGTATGTATCGTAAAATCCCTGTTCCTGAGCAACTGTTTTGATATTTGTTAAGGTCCTTCTTTTCTGGAAGTTGACTGATAATCACATTCTCGGTAGTGTTATCCAATGAATTGGTGTATATAAGTTTAACACCAGTATTATCTACTAAGGCTAACTTATTACGAATTACAAAAGATTTACAGTCCAGCTCTTCAACAAATGTACATACATATACTTCCTTTGAAACGCGTGCTTCCGTTCCATACGTTGAGCCAATTTATATATATCAAACGTTATTCAAAAGAATATAATATTAAATAAAATTGAGATTTCCAACAAACAGTTTATTGAGTAAATTTGCATAAATGTACATTCTGTATTTAGTAAAACAGGGCATATATTACTAAATGCATATATTTACAGTGATGACGCACATGTAATACGATCGAAAATGTCTTAGCTTCGAACCAACAAAATGCGCTTCTAATACAAATGCAAATTATAAATATTTTCATGTTCACTAAGAAAGTAATTAAATTAAAAGCTTAGATAAGGTAAATCGAGTGTACTTCGTGGGTGGCCCGATGGGCAAACGAATTCGCAACGACCAGGCCAGAGCAAAACAATTCGCCAAAAATGCAAATACTTGAATACGCCAACATTTAAAAATGCGACGAATCGTTTTTCCATTGCCCAAGGCAAAATGACACTGGAGCAGGTTGGAGGCTATCGAATAGCCAGTGTGAGACAGGCACTTTAGTGACCCCTCCATTTGAACTATGATCTTAAAGTTAAAGCCAGGTCTGGCAGCAGATCTGATCTTTTTGGTTTGGATGCTAGAATACGTCTTGTACTTGGATTCCCTGGACGTTCCACTCGCCCGCGCTAGTACTTCTTCAGTTGTTCGTACGTTATGAAGAATATTATGTTCCAGGGACCCATCCTCACCCAGGTCGGGATAAATCCTTTGTATAAAGCGAGAAGTCCTTCGTTTCTGATCGTCTGCACGGCGCAGTCAAGACTCCCGCTATACAACTTTGGTGTTGCTGCCGCCGTGACCACTCCGTTCATCGTTATGCTCACGTGTCGCTGGTTCATCAGGCGTGTCTGTAATGGGGAATAGATCAGTTTAGTATAAGTTAAGCCGGTGCCTGAGCTCTTCTTACCCGTATAACATCGATGGGGGTTGAGGCAATGGCACTGCCCAGACTAGCAATAAAACTCGAGCTGCAATTAGAACCAATTAGTTATTAAATCTCACACGACTTTTTAGCGAGCTACCCTGAACTTACATGAAATGATTGGCCACGTGATCTCCGAAGGCGTTCATCAGCTGCAGCTTGCAAAAGTCGTAGACGGGCAGCTCCACGGAGGCGATGACCACGGCTCGCTGAGCCGTCGGACCCACTCCCCGCCAAAGTCCTCGTACGCCTTCGTACTTGTATATCTCGCCAAAGCAGCCCAGCAGGCCCTGGTGCTGACCCTTCCCGTGCACCTGCATCCGCACCTTCAGCACATCGGTGGGATTGGCGATCGCCGAGGAGATGGCACCTGCCGCTGCCGCGCACAGGATGTTGCTCCACACCCGCTCGCTGCCATCCTCATTCGTAAGCAATCCACGCTCGTTGGCGAGCTTTTTCAGTGTGTAGTAGGTCCCGAACTTGATGGTGCCATAGGTCGCCTGCCTTAGAACCGCTGGCCAAATGCTACAGAAAAAACATTTATAATTTAATAATAAACACTTTGGTAACTAAGGGATCCTATCTCATAAAATGTACAAATTTTAAATTAATTGAATTTTCTTAAATTTGATTTTTAATAATTGCAAATGTCAGGTCTAATACGATCTTGATTAATTAGACTGTGCCCCCGGTATCAATACCAGATACAAAGTCGAATGAGTTAGCTGTTGGACAAAGTTTGCTGACTGATTAAATGCCGCCCCGACAAAAGTTTTATTTTTGGCCCGCCGTGAGTAAGCGTTATCTTGGATGTCTGTTTACACAGTCTATGTTCTAAAATTTGAACCGTCATCTTGCAGATTATAAAAGATAATAAGGACTTTAAATAAAAAAACACGATGAAAAGATAAATGATTATTAAAATAAGTTGTACTTTTACATTTTAAAAATACTAGTTTACAAAAAGTTGGTACGTTTAAATTTTTTACTTAAAAAATGCTAAGTATTTTAAGAAATGATCAACGAATTCTACACTGTTGGGCTTGAAAGATATTAGTTCTGCTTTTTACATACATAGCTGAATGGGGAGGTTCTACTGTACTCCGTGTCCCTGCACTCGTTAAGCTCCCCGGCGGACGAACACGTGACTGTCACGTTTGCCGCGATAAGAATGCCATGATGATCATGTTTTGACAACGTGCCAACTGGAGATCCCCCCAGATTGAGGTTCTTACCCGGAATAGAGGGCCCGCAGTCCCTCCTCGCGGGAGATTTTTACAAAGGCATCGGTCATGCCGCGATATCGCAGCTGGGAGAACGTTTGGTCGATTTTCTGACCTTGGATTTGGAGGCGCGTCTTGGTAGTGTCGATGGGAAAGGTGCCTGCAATGAATAGATTTGTTTACAACGATTCGATCGGATCGGAATGATAAGCACTGGCTGGCACCGACACCCTTTGTGATAAGCCTCAGGGGGCGTGGCAGCCTTACATCCCGCGATTTGTTTACCAAATTCCGCCGTGATTGAGGCAACTCCGCCGTAAACGAAAGGCCGCCAATCCTTCACTTCGCCCATTTCCGGCGTCGCACCTGTTGATGTCCGGATTCGAATCGAATTACGCTCGTCCCTCGAAGCGCTCCAGTCTCCCGACACTTGGTTGCGCAACAAATTAGATAATCAAGCGGTTTTATTCAGATTCTATGGGTTTATTTCCTTTAAGTTACCTTATTTACAGGCAAAAACAACAACTTGCAGGCTAGAGGTGGAGAAGCAACGATAATCACATCGATGTAATCGATATTTTAAAAAGCATTGGTGGTATCGATATTTGGCTGAGTACAATCGAAGTTTTCCCATCTCTCATTGAGCGCGTTCCTTATCCCTGGTAGATAAATTCAAATGGATAAATAACGCAAAACTAAATCAAATGTTTAATTTCGCTAATGAGTTGTTTGGAAATGAGAGTTCTTAAAAATTTTCTGGCATCAGTTAGATCAGCCTGGACCCAAAGATACCTTATCTCAGGTTCCTATAATAATTTTTTTTGTTTTTGGGGAATAACTAGAGTTTACCTTTTGGCAAGTACGAATCGGTAATCATTTAAAATACGTTTTAAGTTGTTGGTGAAAAAGAAACTACATTACTAAAAAAGTATTTATTTATATTTCTTTGGATAATTATATGCCATTGATCTTAACATATTTATGTTTAATTTAACTAAACGACTATAAACAAATTTAAATTCATATATATTTAAAGAACTCGATATGTTAATTGATTTACCAGATTTAATCGACTAAAGAAACAAATTTATGACTAATTTTTAGTTTATTAGCTCATGTCTAAATCTTTTATGCGAAAATCAATATTGATTAAATGCCGATTTTAGATAAGCCAATGACAAATATTAGCAGTAACGGTGCGAGAGTATCAAAACAAATCGTTCAAAAGCAAACTGAAAAGTGGACCAAGAAATGAGCGAGCTTGAAATGAATATTTTACTCGTCGCCGATAACAAGTTGAATTAGGTTCGAAGATCTGGGAATTCCTAGTGACCATTGCCATAGCCATAGCCCTGGCCCCGTGGTCCATCTGGGGATCCAGTGGTGCAGGTTCTCCGCCAGCGACGACCTTAGCTGGCATTTCGTATTTGTTTTGTTTGCTTCGCCTGCGAATTCGCATAATAATTATATGTTGTTTTCGGTAAAAAAAAAGAAACGAAAATTCGCTGGCAGTGTGTTTACTACGATTTTTCTATGTTTAATTCACGTCACTTGCCGGCGAAACCGGATCGTGAAAGTTGGCGGCCAGATCGGGAGATCTCCAGTGGGTTTAACCCCAAAAAAAAACGGGCAAACAAGCGGAGAGTCGGCGAACAAAGAATTTGGCAAGTTTAGTCTCTTCATCCCAATCCCATTGTTAGGCGCAGGCACAAATGTAATTTAATCGGTTCCCAGTTTATTTCGCTTCGTTTTGCATACCGCTGCCGGATTCTCCGCTAAGTGATTTTGGCCAGCGGAGCGTTCAAGCCGAAACGCGGGGGCGAAATCGTAAATTGACCGCTTCGGATGTGGGCAAAAAAAATTAGCAGATTAATTCAAGCACTCTGCGAAGTGAGTGCCGCTTGAGCGGTTTTATTGAAACAAAAACACGTAAATATTTACGATTACAAAAAACTTGTTCAACGAGTTATGCAATGTACTTTCTGGCAAATAATGTAGATTAAAATTTTAAAATGATTAATCACAATAGTCAATTTGAGATCAATTTAAATTCAGTGTATTTTAAAACAAGTTTTATGACACATTACACTTCAGCTATTACCATATAACTTTAATGCAGCGAACAGATAATCATTTTTTACCATTGAAAAATGTAGGTGCTTATCTAGGCGGATCAAGAATATATATTATTTAAGAGTTAGTATCCTCCTAAATATTAATATATTTTTCTTTTCTCCAAATACGGCTGATTAACAAATTTGGAATTTCACCAAACAGTTGAATTTAAACTAGCTGAACGCGTGCCAGTCACGAATTTGACTTTAATATTCAATATTTCGCGATATGCACACCCATATGGCCATATCAGTTGTCAGCTTTCAGCCCGATCATTGTGCCTTGTTAGTCATCTGAGTGGCATGCGGAAATTCCCCAAAATTAGCCATTGCCTTATTTGATTTGATTTGTTTAAAATCGAAATTTTCGGGATGTAACTGGAGAAGCTATATGTTAAAAGAAGATTTTATTTTATTCAAGAAGCTAAGATAATGACCCTAAAGATTAATTTGCATGTTAATTTTCAGGAATGTTGAAATTCTTGCACAACTTTGGTAGATCTAATTAATGGATCTAATTAATGGCGAAACTAAATTAGTCGAAGACGTTTCCTTATGTCTTTTTTTTTGGATTCTAACTAGTAGAAGTACTATGCATACAATGAAAATAAAAAAAAAAACTTGAACATTATGAGACATGCTTGCTTTTAAAGGTATTAAGATAATAAAATACGACTTAAATTCATTTTCAATTCAAAGTTAATGAGTGAGGCGATTCGAGTCTAGATTTTAAATTAAATTCCATTCTGGTTATTACAAAAAAAGATAGATTAGAATATTCTTCCAGACATTTTTACATTATTTTTGTCAATATCTGGAGTTATGTAAAATCAGTGGAAATTAATCACTTAAAAGCTTTTACAACTTTAGAGGCGTTTCTAGTCCGACAGCTCCAATTTGGCAAATGGAATCCCAGATCAATCAGCTAATGGCTCTATCAGGTATTCCCCAGAATGGTGGGCGAGCGACGGAAAAGGGAAAGAAATTTCTTTAATCCCAGACTCGATAAATTAATTGAACTCAAATTTGCATATTTAACACGATGGCTTTTGTTTACCGTTTGGGAGTAAAAACCCCGAGCATCGAAATCCGCATACGGGCAGAAGCTAATTCGAATCGAGTCTGGCGCCAAAGAAATTGCCAATAATCCATCAAGTTATTTGAGCTCCAAGTCCGCTCCATGTGCTAATCACCATTGGGAATGCTTACTATACAAACTACACATATATACATATATATATATATATATATATATATATATATATATATTTGGGGGTATGTTTTTTATTCGTCTGATCGGCGTGAAGATTTTATTACACATTGACGTCGCTACTGTCGCCGTGGAGTGATTTCCGATCCGAAATGATCCGGACGGACCGGTCCACTCTCCACTCCGTTGCCGAATCGAGTCTATTTCCCTACCATGCCAAATTCGTGTCGATTATGCAGGAATTTCAGACGCGACGCGTCTCCAAGTCGCCACAGTAAATTCTGGGAATTGGCAGATTTTATGGTATATGACAACCCAATACTCGCATCATAAATTCATTTCCAGTCGGGCCCACCTAAACTATGCAAAAGAGGCTAAAAATTAGTTGGCCAACTTGATTTTTTAGCTGGAACTCCCTCTACAATAGGACAAAGCTTATCCCAGGCAAAAATGCAAAATAAATAGGTATTTAAAATATTATCAATGGTTTTCAAATCAAGATTTTTACAGTTAAAGCTATCACAGCATTAATTATACTTTTTAATTGAATTAATTATTACGCTTTTAGCACTCATTATGGCAGAACATTATGTTTGAATTAACTGCATAATACACTTTAATTACACACTTATTTCTGTATAAGAAGTAAATATTATAGTTTAAATATATATCAATATAAATATGTCACAAAAAATGATCAAAGTATCTGCACAAATCAGTTAAATTGAAATATATTTTTGCTTAAGAATTATATATTAAAATGGGAGAATAAGTCTAGCATATAGTTAAAACGTTTAAGTGGGTTCAACTGTGTGAATTTCGATTTATACACTTTTATTTACAACAGCTTTGTTAAGATAGATAAGAAATTGAACCCCTGGCGTGTCCCCTTAAGTTCTATTACGTTTTAAATACTCATTAAGTTGTTAAATATCCATTAAACGTTTCTTTTTTTGCCAACAAACCTTAAGAATTTTATTTAATCGACAAGGACGAAAGTCGAGTGGAATAACTCTGTCATTAAAATAGTGTTATAACCACTTGTCCTCGGCCATCCAGTTATGGGCCAAAACCACAACCAAAACCAAGAGCGAAACCAAAATAAAAATAAAAACAAAAATAAAAACCTGTGCCATGTTCCAGCAAAGTGAATGTTAACGATGGCCTGCCTGGGCCGGCTCATACATAATGCATCACACCCGAGCGGCAATTAATCAACAATTAATTTTTATATAAATTGATCGTTTATTGGCTGAAGGCAGGAATTACCTGCTCGCTACCGTGTGCGCCGCTGGGCTCGAAGGCGAAAAAGGCAATATTAATTACTAATTATGCGCGGCGTCAAAGCAACAAAACTAAGGCACATAAATAAATATTTATCCATGTGTCTCTGGGGCTACAGTCACAAAGCAGCCAGAATATATGTTGCTCTGGGACATCTGATGGACATATGGACATGTAGACATGTGCAGATGGCACGTAGGCCAACATGTTGGCAATAAAATGAAAACGAACAAACAATAAACAATAAATCAGCCGCAAATCGGCCGCTTCGAATGGAATTTTTAGCATAGTTCATTGCTGGGTCGACCTTATCGCGATGTCAAGAGATCAGGAATACGAATACCATGGAATACAGTCCGGCCATAATTAATAAATTCCAGCGTGCGCCGCCGAATGATTCGGGCCAAGTTGGATTCGGCCAAGTTAACCAACTGAGGGGCCCCGGCAAACAAACAACAAAACAAATTGACGTCACGCTGGCAACCGAGATCGGCGATCCCGATCCTCGGCAAGTGCGACATACGTATCAAGGCTTGCCGGTGAAAATGGAAACGGGTTAAACGGGTACGAGTGCGAGTGCGATTCCAAGATCCCAAGATCCCAAGATCCCAAGATCCCAAGCAACAAACACAAACAACGGGGACTTAATCAAAAATGTTGGCTGGCTTCAAAACAACTTGAAACAATTGGGCTGATCGAGAAGTTGGCAGAATTTCCTTTAGGAAACTGGGTGGGATTTATATGCTAAATAAGTTAGTAAAGTCAACAAAATACAAATAAATATTGCAAATGCTTGCCAAAATATTGAAGCTTATCACTCATACGCAGTGTTGGCCTTTTAATTTATTGTTTAAAATAAGCTTATATTAAAAGAGTCTAACAAGAATATTTGTTTTATGATTATGATATAAAGAAAACTATAAATACAACAATAATATATTGGCTGCGAATGTTATACAAAATATTATTCATCCGCGATGTTGCCTTTTAACATAATATATACCACCATTTCTAGCTTTAGCGAGAATCATTAAATATTAAATTTAAAAAATAGGCTCAAATTCATTTTTTTTTAAAGTATTAAATTAGATTTGCATATGATCAGATAGTGAAAAAACATATTTAAAATTTCAGCTATAAAGTTGCATTGCTGGATACTTGTATATCATGATCATAAACTTTCAATGCTAGATACCTTGTATATCAAGCATGTTAACTTATTACCGACACTGTGTACAGGTTCCTGGCATGCAATAAAAGCACTAAAAAGTCGGGAAGCGACTAGTTTTCATTAAGAGTTACGCCTTCCGTTGGCCAAAAGGTGGCGGCCGGCGACAAGTTGGCGTCAGCCAAATGGGATAATAAGCACACCAGTTGCAATTTAAATTTTCAAGCCCCAGCAGGTTCATCAACCTTCTGGGGGAAAAGTATTTGTAATTCCTTGAGGCATTTAGTTCAGTATAGCAGTGGGGGCGAGTGCTGAATTCGGATCAAACATTCAAAATTCAGGTAAAGTGCTGTTGACACCAAAACTTTTATGCATTTATTATTGCTAACTGTTTGGGTTAATTAACAAAATAAATACCTTAATTGCAAAATGCAATTTATTAATTTAAGCAATTATCGGGTGATTTTTCCATTTCTCATTGCAAACATTGAATACGCAAATGCGTTTCGTGGTAAAAAGTAATAAAATTAAAGAGTATGCAATGCAAATTTACCATGTTTTCTAAAAACCTTAAGAAAAATGTGATAAAATAGGACTACTTTTACTTCCAAAACTTTATAGAGTAAGACTTAATATTTAAAATGTATTTCTCTAAAATCTTTTACTTTTTAAAGTTAAAAAAGTCTGATATTTATGTATACATAATGGGTACACCCATTTTGTCAGCATCTTTACTTCATGTTTGTCACCCATTTATTATTTGTTCTTTGAACTCCTACTCTTCAATCTTCAACACCATTTCAGGCCATTAATTGTCAGCATTTTCCTTGAGCTCTTTGCACATCTTCAAAGCACCGCCACTTGGGCGTCAGTGCAGCCAAATTTGGTAAGCTCTCTTAGCCGCATTTAGCCGAGAGATTCGCTCGGCTGGCAGTCCATTCGATGCGCCTCGACAATTGCCGGCTAAATGGGGCTCAACCTGGTAAGAGGACTGCCATTTATGAAGATCAGGGGTGGGCGACCTCACACACATTCCAATGCTAGGCACACCCATTTGGGCAGGCCGGTTAATTAATTGCGCAAAACTGCAAAATAATGCAGAACAATGGCCGGGCAAAACGGTTTTGGGGTAAAAGCATTTCGCCAGTGGTTCATGGTGATAGCTCTCCAAATAGCCGCCGAGTGGGACGAGGGCCGTGAGATTTATGGCCATCGCCCAACGCCGGAATATCCCCAAGCCAGCGCGGCCAAAAAGAAAACATGTGCTTTGGGCCAAGTCGAGAGAGCCAGATGAGCTGCTGAGATATTCCACTCGATCGGGGCTCTCGGCGCCTCTCGATTCAGACTGACTTAAATATGGGTGCCCCCAGCGAGGTAGCTTCAGTTGGTGACTGAAATTCAGCCCGTGAACAGCTCTTAAAAATAGCAAAACACAAGCAAGCTCAAGCTCACTGCTAAACGCGCAAATCTTCGCAAGTTTTTAACAAAATACGAGAGTGTCGTACAGAATATTATCAAATTTTTGAACAACACCCAAACCCAAAAACTCAACTCAACAAAATGCAAGTGGAAAAAGTTTGTGCCGCCATCGCGCTCTTCGCAATCTTCGCCAGCGTTGTGGATGCAGCAGTTTACTCTCAGCCCGCCATCTTCCTTCCTTGTAAGTATTTTGTCAAAAAATAACTCAGATAAATAGTGAGAGTGATGATATAAAAAGGCACATAGTTTTTGATTACTTGAATTCCTATTTTAAGGTTGATTTCTTAAAGTCACCATTATTTGTAACTTAGAAAGGACATATTTTTACCTGACTAAAAAATGACATTCGTCATGTGTTTTTTTTTTGCATTTTATTGATAGCTGTAATTGTAAGTGACGACCCCATCAGTTTAAGTAAAAAGAACAATAAGTTTTAAAGCGGCAATGAGAAAATCGTGAGCTTTCCATTATTGTTTCGATCAAAAATGTTGGCGAGCTGTTGTTAAATGATTGAAAAAATTCCATTAATTTAATGCTTGCTTATGGAGTTTTCTAATTAAGTATCCAATTAATAGGCGACCTTTTCCAGCCACGAAAAACAATAAAAACTAAACATTGATAGTGGCTGGCAGGCGATTTTGTGATTGATTTACGGCTGTGGCGATGATTTTTCGAGGTCCAAGCTTATAGTATGCTCATTATTGGAATCTCGATTTCACAGTTTGACTCAAATCCAAACTTTGAGAACCCATTTTTGACCAACAGAAGACAGAACTTTGACGTCAGATGTCGGGCAGTATTTGTTTATGATTACGTTGCTGGTCATGTGATTTATGGGTCGATATGTTTGGTTGCTTTCGCTGACGTCAACAAACACATATCGAAATTATAAACAAAAGAAAACAATCAATTCGAACAACGCAAAAGGCGAAAACGAAAACAACAAAAGCTAAAAAACAGACGAAATTTGTCATCTTATTGGCCCCCTTTCGGTTGTGTAGCAGATACAGATACAGATACAAATAGAGATATAGATAGATATGAATTTCGGTTTTTTGGGTTTTTCGCATTCGCCAAAAATTAGCATAAGAAATGTGCTGATGCGATGGTTATTATTCAAGCGCTCGACTAATTTGCATCGCTATGCGGATTTGAGTTAGAAAACTTATCGATTATCCCCGGTCAGATCGCCAGATCGCCAGATATTTTCCAGCTGCTGAATTATTCATGTGTGAAGGTCGTCCGTCGTCTTTGGTCTGGGAATTTCTAGCATTTCGGCGACTGGCTCACTAATCTATAAGAAATTAGCGCCGACTGCTTAAAAATAGGCGATGAGTTCACGCGCTCTGCGATTAATTGCACAATTGGTCGGAATGCGTGTTCTTTGGCTCTTCGAGTGGTAAATTAATGGCGAGTGTCATTAATCAAACCTACCTTTCTATTCGGTAATTTATTTTTGAGCCCGGCAACTCAACAATTCGCAGCCGCAGGCAGTTCGTTATAAATAAAAGCGCGAGTAAGCTCGCCATCTGTCAGCTCGGTCCAGTGCTCGAGGTTTAAAAATAAAATAAATGCCAGTGCCTGGCTCAAATCGAAATCGCAACCGCAACCGCAGGCAGTGTCCATGGCTCTTGTTTCTGATGTATTTATAGTATATCCCAGCGAACGAGTACTTGTGTGCCAATTTTCATGTCGAATGACTGTCAAGTTCGTGCCTTAAGTCTTTCGTTTGCTTCGCTTATGCCAGTCATTGGTAGTTACAAAAATAGGTCTCTCCTCAAGGCGCAAAAATTTCCATTGAGCTATTTGTGGCCCAGATTGATTTTGTTTTTATTTGTTAAAGAAATTAAGTTTAAATTAAATTCTTAGATTAAATAATAAATTATGTCTACTTGACTAAGGAATATTTTTTTTATATCTAAATTATTCCCTTGAAGTGGATTGTTTTTGCATGCACACTTTAAAATTTCGTTCGGCTGCAATCACGATTTATAGCCACTTCCTCATAAGCTCGCAAGACAGGGGACAGCGCATAAATAAATCGCAGTAACTACGACAGCTTCGGGGAAACAACAAAGAAGACTGGTACACCACTTCCGCTTGCAGCACAATCAACTGAAAACAAATTTAATGCATTGCAACGATCGAGCATGCAAGATTCTTGATAGCATAAAAATTGTTTAATTTGTGGAAATTATCAAGACTTGAATTTAATAGTGTCTAGCCTTTGAATTGTTTTTTTTTTTAATAACTATTTAAAGTAGTTTTTTGTTGTGTATTATGTTTTGTATTGCCGTGTACTTAATCACATCTCCCCTCTTCTGTTTTTGCAGCCCATCCCGGCAAGTGCTTCGACAAGCTGACCCGCAAGGCCCTGCTGCCCGACAAGGAGTACAAGCCGAAGGGCATCTGCGCGTCCATGACTTGCAGCCTGGAGGCCCGCGAGATCAGCATCGAGACCTGTCCCTATGTGGAGGCTCCTGGCTGCGAGGAGCTGCCCAGCGATCCCAACTGGCGGTTCCCCAAGTGCTGTCCGCAGTTCAAGTGCGTCGACTTCAAGACCGGCAAAGACTTTATCGTCTCGCTGTAGATCGGCTAAATACTATATATACCCCAAACGTGATTTTACATGAAATGTATTCGTAGTTTTGTAATGCCCGAAAGAAAGAATGAGAGAGCGACTGTGTGTGTGTTTGCGTGTGTGTTTTTGTGATTCATTCCTAATTTATTTATTTTAATTTGTAAATAACACATTATCTGCATAAATCCCCCTACCCCGTCATGTTTTCACGTGTGAACATAATTCAATTTGTTTTGATTTATTCAAAAGTCCCTGTATGCGATATTTGCAAGTATGACTAATAACCATCAACCAATTATGTTTAGTCCGTAAAGTTTAAGAGAAGTAATAAAAAAATGTGAAATATGCAAATGTTGACTTTAACGTATTGACTTGGAAACGTGATTGGCGAAGTCATGTCCAATTTTGAACGTTTCCCCGCTGTGTTTATTTGCGAATATCCACCGGATTACGCGCTCTTCTTTTTTTGGACTTTGTCAATAAGCCACCAGATTATAGCCGGCTGACTCATCTGGGGATCATTCGTTGGCGTTGGCCAAACATCGCACATGCCGCATATGAAACGATCCGTAGCAGAGCTCCAAATACGATCAAAAGTTTATTGCTCGGAGAGTCCAACGGTTAACCGACTTTGCGCCTGATGGGAATACTAAGTTTATTGTCCGGCTTATTAGAGCCAACAGGAAATGCCGGTGCCCTAACTCAAAACTCACTCGATTGCCAGCTGTGGATGTTACAAAAATAGAAACTGAATGCTAACACCTAAAACCAATAAAGAAAAGCAATTACAGGTATACTACTTGATATGGTTTGTGTACGTTTTATTTCAAGATTCAGTAAATCTTGGTCTTAAAGACTTGGTAAATTCGTAATTACTTAAGTATTAATTAAAAGTTAGTATTACTTTAGGACCCTGTACATTACTTAATTAGAAAATTTTGTATTTTGAAATTCTTTGCCTTCTCATGGTGAGCTACAACTCGATACCATGGGCTGAAATTGTATTTATTTTTCAATGAGAATTTAAACATGCCGCGGATACAGTGAATACACGCTCTAGTGCATTCGTAATTGATAAAATGACAGCTTTCGCCTTTCACCGCGTTTTCCCAACGGCCTAAATTCAAAAATCAAGCCGAAACGGTTAAACCGGTATGAACCGAGATCACACTCGTTATCGGTAAATCGAAAACAACCAATCGATATATCGTTAAAAAATCAACGTTTTTTGCGATTTGGTATTTTTTTAAAGCAAGAGTTGTATTCTTGAATAATCCAGCTACGGGCGCACTGCTTGGGCGTTTCTTTTTATTTACGTTTGTGAATTTGTCTTATTTTGCTAGGAAAATCCAATAGTTTAGCCTGAATCTTGAAATAAAATGCATTCCCAGACGAATCTCATAGCAGTGCTGCTGCTGGCAGCTCTAATTCACGAAGGTAAGTGCGACTTACAGCAAAAATGGTAATTGCATATGTGTAATCATTGAACTCAATTGTTGACAGGCTCTGCGATTTGGTGCTACCGCTGCACTTCGGCCACGCCCGGCTGCGCGGAGAACTTTAACTGGCGGGGAATAGGATTCCTGGGCGAGCGCTGCCCAGAACCCAACGACATTTGTGTCAAGGTGACTGAGAGACGCGGCGGTAAGTGGAAATCCCTTATAAGCACGTGACATAGACTCAAGTCCTAATCCCAATTCCTTTCAGCCATGGAAACAATCACCCGCGATTGCCTCAGCGCACTGAGCTTCCGCAAGGACATTCCCGCCGATAAGTACGAGGGCTGTCGTCCGGCCGCCAAGGACGAGAGGCTGGCGCACTACGTCAACCACACGATCAAGGAGCACGACGTGCGGCGAGACTACTTTATGGACACCACGTTTTGCTTCTGCTTCCTGGATCACCGCTGCAATGGAGCCAGTGGACTGCAGGTGTCGGCAATAATGGGTCTCCTTGCCGTGGCCACTGCGCTGCTCCTTCGCTAGAATCTCCAATAGAGTGGAGTGCCCAAGTGCCTTACTAACTCACTCAACAACGACGAGTCTCGTCCAACATTCCGTCCGCACACTTTGTACAACTTTTTGACATGGCTTTACAGCTTTTGGAGTCTTGTGTTTACTCAACTAATTAAATACATTTTACCATATTTATAAACAGGATTGAAATCGTTGCTTTAAAGGACCTCCACATTCTTGGGCGCCCGGTAGTCATAGGCAGCCACCTCGGGATGGGCCACCAGGTGCTCCGAGTAGACTTCGGCCAATCGTAGGCACTGATCCACGGACAGTTCAAAGGGACGCAATGTGTCCTGCACTTCGGCGCGCTGGAACAGTTTCTGGGTGACTTCCTCCCGATCTTCCGGAGGAAGCAGGGTTCCAAAACCACGGCGACAGTACTTCTGGCGCATGCTAAAGATGTGCCGCACCACGCGCTCAACGAGAGAAAATGGAAGCTGCGTCTTGGGGCGCTTCAACGGTATGACCTTCACGACGCCCACATCCACCTGTGGTTTTGGAACAAATGCCTTGCCCGGTATGGTGAACTTCAGGACGGGCTCTGTCCAGATCTGCGACATCACCGACAACCTGCAGCGCTGCTCGCCGCCCACCGGCGCACAAATCCGCTCGGCCACCTCCTTCTGGAAGGTCAGTGTCATGCAGGTGTCGATGCGTCGGAAAGCGCCACGTCTGGCGGCCAAATCCGCGTACCAATTGATAAGCAGCCGCGTGGAGATGGCGAACGGCAGGTTGCCAATCAAGTGGATTCGCTGCGAGGTGTCCGGGATGTGCTGCTCTATGTTGAAGCGCAAAATGTCGTCGTAGTGTATGTCGAACTGTATGTTCAGCGGACTGGCGCACTCCTTGAGAAGCTGTAGGGTCTCGCCGAAGCGCGGATCCTTCTCCACGAGCAACAGTCGCTGTGGTTGACGACGCAGAATGGATCGGGTAATGCCACCGGGACCGGGACCCACCTCCAGAACCAAATCCCTCGAATCGATCCGTCCCGCCGACTTGACAATCTTATCCGTCAGCCGCTCGTCCATGAGGAAGTTCTGGCTTAGCTGTTTTCTGGCCTGCAGCCTGTAGAGCTTAACCAGCTCCCGAATGGTGGGCATAGGGGGCAGACGCATGCCGTTCTGGAGCACTCGGGCACTAGCTTGGGCCATCTGCAATAGTAATGTTCTAGAAACTGGACAGATGATAATCCACTTCAAACTCACCTTGTTGTGCAACAACTTCAAAAGTGTAAAACGGTGTGTAAAATGAAGAAAACGCTTACGAACTAGGGGAAACTAACAACGACTGGAGCTAAGATGACACCTTCTTGGGCTCCTCGAAGTCGTCCAGGAACTTCTCCTGCTGCACCGAGAAGATCGAATAGCCGTAGATGGCCAAAACGGAGACTCCCAATGCGCCGGCGGTCAGTAGATTGTTGCGGCGGATGCGTTTCAGCTTTTGCACGCGGTCCAGGTTTTGCTCTTCAATCAGTTTCATAAACTGCAGCTGCGCCTTGTCCAGCTTCGGAGCGTTTTCCCCGTACTTGATATTAGGTCCCTGCTCCGATGCCGACATTATAAACGCTGATAAATGGGGATTTATTCGTGTTTTCCTCGCCGACTTGGGAATTATGAAATCTCGCACTCAAATAGTGTGACCGCAGGATGTCCGTTAGGATATAACAAAAATTGCAGGGCTGGATCAAGCAAGTTGAACTTTTAGCCTGTTTCCACTACACTTTGTGTTTAGGATATTTCCACTGCATTATAACCTGTTATTTAAATGGCAAATTATAAGAAAAAAACATTTATATTTATTTACTTTTTAATAAATTTCCTAGTTATGAAAACTTCTGAATACTTTTGTCGTGTGTGTGAAATTGTTTTGATTTAGAGGGACAGAGTCAAAAGTCAACTTTGCTTCGAAAGGATGTATCCAGTTCCACTTGTTAAACATATAAAATAAAACAAAAGTAAATAATAAGTAATAGAATTTTTGAAAATCAACATGATCTCAAACGCTACATCCGGCAGCTCTGGACGGCTAGGAATATCAGATGGCAACGCCAACCGTGCGTGGTATTTTTTGGCGCCCGCCTCGGCGGTCACTCTAAATCAAGCTGCGCGTTTGCGTCCGTTACAACGAGTGCTTAGTTTAGTTTTCCTCTATTTGGGGCCCTGCGGAATTGGCAGTTCACTTTCGTTGGTGGCTCGAGTGCGTCGTGCGGCAGCGGAAAACGTTTTTCCAGGCAGAGTGCGCCATTACTTGCCTGCAAGTCAGTCACAGCAATTTATCGGTAATTGCCCTGCAAAGTGCGTAATTAGAGCTTGGGGGAAAACTGCGTTTTCCGCAATTCCAGAACGTGGTCCAATTTCACCTGAGTACGAAGAATTGTGAGTTTATTGTGATTCGTAGATATTATGTGGTAGCCATAGCCACGGCGTTGACTTTGAAATGCGGAAATGAAAGTACAAATATTCGGTTGCGTGTTTGGGAAACTGCTCTGAAAATTTTACGGCCAATAACAACAAAGGCAAAACAAACGCGTAATTGCAGAAATCAGCTGTGTACCTACGGACGAAACAGAGCCAGAGCCCCAGAAAGAGAGGGGCCACAACACTCCGCAGCCCCCGCGGCCCCCAACGCCCCCTCCCCCATCGAGCATGGAAACCCAACAGCTGGTCGTGGAGCCCTCCCTCTCGCGCTCTCATTTTCTCTCTCACGCTCTCGCTCTCCACTTGTTTTTACCCTATTTGGACTAACTTTTGTTTTTGTTTTGTTTTGGTTTGGTTTCTATTCAAAGGCTTTGCCAGATTCTCATTAGACAATTACATTTTCTTATACCCTGATTGGGTTTTGAATGTAGAGGCAAAATGGAAACACTGAAATGGATTATTTTATATTTTACTAATAAGCAAAGAGGTGTTGTGTTTAGTAAACTAAATAAACCAAACTTAACTAAAGAACCATATTCTAAAACAAAGCAACATTGAAATCGAAATCATTTAAGTGTGTACTAAATACGTTTACAAGTTTTCAAAACTATTCTGAATTCCTAGGACTTAAGGTTTTATTTTATTTCAGATATTTCTTTTTAAAGTTTGAGACATAAAATAATTTTTGCAAATAATTTTTGCTAAATGTTGTATTCGTATTTTCTAAAATATTTTCGTCTCTAATTTTTGTATTTACAATTGCCATTAAAACATTTGAATCGATCGAAAAAAGGCATTCCTTTGTTGCTCTATGGCACGTGAAAATTGCAATTAATTATGAAATTCCCTCTTGCAGCTAAATCAAACGCGTTTCGTCAACCGCCGTCCGCTTAAACAGTAAAAAAAAACAGTAAACAAACAATACAAATCTACAATCTCACGCGAATAAAGAAAACAATAAAGCGATCGTTCAGCAATTAGTGCAAGAAGACAAAAGCAACCGTATTCCGAATCCAGTTCCGTAAAAGATGGCGTTTATTTCGAAAGATTTTCGGTCTCCGGGGGAAACTTGGATCAAAACCGAAGGCGGCTGGGAGCGCTCCAAGGTGCTCGAGTGCGGAGGCAAGCGGAAGCGGTAAGTTTACCCCATTTTCTTATCGGCAAACACGCAACTTTTCACAAAAGACCTTTGATTTTCGATGACAAAATTATTTTAATTTCTGTGAATGCTGTTGAATGAGACGCACATCTGACAATATAAATTTGAAGGCGTTTTTATGTAGTCCTATTCGACGAAAGAAATAATGACAAAAAAAAATCACTTCAAAATTGCCTTACTTTTATTTACACAATTTTGTTTCTCATATGGGAAAGTAAAACGCATTTAATTGCGTACTTTATTGTTGAGAACCAAAGCAAATTGCTGATAGCTAAATTGATTGATTTCATGGGTTTTATTTATGCATGCAGAAAAGATTTACGATATTTTTATATAGAGGTTTGACTGTAAGGTTCGATTGTAAGCAAACAATACCTTTATGATTTAACAATAACTGCAGCTTCGTTTTTCGCACCTTACATATATGGACTTCTGTTGCTGTTGGTTATCTTTTAGTCATCCAATTCAAAAATTACGTTGTTTAACTGCAAGTGCGATAAGATAGTTTTACAAAATAAACATTATCTAGGCAAATGCTTTGAAAAACAATTACAGCTCAAATCAGTCAAGTTATGATTTATTTATCGCACTATTATTAAGTTCAGAAGGAGGTAATAGAAAAAATACGTATGTATATGAATAATCTTAATCGTACTGAATTTGTTGTGGCATTTGGTTAGTCATAGTTTCAAGTCACGTTTCCATTAGCAAAAAATAGTCTAGAGCAATGACCAGACTTCCGTATCGTAATTGATAGCTAAATTTCCATTTTGAAATGTTTACGTTTTCGCAGGAAAAAAGGTTGTGCTTGCAAAACCTACTTGCAGAAATCTTATCGGCTAAGATAACAATTGGCCTATAATTTATTCGGCCTCGACCCCTTTTTATAATTTTTTAGTATTTCTATATTTATTTATATTAATATATATACAAGGTACATATAGGCTTATATTTAATAGGCTTTCATGCCGTTAAACTTTAAAGATAACATTTGAATTTAAATCGTCGCTGCGTCTAACAGTTTCACTGCCGAAATCTTTAAATCATTCAGTTATAGACTCGCTTTTATGTTCAATGCCCAGTGGTGCCATTGAATTTGGCCAAAGCGAAGCGACGAATAATTGTTGTGGCCCAGACAATGGAGCCCACTTCCCTTCGTTGGCTTCGAACCGATGGTTGCTTAAATTTAAGCCCCAGGCAGTAAAACACCATCAAATGTGTGACAACAAATCCGATGTATTTGATTCCCATGAAGAGGCACACTTAAAGTACCTCAAATCGCATTGGTATATCTTAATTTATTTAAAGTGTCATTGGGTCTAGTGATTACAGGTCTGCTTCGATTGATCCGGTGAGTCACTTCAAATGGCTGTGTGAAAGTAGCAGAAGTTCCAGCGATTTCCGTATCTCGATTGGTGCCTTGGGCAGTTGGGTTGGCTGGGTTGTATCTCTGCCATCTGATCGATTGCTCATTTGATTGATTGCTATTGTTCGCTCGAATGCAATTGGAAATTGCAAGTGGAACAAAAAGTTTTTCAAACATTAAGACAATGAATGGTGAGAGTGAAAACGGAGCATGCAAAAAGCCAATGATTTTCATGCTTCACGTTGTTTAAGTTCGTAAAAATTATAATAAAATTATATATGTACAGTCCAATTTTAAAAGAAAATTGCACTCTATATAAGAGAGACAGACTTTCAAGGTCTTTACAAATATAATATTTAATTGCGCACTTCATATTCAACTAGTTTATTATAATATTGAATTTTAAACATTAATTTGTTTTTCATTTGACAAGATGTTGGATTTCCAATATTCATATATTTATTGAAAATACTAATTTGATGACTGACATATACCCAATCGATTCGATGCGGAAGTTGAATGGAAAAAGGGAGTTGGGAGGTCGAAAGTGGGCGGTGCGGAACCTTGAGCTTTTGGTGCCGTTGCAAGCTCTCTCTTACAATCATCCCATACTTTGGCCTAAACTTGACCGAGTTTAACGCCTACGGTTTGTAATTGCATGGTTAGCCCACGTATACATATAGTAAATGTTCCTTTGGGGTTTTCCAAGTTCCCAAGGCTGATATTTCCCCGTCTAGCCGTCTAAAGGTACTTCAATGGTGCTTAATATGCATTTTGGTGCCTACCTATGTTCTATTTCTTATTTTAGAATTCTTTCAAGTTTTTGGGGACCACATTTATCGTACAGCTGCGGTCAAAATAATATATCAGAAAATAAAATCTGTAAATCTTTCAAATGTAAAAAATGTTTAAAATTAAATATATTGTTTTTGAAACATTTGTTACATATAATTTTTTAGATTTACATGTGAGTTTGTTTTAATTTTAGTAACTATTTAGAATACACTAAAACATCAAAGAAGAGCAAGGCTTACATTACAGTGTTTTTATTTTGACCCCAAATGTATATTCCTGCCCGAGTAGATCATGAGTGGCGCTATTTCCGCATTTTTCCCATTTACGACTACTCGAAATGCTAAAAATAAGCGCCCCTTCCATGGATTTGGTGCGTTCTTTATGACTTGTCAAAAGTGCACTTTAAGTTCTGTCTATTTTTCCCTGACATCTTCCGCGTGTGCGTTCGGTTCGAATTTTTTACGATGTTCTGTCTTATGTAACTCCACGGCCTATCTTAAAAATAACACACGAATTTTAAGAGGTCAAAATCAATTGGTGTTGCATTGCCTTCTAGTCAGCAATCCAGGGTTTCGGTTATGAAACGTTCAAATTGCGCCGCAATTTTAAAAATTACAAATTCATTTCTAACTTTTTTTTTGAACATTGTGTTGTGGGAAGTGGAGCATACGTATTAGTCTGACTGACGTGACTGAATTTCCTCGAAATCCATAAATTGTGTTACAATATGGTTTTCCTAGCGATTGTAAAGCGTTTTTACCCGGTTTATCGCCAAACTTGCGTGTCCATTTCGTAACTATGCTAAGCACTCGCTTTTGAGCATTACCCAACTTTCTTTCTGGTCAATTAAAAATTCAAATGGCCGTCGCTCGGCACTGAACCCATTAGATAATGCCTCAAAATAATAATTAGAAATGCCAGATTGCATGGAAAAGCGAATCCAAAGTGCACCCGCGGACGTGCCGACTACTTGGACTCCAAGTCGATGTCGAAGTCGAAGTCGGAGTTGGAGTCGGAATTGGACCCACTTTCACTGCACTCTTCGCTGCACATCTGCGGACCAACGATCGCCCGCCCGCTTTTTGATCGATTTTCCTTCCCGTCTTCGGCACTCTTTTTCTTTTTTTATTTTCCACTGTATCAAGATAGATGAGGTCGCGGAAAATAGCTTTTCATATGAGTGTAATAAATATAAAATACACTCGTTTGTTTGTGGTTGCCTAAAAGTAATTGATGAATTTGCGCCGAAAAATTTGTATTTTAAACAAAATTTATAAAAACGTAACCATTTAAGGTTAGACTTTATTTAGAGGTATAATTTTATAGATTTTATAAAACATATAAAGCTGGTGGTATTTTTAAACTTTCTTATTTTTTTTTTTAAATATATGTTGGTTTCCAATAACATTTTTTTTCATATTCTAATGCTAATACTAGTTAGCATGAAATTTAACAGATAGACAATCTTAATAGACAAAATTTTAATGATATTCAAAGTTGAAATACAAGAAAAGTTTTCTATCTTGCTTTATATCTTAAATAAGATAATCCGGCAATTTAAACTAATTAAGTAGTTTTATTTATTTTATTTCCTTTCCATGCAACCAAGACACATGCTGACTTGCCTAGTTATACCTTTTGCAACCAAAGATTTTCATTCGTAATGAGAAGCGAGTATCTCACATATATGTGATCACTTCCAATATCTTCTAAAATTAGAAATATTCGAAACGCTTTCTGGCTCCTTTGCTGGTCCTCAACTCCATTTCCAATTATTTATGTGGAAAAAGGTCACAAGCGTATAAATAGAAAAGCGATTTTCCGCTGCAACTCGAAGTTTTTCCCGCTGCGCCTGCCAGTCAAAAAGAAGGGCCCCGCACTCCGATTCATTTGTTTAATTCGCTTGGAGAAAGGTAAACGAACGCTTGATGGTGACGTCGTTGAGTGATTTATATGATTCACGTGGTCGTCGGCCGCGGCATGGTCTGTTGGCTGGATTGGATGATGGCTGTGGGCAGGGCCGGAGTTTTCCATCCGATTCGGAGATCCAGAGATCTCCGGAGGAGGAGGGATCCAGGGAGCAAGAGCCGCAGTCCGAACACAAGCGCAACAATTTCATTGTTCGCGTCAGCTATTTTTATACAGATCCGCAGATAATTGCACATTTACCTAAAACACAGCCAGCGACAACATCATGAATTTCGAGCTAGAAAATGGAAAGCAAAAATAATAATAATCAAAACACAATAATTGGCGTTGAAAATTGCAATAATAAAGTGTTGGCTGGGATGGTCTGATTTCTTTGTTTCTTTTATCTACTCTGAGCAATGCGATTCGATTCAGTCATTTTGGAGTTATCTTTATCAATGACAATAAACAGTTGAGTTTGTTGTGCGTATCTTCATCTATTTATGTATGAGACATCCTTTAACAAATTATGATTAAAGGTAAATTACTCACTGATTTAATTACATTTTATTTGGCAGTTCTTAAGGTTAAACAAATTTCTAAGTTTTGGAACGACTTATTTTATTAATAAACAAGGTCATACACATTTTTAACTGGTCTTAAATGCATCTCCTTATTTCACTTAAATGAAATAAAAAAATTCCATAAACATTTTTCTTCAGATAAACTTACCCAACTGCATACGTTTTGAATTCAAAACTAGTCCTAAATGCATTTGTAAAACAGTTTTCTTTTTCTGAAAATCTCAAATTAAATGCGAAATGCAAACCCAAAACTAAAAAGAAAACCATAATAATAACATATCATAGCAGCAACACATGGCAGTACAATGCACATGAACTATTCTACATTACGTATACGAAGTGGTGGCCAATAAAAGCGGTGACCTAGTTTGCAGCAGGCCAACAACGGTTCTCGACTCTCGACTCTCGACTTGCTCAGCTGGGGGCGCATTGGAGGAGCTTTTGTGCGTTTTCTTTTCCAGTTTCTCGTTCCGCGTTCCCCCCACTTTCCTGTCCTGTCTTTGATGGCTGCTCTCCTTGGAGCATCTTTTGCAGCTCCTGTTGGGACCGTGAGTGGATTACCACTGATTACGGACCCAATTCTGGGTCAGAATTAGATTTACTCTGCTTTCGCGAAGGACGAGACACCCATGCCCAGGATAAATACCTGAATAACCCCGCCAACCAAATCGATGCGCCTTGACCATTTGCGGTTGTGGACGATTCGACGAGGACACGTCCTGTCCTTGGTTGCCTTTAAATTGTTTTTGATTTTCCCCAAACTGGGTCAAACTGTGCTCGTCTCTTGGGCCAACTGCACTTTGTCTAATTGAAGTTTTCCCCCATAATTGCCTGGTAATTACCATTTTCTTAGCCCGGGGTTTTTTTGCACATCTTTCAAACGCTGCAAATGTCGATTTTCAAGGTCGTTAATGGGTTTCACTTTTGCTTAATGCCATTTTATGTTGGAAGTGTCTTGAAAAGTCTTTAAGCACATCATAGAAAAAATATCTATTACACTTGCTGCAATTTATTTACTCATTCCACCAATTTGGTTCCATAGATGTGTGATTTTCATAAACTCACAATTTATCTGATGATCCAAGACTAGTAAAGCTTATGTACAAAAGATAGCCATCTGCTAAACATTTCTATTTCCTCTTGCCTGCCCAAATGACACCTAGCTTCGTTCGAAATTGAATTGCAAATGTGTACAATTTCACAAATTACGCGACCCAGCACTTGTAATTGCATTAAACATGGCTAAAAACTTGACACTCGGCTGGGTTTCCTTCTCTCCGAATTGCTTAATTTAATAACCGGACAGAGCCTGAGATCAGATGGTGGGAAATTGGAGAGCTTCCGCCTCAGGAAAAGCGACTCGCAAGCGTTTAACACTTGTAAGCAGCCAAATCCAAATGGTAGCTGCAATTGCAGTCCAAGAGTTGGCATAACACACAACTGGCCAAACAGGTTAATCCCCCAAGTTGAGTGCAGTGTCATACAGCTGGACCGAATCACTTCCGAAATGTTGCATTGGCAATGGATTATCTGGCCCTACACTGTGCGAAAAACAACAAGGCTATTTACGTTTCACAAAACAATTTAAAATGGCTCAGGATGAAATGATATTTCTTTAAAAACAGAATTAAAGTTATTAATGTATTATACATAAAGTTTGAGATCACAAAAAATCGTAGATTAGCTGAAGGAAATTATCCTTTTGATATCACTTAATTTGAACTTTGTTAAATCCTCTTACTTATATTACCCGATCTTTAATTTATGACACTTTAAATATTTTTTTGTACTTATTGTAGGCACCACTCGGAGGGGAGTAGCAGCTACCAGGACAGCGACAGTTCGGAGGATGACGCGGTGATGCCACCGCATTACCACATCACCATCCGGTGCACCAGAGAAATAGCCGGGTTCAATGGTCTCAGCGAGGCTGTAAAGCGTCTGGATTTTCGGCGATCGGTGCGGGACCGCAAGAGGTTCCACTACATCTGCGCCTTCCTTCTACTCGTGTCCAACAAGGGCATCGCCAGTCTGCCGGGCAGTGCCCAGCGCCAGCTCCTCCAAATGGTCGAGGAGGTGGCGTCGCATGGTAAATGATCTTGTATATTCTAATCCTCACTAAACAGTGTCTAATAATAGCGTTTAATTACCCTAGTGAATGACAGTCAGCAGCATCCGAATGTGCTGCGTGGCCTGGCCCTGAAGTTGGAGCACATCGTCAGCCAGGAGAACCAGAAGTGCTGGGGCAAGCCCCTGGGCAGCACCTACCTGTGGAAGGAGCATATGGCCACCATCAAGCGCATCCAGCGTGTCGCCAGCCAAATCGAAATCCGAGAGGTAAGGGGTATAATCTATAAAGCATAATATGGGAATTGCAGAAACCTCAATTAAAAATAATTTAATAAAATTTACGAGGGTTTCCATTAGAGAAACCTATTTAATTATGATTAAAATATAAAAAGATTAAGTTGGAGCAGGTTTCTATTAAGCACAATAACTGTTTCTTTGACACAGCAAGCTGTGCCCCTGATACATATTATATATATATATATATATATATATATATATATATATATTATGTGTACCTGATATTATTTCCAAGTTCCCTACTCATCACAACCTCTTTCTTTTCAGCCCGATCCAGAGGCCAAGCCCAAGCTGCACGAGCTGCCGGAGGAGTGTGTGCGGGAGATCATCCTGTGCATTGCCGACCATCGGGACCTGGAGTCGGCCGCCGAGGCCTGGGAGACCATGGCCAAGCTGGTCTCCGAGCAGCGCATCTGGCGCGAGCTGACCCGCTTCCACTTCAACCAGCGCCAGATCCACACCATCCTCGACCTGGACAAGTTCAAGCAGATGGGCGAGATCAAGGACTGGAAGCAGATCTACCACCAACTGCGCCGCACCTACGGCGTTAACGATGACTACCAGTTCGCCGAGGTGCTGGCCCTGTGCCGCTCCTGCTGCTGCCTATTTTGGCCCTCGGACGGGCATCCGTGCATCGTTGACCAGAGTCCGGACTACAAGCAGCGCCTGGAGGAGGCCGGCGGACAGTTGGCCCTGGCCCAGCCCGTCCCCCCGGCCCAGTTTCTCAAGTACTTCTCGTTGTAAGCCGGTGGATCGGACCAAGGGAGAGAGATAGAGATAGAGATAGATCGAAAGTATTTTTATGGAGTGGATGGGATAGGCTGATTGTGAAAGTCTTTATGCGTGTGTTAAAGTTTTACCCTTGGAGAGAGGATAAGAGAAGAGAAGAGAATAGAAGAGAAGAGGATAGGAGGATCAGAAAAAGCAAAGTGATAAAGAAATCCCTAATCTATAACCACATGTATGTATGTACGTAAATCGCCAGGCTCGTTTCTATTGGTTTGCAGTTAGTCCAGGTAGCCAGATAGCCAGGTTACACAGATTACCAGGTCAAGGTTAAGGTTCAGATTCTAGTTCAGTTCTTTGCCAACTTGTTGTATTGTTGCCTCATCTACGTTTGAACCACAGTCTGTGCAGGTCCGAAGATTACTATTAGTTGTGTAGACATACATATGTATTTATCGACTCGCGTGTCAGTTGCCAGGGTCCAATTTTGGGTCGCTAATCTTTGAGTTCGGAGTGGTTATAGACTTATTAAGGACACGCAAAACGAACTGCCACAAGACGAGAATAAGCGATTGTATTTTGTCAAACTGATTATTGCAAAACGTGTGTCGAGAAACTATTTTTAATGTACCAGTATATATGTATAATTAACGATTTGTTCATTTTAAGACAAACGAGCAATACACTTTTATGCATGACTTTTGAACGATCTATTGTAGGGTTTAAGTGTAGTTTCTTTTACGTATATCAGCTGCTTTTGGTGCTAAATCTTAATTTAAGTTCCAACGAAATCAAATCAAATACAAATCAAACCAGCTCCAGCTCCAGTTAACCCCGTGCCCAGTGCGATCCGAATTCGATCTGTAGTTCCAAGTAGAAATCATGTGATGTTGCAGGAAGCAAAGCTAGAAACGAATACACCTACCTAACAAACGATAACAAATCTTCAAGCGATTTTAAGAACACATTAATCCCAACCCTAAGGCAGATCGGAAGTATTGGCAAGTATTTCCCAAAACCAAACCAAAACCCTTTTTGATGCCTGATAACTCCGTGCTTGATGAAACAGAGCAGACATATAGCTAATGTTAATGTGTATAGATACCCGTTAGTGGAAATCCAGATCCAAGCCTCATGATTTCCCTGTAAAATACCAATTCGATCACATTAATTTTACTACAACTATTACTATTGTAAGTACGAACGTTTTAGCATTCTCAATCAATTTGTTTGCAAATATTTCTACGCGAAATAAGTCTCTCATTTTATGTTTAAAATAAACTTGCAAATATCTGTGGATCATTCGAATTGTTTCATTGGGAGAAATGTCTTGGGTTTGTATATTATAAATGCATACAACTTTTGATTGTATAAGAAACTTAAAGGCAACATTATTTTAAAATCTCATAATGCTTTACTAAGCTATTATTAAATTTACTTAAATTTATAATTAGTATTATAATTATTGAAATTAGTATTATAATTATGCCACATAAATATTTATATACTTTACCGCAAGGCCCCCAAATGCATCTTGAATATATTGACCAAACAGTCAGTTGCCATGGACAAAATCAATCATCCAAAAATTATTCCTTACATTTATTGAAGCGATACGAAAGAGTAGTTGGTTTTTGCCAAAAATGGAATATACATTTAAGAAGGAGCGACGCTCCTTTGGAGCACGCGTCACATTCGAGGACAAGGATGAGGTGGTGTTCAGCGAGAACTCCAATCCGGAGCTGGTCAAGAACTACATCCTGCAGAACCCCGTGGACCGGGTGACGCAATATGCCGGACAGACCTCGCTGAGTGTGGCCAACACGGAAAGGGCCACGTACAAGAGCTCGGGGATCACACACAATGAGGGCGGATGGCCCAAGGACATCAACATGCACGATCCGGAGCAGACGGTGCGGTACAAGCGGAAAATCGAGAAGGACGAGAATTACATCACGCAGGTGATGAATCTCACCAAGCCGATGGAGCACTATATCCATCAGAACAATGCGGTCAACATCTATGAGAACTATTTTGAGAATCTCGATCCCGCCCCGCTGCCCGAACCGTGCAAGTCGCGGACGGTCAACGTTTATCGCGATCCCAATCCCGTCAAGGTGCCGGTGAAGCATCTGTCCTGGTCGCCGGATGGCGGCATCAAGATGGCCGTCAGCCACTGCGACATGCGGTTCCAGGGCGACAAGTCCAACCAGAAGTGCAACTCGTACATCTGGGAGGTGGAGAACCCCAACGAGCCCTTTCTCACCCTGGAGCCGAAGGTTCCCTGCGTCTGTCTGGAGTACAACCAGAAGGATCCGACCAGTCTGGTCAGCGGCATGTACAATGGCCAGGTGGCCGCCTGGGATACGCGGCACGGCAAGCATCCGGTGATGATCAGCGAACGGGAGGTGTGCCACCGGGATCCGGTCAACTCGGTGCTGTGGAACAACTCAAAAAGTGGCACCGAGTTCTTCTCCGGCGGCTCCGATGGTCAGGTGCTGTGGTGGGACACCAGGAAGCTCACTGAGCCACTGGACCGCCTGCTCATGGATCCGGTAAAGAGTGACGACCAGGATTTGTCGCGATCGTACGGCATTTCGGTGCTGGAGTATGAAACCACCATACCCACACGGTTTATGGCCGGCACGGAGATGGGAATGCTCTTCTCCTGCAATCGCAAGGGCAAGACGCCTACGGAAAAAATTCAGATACGGGTAAGTTTCTATACACTGATAAAAATGGTAAAAATGGTAAATATATTAAATTATATTATATTTTTATAAACTATTTTGTTTAGGATTTAAGTATATTGGACAGTCATATGTATGATTTAGTACTAATATATTTGAACTTATATTGAAACTATATTATATTTTAGATTTTAAAGCTTCCAATATTATATGGCTTACAATGTTAAAATCCATTCCGTAAAAAATACTCAAATAAAACTTAAAAAATTAAAACATATTAAAACGGAAATGGCTGAAAGTTACAGCGAAAAATATTGAAATTGAGTTTGATATATTTGGATTGTCTTCGATTTTTTTTACCAGTGTAAGCTGATTAGGTCCTAATGATTTGCCCCCTCCCACAGATGATGTGCCACCTGGGCCCGGTGTATGCCATCACCCGGAATCCGGCCTTTGTGAAGAACTTCCTCACCGTGGGCGACTGGTGTGCCCGTATTTGGTCGGAGGATTGCCGGGAGAGCTCCATCATTTGGACCAAGAGCAGCAGCTCCATGCTGACCGATGGGGCCTGGAGCTACACCAAGTGGGTGCTTATTTTTGGCAAATCATTATACTTACAAAACTTTATGTCCAGGGTATCGCAGTTCTTCATCACCCGCATGGATGGGGTCATGGACACGTGGGATCTGCTCCAGCAGCAAAACGAGCCTGTCCTCACGGTCAAGGTGTGTGATGAGCCGCTCTACTGTGTCCGGACAAACGAGAACGGCAAGTTCGTCAGTTGTGGCAGCCAGTTGGGAGCCACCTTTCTCATCGAGGTCTCCGACAATATGGTGATGTCGGCCAAGAACGACAAGCCTCTGCTAACTGCTGTAAGAATGAGTTAACAATCCAATCCAATAAGTAATCCAATATACCCACCGTAGATGTTCGAGCGGGAGAACCGTCGCGAGAAGATCCTGGAGGCCAAGTCCCGGGAGAGTAAGCTGAAGGTGAAGGCCAATCATGGTCAGGATCAGGCGGACAACATGATGCTCAACGGCAAGATCAATATGGCTCCGTTCGAGGGAGCCTGCGAACAGGCCGCCGCAGAATACCATGCGGCAGTGGAACAGGAACGCCAACGGCGACTGCCCGGCGGAAAGCGTAGGTGAACGAAAGGGGTTTTTAGTTTCTTACCTTTTTCCGGGAATTTCCACTTATTTTTGCAACATCATTTCAATTACAGAGGATGCGGAGGAGGCTGATGTGTCCGAGGCAGAGAGCTCAAAGCCCTAAATCTCCGATGGAATGGTAGCGTTTTCCTGTAAAATGTATTAATCATGTTGTAGATGTACATATGTATTTGAAATAAATATAAATTACCTGATGATACAAATTACAACCAACTCTGCTTGAAAAGTGCGCCTAGTTGCATGTATGTAAGTACAATAAAAACGTCAGCCTAATGAATTTTTAAATTGTCAAGTGGAAAAGTACTATTAAATAAATTTGAATTTTGAAAACCTCCATCGTTTTGCAACACTTAAGTTTCAGTGCTGGGTGCAACTGATTCCGTTTTCAACCAGTTCCAGTTCCAATTGTGGTTCACAAGCAGTGCTGCCAAAATCTCCAAGTTCGGTGTCTGTGTAGTCCATAGCTGTTAAGCCACTGAGTTGTATACTACTTCCGATATCTTTGTGAACCAATATTAATCGTTGTTTGAACAAATAATCAATAATATAAAAAAGGCAGAAATAAAAAATGCCTTGTTTTGTAAAACATGTTGAACAACTTCTAAAGAAAAAATAAAAACTGCTTGATTTGTAGCTAATAAGATTAAGAATTAAGAATAAGATAATAAAAGTTGCAAATTTGAAAGTAGCCAGAAATAGCTACGAAATTGCTTAAGTGGCAGCACTGTTCACAAGTTCACGAGCTACTGAGACCAATCAGCTGTTGCCATTCGACATTCACACGCGGGATTGAGCAGAAATTATTAAAACCTTTATAACAGAGGACTAAAAATCTGAAATTGTAAGTAAAGTATAAACAAAGCAAGGTGGACCACTTTTACAATTAAAAACAATTGGCAGTATTATACAGAAACGTAAGGCAAGCAACAATTTCTCATCAGCTGTGCTGCTAGTGAAACGTGCCAGATTTACACTTAGCAGCAAATTAAAGTGTTAGGGGCGAATCATTATCTGTGCCAGTGATATAATAGTTATTGCAAACGCAAATTGTTGATTTGGTGTTAAAGTCATGGTAAGCTATAAACGATCTGTATAGCATTCGACTATTTAGAGTCGGGCAGTAAGTAAGGTCAGGTCAGGTAGTAAAAGTAACCCGTTCCGTGTTGCACGGTGTGTGGCCTACGTGACTCAGAAACAGTTATCAATGGCGCAACACAAACGGAAAGTTCACTGACCAATTTCTATGTTGTTTCTGTGCAGCAGCCAAACGCAAAACGCAACCCCTGAAATTCAGACAGCGTCTGACGTCCAACTGATAAAGGTATCGAACGATTCCAATCTCGCGGTTTCTGTATTATATTTAAATAGTAGTTGTTTTGTTAACCAAGCAAATACCACGGGTAAGACAAAGGCCATCTAAATCAACAAATGTCTTTAAACGATAATATGTGTTTGTTTTAGTTTTAAATATAGTTTGACAGTGCTGTGTTCTGAATTAATATTTATTTCCGTGAAGAAACATCCTATTAAAAATTCACATTACCTACATAGTTTCACTCCTACTATTAACATTAAGTAAAGAATAACAAAAAAAAGTTAACAAAAACAGCAGTTTGTTCTGCTTTTTTTTTATTGCCAATTGTTAATTCAGACCTTGGAACCGGTCCGATTTGAAAGTATCGGTTGGAAGGTATATCCCCAAGGTGGGGCCGCCAACTAAGTGATTCATCCACCTGGGTTAATTATAAGAATTCGGGTTTTGCTTTTCCGGGTGACTCTTGTTCAAATGCAAGGGGGCCGGTCCCCCGTCATCCCATTCCATTCAGCAGTCACGTACGCCAGATACAATACACTGTCGGCCTCTTTGTTTATTGTTTATTTGCTGAAGCTATCACCACACAAAAAAATGGAAATCCAAATCCAAGTTTTATAATAATCAAAACAGTCTTGACCTTAACATGTCTCGTTTATTTTTTGGTAGATTATTACTATTGCGTATTAAATTTAAAGATTTACTAAGATTATGTTGATTACCAATACTGAAAGGGTTTCATAAAATCTAAAATATAAGTTATAGATTATAAACAATTAATTATAGAGGAGCATTTCAAATTTATGTCCCAATTTTATTGTTTTTGAAGCTATCAAATATAAACAAAACAACCAAACCCAGCAAAACAATTTCGATCAAGGTACTTTCGTCTTAAAAAATTAAATAAAACTCTTTTTATTTACTGAACTAATTCTAATTTCCTACATTTGACTCTATACTTTTCCAGCACCATGTTGGACGTGATCCAACCGAGCAGCAATCTCCCAACCAGCGAGAGCACCGATGTGGTGGTGGTCCGGGCCAGACCGAAGAAGGTATTCAAGCCGAAGGCGAGGATTAATCGGATTCCGCAGGAGCTGCTCGATGATCCACTGCTGCAGCAGGCCGTAGACCGCCTGCCCTCGAACTACAACTTCGAGATGCACAAGACCATCTGGCGGATAAGAGAGATGAAGGCCAAGCGCGTGGCGCTGCAACTGCCGGAGGGCCTGCTGATGTACGCCATGGTCATCAGCGACATCGTGGAGCGATTCACCAGCGCGGATACCGTCATCATGGGCGATGTGACCTACGGTGCCTGCTGCGTGGACGACTATACTGCCAAGGCACTGGGAGCGGATCTGCTGGTGCACTACGGCCACAGCTGCCTCATACCCGTGGATCAGACGTGCGGCATCAAGGTGCTGTACATTTTCGTGGACATTAAAATCGATCCTCTGCACTTCCTGGACTCCGTTAAGCTAAACTTCCGCCCGGAGGTGGGCCAGATAGCTTTGGTCAGCACCATACAGTTCGTGACCACACTGCAGGCTGCATCCACGGAACTAAAGGCTGCCGGCTACGATGTGATAGTTCCCCAGGCCAAGCCACTTAGTCCCGGAGAGATTCTCGGCTGCACATCGCCGCAGCTGCCAGAGACGACTAAGATGATCATTTATCTGGGAGACGGGCGTTTCCACCTGGAATCCGCAATGATTGCCAACCCGCTGCTAAAGGTAATTACCTCTTTAAAAGAGTTTTAAAAATCTAGTGAATTTACTTACATTTTTCTTTTACCCTTTCAGGCCTACAAATACGATCCGTATGAGAAAAAGTTTACCATAGAGCAGTATGACCACACGGCCATGCAGAATCTTCGCCTGGATGCTGTACAGCGGGCTAAGAAGGCCCGCCGCATCGGCATCATACTGGGAACACTCGGAAGACAGGGCAGTTCCAGGGTGCATCGATTTTTGGAGAAGCGACTGCACGCCAAGGGCATTGAGACTACCACGCTGTTACTGTCCGAGATCTTCCCCCAGAAACTGGCACTCTTTGCGGACATTGACGCCTTCGTGCAGATTGCCTGCCCGCGACTTTCGATCGACTGGGGATCCGCCTTCAGCCAACCGCTGTTGAATCCCTACGAACTGTCCGTGGTATTGGGCGATGTCGAGTGGACGCCACACAACTCGTCGCCACGCAACAATGCCTATCCGATGGACTTCTATGCCAGTGGCAGCCTGGGACCCTGGACACCCAACTTCAAGCCACCAGCGCTGGGAGAATGCGAGAACAAACCATCGGCCGATTGCTGTGGCCGTTGCACGCGGGCGGAACTGGAGAAGGATGATTCCGGGAAGGCGGCGGCTCTGGACGATCTTCTCGACTTCAAAAAAGGATAGAGGGGATCTTATCTGACTCGCATTCAACTGCCCACAGAGCCCTCCATCTCAAGCGATCAGCCATGGTCGTCTGCCCAAATATAATGCTTAAATACTAATTTAGTTAGTACAAATTTGGTTTTTAAGTTCTTACTTTTAGGTAATTTTTGTGTTCATCACACATAGTTTTATGATTTCTACGTTCGCAATATCGATCTTTAGCTTAGTTACTAGCTATTTTTTCAACAGAGATGCAATTGTTATAGTAACAGCAACAATGTACACAATATATATAACATTAAATAATGTTTCAAAAGACCAATTGAGTATTTAAATACAAAAAGGCATTTTAGATATATTTTATTCAAACCTACATGTTTAAAATTCGTTTTTCTTCGGTGGCCAAAGTGTGAAGTTGGGAATAATTTTTAACCTATATTATAGTTATTATATGAAAATATAAAAATGATTTAATTATGTGCTTGATAAAGAATTCCTATAGCTATTCATTTTCCTTTTGCAAGATTAAAATTTAATTTATCAGTTTTTGGGAATAAGAACCGATTCTTTTTCTTCGTTTTGTAAATTTTATTTTATTGCAAGAATATCACGTATATTTAAAATATTTACAATTTCTTTAAAATGTTTTCTAAATTATATACAATTGGACTAAAATTTGCGCTATAATTTTTCTAAATATTTGGCTATAATTTGGTTGTTTATACATTGGGTCTATTGAATTGTCTAAAAATTTCATAAGGTTTTTATATACAAATGCACTACTTAGATTAAATTGGCTAGCTAGTTACATATATACAATTTGATGACATATATACAATTTTGTTGTATATGTATATACAATTGAATAGGATATTAACTAACATTTACAATTGATCTATAGAATTAACTAGAATTTACAATACAATACAATTGTCTAAATTCGGCTAATTTGCTGACACTGCAAGCGATGAATGTTTGAAATTTTGTAGTTGGGCCCAGAGTGTGCTTAATTCGAAGGTCCTGTCATCTGATCCTCAGGTCTTTCAAAGATCCAGCGACGAATCCGTGGAGCTCCGCCAGATGGATGTTGTCGATCGGAGGACATCGCTTGCAGTGCAGGTCGACTTCCAGTCGACCACTGGTTTTTATACTCCTCCAGGTAGGCAAAATAGGGAATATTGCAGGATAAGATAAGGGATATTTTGCCTGCTCTAATGACTTTGACCTTGGCGAAAATTGCCGCACCGCGATTACCCAAAAATTTCCTGGAAATTTAAACACGAACTCCTTGAAAATATTTTGAGTACCCGCTGATTTGTGGAAAGTGCTTAAGTTTGTAGAAAGGAGAAAAGGTGTGCGTAAGTAGGTAGCAAAAATTGATTCCGAAATTTTACCAAAGACTTGGCATCTGCACGCCATATGTAAATTAATTTAATTTTAATTTTATTTGTTCTTTAACTAAATGTCTAAATATATGTATACTAAAAAGACTTTACAAATGAAAAATTATTAAGCAAGAAAAAAAATCAATTAATTTAGTTATTCCTAACAATATGACACAATTTATGCGAAATATTTATAAATCAACAGAAAAATATTCAGCATTACAATTTTAATATATAGTCAGTCAAGATTTTAAGATTTCAAGGATTTGTGTTTTGTCGCATTCATCTGAACAGTCTTTCTATTTCAGAATGGACATTTTCTTGTCATAAAAATTCCATTCTTGTCGTGTTCTATATGAATTTAAATCCTAGGGATTCCTCTAATAAATATTAACACAATTTGAAGAGATGCTCAAACACCCCAAATATTTTTACGATGCTGCTTTTCAAATAGAGTTCAAGTTTCTTTCCAGACTTTTTTGGACTTCTGATCTTTGAATAGTTGCCTTGAGATTTCGAATTTCTTCCATTAGCTTTTTGCGTTCGTCTTTGAGAAAAAATACCTCGCGTTTTAGGGAACACCTGGGGGTATTCAAATTTTAACAAAATATTTAACATTTTATAATAAAAACATCTTACACTTCATGTTCCAAGTGCTTTACATAGTTGTCGCCTTCCGAATCAATTATCTCGACATGGTCCTTGGCATTCGATTGCGGATTTAGGGGATCCAGAATCTCTACTTCCAAATGCCTGTGATCTTGAAGACTGTCGTCATCTTTAGATTGTTGGGAGGAGGTACTTCTTCCAGATTCACCGATCAGTTCTACAATTTCATTGTAAACGCTGGAGGAACTTTCCTCCAATTCCTCATAATCTTTAGCAATTTCACATAGTTGGATTTCTATGGTTTCTTGGGTATTTGAAAATTGTGGTTCTTGCTGGAAGAATTCGGTGACGCTGTTGGAGATCTTCGAAGAAACATTTGTACATTGTTTTTTGGTTTTCCCACGCTTTTCTTTGACCACCTTTTGGGGTCTATTTACACTAGGAAATGAGCCGGACTTAAGTTTTGTTGGATTTTTCCGGGTGAAGCCAAGTTCAAACTGCATATTCCGCTCAAAGTCCTCAGGTGCAAAATGCTCATTGCATATGCAGGCTGTTAAAAAATAATAATTGTTTACTTTTTGTACACAGTTGTTGGTCAATATTATTGACCTGTAGCGGTGTTTATTCTATCCCGCTGGCAGAAATCTATCCATTGTTGAAGGAGTTGCTCTCCTTTGGGGAAATGAAAGTATCGCCATTTCTTTCTATTCGAGCTGCGATTATTATTTCCGCAATTATTTACAGCACAGCGCATTTAATATAAAATTATTAATTGAAAAGTAAGCAAACAGCTGTTTGCACTGTGTTAAGCGTCACGACTAAAATGGTTTGAAACTTGGTTAGACGGATAATGGATAGCTTTATCCGGCCAGTAATTTGTTGTTTTTTAAACAACTTAATTGCGCGATTTCCAACACTGAATAATCAGCTGCTCTTCAGTTTTAATCTCTCATTGGTTTGTTTTGATTTTCGTGGCAAATTTTACTTACTATGTTGAAGAGCAGCAATATAAATAGGTAAATAGAATAAAACTGTGATTTATTAAATGTATAACTCATAAAATTTTACCACTTAGCGTCCTCAACGAGCTCCCCGAACAGTCAGTTCAATCATCCTCCAGTTCTAATGGAAATCCAAAACGGGATGCGGAAACTTGTTGCTCCTCCAAGGATCAGGATGTCATGGGCAGTCTAGCCGCCTTGCAATTATCCGCCGGGGTACTCCAAATAGCGGAACCCCCTTTAGAACATGTCCGTGGACAGCTCAGGGAGTTAATGTAGGTACTTTGGTTCGGAATCCAAGATCACTTCATGATTAACTAATTTTTAGTGGAAGGCAAAACAAAATATACATTGACTTGTCCAAGGAGAAATACAAACTGGACTGCAGCGAAGTGGCCAAACTGAACGACATGGTAAGCCTATAGACTTCCTAAAGATTTATAAAATCACGATAAGTACTCAAGATTGTACCACTTTCTCCTGACATCGCTGATTTCTAGATACAGTTCCCTAAGATCTTGTTTTCCAAAAGAAGCTTTGATGCTTAAAAATATCATTATTTTGTAATAATTTATTTTTAATTAAAGTAGACTAAAGATTTTAACAATACCAATATTTATAATAGAAAAATAAACACCTTGATCAGGAACCATAATTGTCCAATATACACGAATTTATCAGGTATGATCAAAGCTTTACTCAACACATCAGTTTCATGTCGATGTTACAATAAATATTTTAAAGCAACTAGGCACAATACCATGACAAAGGCTTTAATGTAAGGAACCGCAGCTGAGGTTGGTTACAAATCTTATCAGTGGGTGCCATTAAATGTCTTTGATCACAATCTAATCTTAAGAAAAACAAAAAAGTAACGGCCCTTATAAAATACAAAGTAACTGGCTTTATTATCATTTCCATTTATGTAGATGAGTGATGTGAAGCGATACAAGGAAAAATTGACAAAGATCAAGAAAGAAATGCAGGGCGTCTACCAGCGAACCAAGGAGTTAAAGGTGAGAAATGATTTAAATGGTTTAGGAAGAAACGAAACAGATAATAAAACAGTAAAGAAAGTAATCAAAAATAAAACCCAATGTTGATTAAAACGTTTATTAGCTATAAATTGCTGATTACAGAAACGAGCCGCAAACGTGGCGGCCTGCAAGCAGCGTGACTACCAGCGGAAAATCGACAGGCAACAGCACGAGGAGTCCCTCATCGGCAGTCAGTAGACGCACTGGGTCGGATCTTCACCAGATCTCGGATTTTACAAGCCTCTGCACTCTGTAAAGGCGCATTTACATTGGGATTTCCGTTAACAACTAGCTAACAACTTAACACAGATAACAGTTGAACAAAAGTTAAACTATTTGGATACATAAGTAATAATAATAATTGTATATGTTATAAGAGTTTGCTTTTGTATGCCTGCGATAAGTCGGAAAGCATTACATTGTATATTGTGTATAGTTAAGTAAATACTTAAGAGATTTTGCAGAAAAATGGAGCCACATGCACTCGGAGTAAGGATATCCAATGGCTACAATACACTTAGCTACAAATGTTATTTATAAATATACAAATACGTAAGTGTAACATTAAGATGGTGTGGAGAAACAATAGTTGAACAATCACAGCGCTGAGGCAGCGGCTTATATAAACTACAATTGACATGCAAACAACCTGCTGCGCTTGGAATTCTACAAATAATTAAATTCTCAAATTGAATTCAAAGGTAAATGAGGAAGAGATTCGCCTACGCGGCATGCACGTACATAGGTGGCAATGTGTGGGAGTGTGGGGTTACTAGCATAAGTTACTACTTAAATAAAGCACGTTTACAATACAGGTAGTAGGTAATAGTACACCGATTCAACATGCGCTTCGAGAGTATAAAGATGTTGAAGTGCAGCATTCAGTTGAACAGTAGAAGCGAGGCCTCTTGTAGCTGCTGCTGTTGCTGGTTCGTTGGTGAATGTTGGTGTTTGGTGGTGTGGGTGGTGATGCGGTCAAACCAAATTTAGCTAACTCTACTATACTCCTGATCATTCAGCATGTGCATTGCATCTGTCGGTGCGAAATACTTGACAGTGCCTAAAAATATTCAGAAGGGTTAGTCAAACATTTTAGTATAATTTTTAAAATCAATAAATAAATAAATTAACGCATTGAGTTGGGCGTTTGAGAATTCCCCCAAATACGAATACAAACTAAAATTTCAATAAAGTTTTGTAATTTAAATAAAAAAGAACCAACATTTAGTTTAATTTTATCAATTTATACGTTTCCACTTAAATCGATTATTTGTAAGTATTAAAAGCTTTCGGCGATATAAACACTCATTTTATTTTTTTTTAATTCAGTTCACTTATGTACATTTAAATTAAATAAAAAAGAAATAATATGGCTAAGATTATCATCGTCTCTGATATGTATTCAAAAACTTATTAAAGTTTACTTAATCAGGGGGTAGTATATTAAATTCACTTTGAGCCATTTATGTCTGCTATCTGTAGTCAATCGTCAAACAGTCTATAATAAAAACTATGGCAGACGTGAGAAGTGGTATATATATCGATTTTATGGTTTATGGCATTTTAAGCACCATTGCCATACAGGGGTTGTATCTATCTACACTGTACTTTAGTATGTTAATACTATTTTAAATTCATGAAACTAGCCTTTTTCTAAAGTTATTGAAAATGCTTCCATACAAAAAGAGTTTAAAAAAATTGTGAAGGGAGGATCAACTCAAGTCGACTTCACGGAACCCGTCTCTATCTTTATCGTCAGTATTTTTAGGCTTGGCTGTCTCCAAGGATGCAGTGGCTGAGGCTGTGGCGGAGGCGGAAGTGACCCTACCCTTACCATTTTCGTCAATGTTGGTGCTGCGCTGCAGGTATAGTTGAATGGACACGTGAATCACGAAGATAATGAAGGCGCCTATTCCAAAGATCTCAAAGGTGGTGCGTGCGGTGACAGACTCAAAGAGCAGTCCTCCAATCAGGCTGCCCATGGACACACCAACACCCTCGAAAATCGCTCCAACCAAACTCTGCATCGAGAAAACATAAATGAAATAATTGTTTCTCCTGCTTAAAGTTATACAACCCACCTGCATGGTAGCCTCAGTTCCAGGCGGTGCCACAATGCTCGCATAGGAGGCCATTGTGGCATAAAACAGCCCGAAGGTCACCCCATTCATCAGTTCGATGGGCAGGATGTACCAGGGGTTCTGCAGCATCGAGTACAGAATAAATCTCACTCCAAAACCGAAAAGCACCATACTCATGGCGTTTATATGCCCAATCTTCTTGAGGATCCAACCGGATAGAAAGAAGAAGGGAAGCTCGCCGCCGAAGCACTGGATCCCCATGACTAATCCCTCCAAAGTCTTAATCGAGCTGTCGCATCCCTCGAACGCCTTGTCTAGCTGCTCTAGATAGATGAACAGGAAGTTCCAGATCAGAGCAGTTCCAAGTCCAATGGCCACGCACCACAGAAAGAAAATGACGCAGCGCAGCGAGAGGAACATCTGACCAACATCCTTCAAAATGTTGGAAGACAAATGTGTCTGTGTGTGCTGGAAAATAAAATATGGCAATAATAAAGTCGGTTGATAAAAACTTAAGCTTAAGCTTAAGCTGTTTATGGGTTCCTTTTTGAATAATCTTTAATATACTCACCCTCAGCTTGGATGAGGCGAACACATCGAATCCCATGATAATCAGAGCCATCCAGAAAACGGCCGTGTAGTTCTTGTCCACCTCTCCCACGGACATGTGGTCCACAAGGACGCCGGCCAACAGGGCGAACACACCCCAGCCAAGGGAGCCGCACAGGCGCTGCTTGCCGTACAGGTGATGACGATCCCCCAGGATGCCAAAGCAGATGGCGTCTCCGATGCTGACCACCACCGCCATGCCGATCCAGCTGAAGATGAGCAGGCCGAAGAACAACCAGAATTGCGGCATGGACATGGCACTGCTGGTGTTGATCACCGCACTCTCCGCCAGCTGCTCCTTGAGGTAGTCCTCTTGGCAGTCCATGGTGCAATTGGCTTTGAAGTACTCCTTGCTCGCCGGACAATTGAACGTGACATTCTGGCCCGCAATCTGGCCTCGGTCATGGGGCACCATGAAGAACATGCAGCGCTTGTCGTCCACGATGTCCTGCATGTTGATGCCGGTTCCAAAATCCATGTGGGAGTTGGTGCGATTGGCGGCGCAGTTGTCCGTCTTGTTGTGCAACCAGTCCTGGCACACAATGTCCCACATGAAAGGCTGCGCCTCGCAGTTCAGATGGCACGCCAGCGACCGATTTCCGTAGTACTGCTCCAGATTCTTTTCGACACACTCGCCGTACTCGGAGCAGAATCTCACATTGGAGACACCCGCATGGCAGTGGAACTCCACCTTGGGAAGCGGCTTCTCCATGCCCGGCACGAACATGATCAGGAAGAAGGCGATGCCCGTGAGCACTTGGCCCCCAAGGAAAAGCGATCTGTGGCGGTGGTACCTTCAATTGGAGGGAAAAGTAATTTTATTATTATCGATTGCTTTCAGTGACTTGGAAAATGGTTAAATTAACTTACTATCCAACAAAATTATGTTCCTCTTCAGTACATAAATTGTATATAAATTACTTAATTATTTTCTATATCATTGTATGCAAGTGAGCACAAAAATATAGCCGAAAATATCTAACTAATCGGTTTGCCATACCATTAAACTATCAAAAAGCTAAAAGTAATTGTATGAGCAGTGAGCATTTATTTTAATTGATATATTAATTCAATCGAAATATCAAGCTAAGTTTACCGATAATAGACCCTTAATTTAAAGCAGTCTTTATTTAAAGACCAATAAAACTAATGTTTTAATCAGTTAATAAACTGTTCTGTCTTTTTTAAATTTAAATAAACAAATGCACATCAACTTGTATTTGACTAAAAGAAAATTTATCAAGTTTCTCGGAACTGGGAAAACATTTTCAGATGGTTAAAAATACAACTGTGATACAATGATAAGATATGGAAAATGTTCGTGTCTTGAAATTTCAAGCTCCATAAAAGTAGGATTGTGTAAGTACAATAAAACACGTGAGACTAAAATCTTAACACAGATTAGTTAGATTATCTTACCGGTCTGCAATGTAGCCGAAAAGAGGCTTCGCCAGCATTCCGATGATGGGCAGAATCATGTACATGGTGCCCACAACCGCGGGGGAGTATCCCAGCTGTCCGGCCAAAGTCGGCATAAAGGGGACGACGGGAGCGGTACCTAGATAATAGAGCAGAAAACAACACTTGATTATCTTACAGATGCGTTGGAGCTGATAAGTGGGTGAGTGAGTGGGTGGAGATATGCATATGGGCAGTTAAACATGACAATCAGTACAAATGTATGTCTAGTAGTGGGTGTTTCTCCCTCACCGATAAGCAAAGTCAACCGCAAACAAGTGGAATTAGGTATCGTCTACTCGCTTCGAAGTAGAACTTATTGTTAATTGAAAAAGAAAGAAAAAGTAAGTTTTAATTGCTGAAAGTGGTTTGGCTGCCGGCACGTCTTAACTTTTGATGAGTTTCGGGGAGCGGCAGGTCACTGTTCCATTTGGGGCTGTCACTAAATGTATTTTCTTTACCTTTACCTTTGCCCACATTTAAAATTAAATTGCGTTGAGAGCCTCTCGTTCGTCACTTTGAAAACGGTTTAGTCATGGAATAAACAACTTTGGAAAATCCCTATCTCACGTTTGTGTTAGCATCTTCAACAATGCCCTTCTTTATAACATTATAATCCTCTCAATAAAAGTAAGCAAATAGACAAAGTGCTAGCTAACATCAGCACAGAAATTACTTTCTTAATATTAGGATTTCTTTACTGTTTTGATTAAGTTCCATTTTAATCGAAAAGTCTTGAACAAATCTTGTTTCGTTCCCTATAATTATGAAAACTAAAAGATTTATTGCAATTGGACCTATCTGATCTAAACAAAAATGAAATGTGAGTCAATTCCACCAATAAACGTCAGATTGGAAATTGTATAATTAGGTTTCCATGCCGCCTTAACTCAAATAAAGTGTTCAATTTATTAGAACACAGACATTGCCGTTTCGAATTTTCCATTCCTATATAAGACCAAAAAAATGTTTAATTAATATATGTGATTCTTCAGAAAAAATTGTTCTTTATTCGATGGATATGCTATCCATGACCAAAGCAATTTATAAATTGGGTAGTTAATATTTTAAAATTATTTACTTTTATAAAAAATTTAATTCAAAGTTTAATAGTATTTAACAACATAATTATTTAAAGATCCATATAAGAAATAGGGAAATTATTAGCAAAGCTACGGTTACAAGATCTAAACCTAATTAAATTGCTTGTTTTGCAATCAAAAGCCAGCAATTTAAGAGCTCTATCATTTGCTGAGAATCGTAGCCCGATTCGGCTTGCATTTGCTTATCGCTGGTTTATTGGACTTTCTGTCCGGTACAGCTGGTGTTCTATGTGTGTTCTATGTTCTCTGTTCTATTACTTTCTTATCGCTGAACGTAATGTATGTAAGCGTTTCGAGTGACGAAATCGAAACCTGGGATCGAAAGTTTGCCATTAGTAACACATAATTTAACCTTTGGCACGTGCGTGCGTCTAAAAACGGGAAAAGCTTATCGGCTGATGTAAGCGATGCGCGGTACTTAAAATAATGGATTTCTGGGGGGTGTGTTCGGGGGGAGTTACTTACCGGCATTGAATAGAAAGTAGTGCGCCTTCATGGGCAGCAGCTCCTTATCGATGGTGGCCTTCATTTTGCCGTAATTACGTTGACCCGCGCCGAAAAGATCAATACTAATTGCGTTTTATCGGTGCTAAATACGCCCGTTTTCCAGTTCATTCACAAAAAATGCAAAGAAAAGCAGAAAGAGCATGTGTTTTTAACTCACACATGCAAACTCGTGTGCATGCAGGTGCCGTTATATGCATGTGTGTGTACCCGGGATCACGTTTCTCTTCCAATTGGAATTCGGTGCATCGGCAATATTTGTTTTTGGAAGAATCAACACATTTCGCTCGTCGAGTAATTAGAACGCTTGGCAAGTGCTCGCATTTTTAGCTTAAATTAACAGAGCGCAAAATTCAATCCACGGAAATTGGAGGCAGTCCGGCTATACGAGCATCCAAAACACGACTGATTCTGATTGGAACCGCTGGCGCTTCGTTTGTTGTGCCATCAGATTAAAACCATGCTCGGTTTTATTAGCACCGCTGAAATAAACTTAAAAATAAACGTAAGTCGCCGACTCAGCTGATTAAACGGTCTAGGGATGGGACATAGTCGAGCTAGAGATGACAATCGATTGGCCAGGGACTCACGACCTTTATCGAAATCAGCGAAATATTTAAAATAAAATTGAAGGCGTTATAAGCAGTTCGAAAAAAAGCGAATTTTGAAACCTTTTTCTGGAATAACTATAAAATGTAACTATCTGATATTTCTCACACATATTATGTTATATTTTAACTATATTTTAAGACTAAGTATTGGAAAAAATATTTATTTGGAAAGGAGCTGCAGCTAATCTCCGGAAGCGAAACTAAAAGATCAAACATCGTTTGATCGTTAAAGTATTGTAAAATTATGAAAATGGAAAATCGTTTGATCGTTAAAGTATTGTAAAATTATGAAAATGGAAAATAGTTTTTTCAAAAAAATGAGGGTAATTTCTTGTTTAAAATAATTTACTACATATAAATTGTTGTTTGGCAGTAATTAACTGGTAGCCCCAAAGTTCCCTAGAACTAAATGCCATGTCCTCCATCTGACAGAGATATTTAGCACAATTCCAAGGAATTGGAGAACAAAAACGAATAGCAATTTCTTTATGCACATTTATATACGCATTTCATTTGTACAATTTCTCTCGAACTAGTGGGTAACTTATAATTACAATGACTCTATGCGTGAGATGGGGAACTCGGGGAAAACGGGGCTAATTGCAGACGGGCCCTCATTCGTAGATGTGGCTGTAGTGCTGCTGGTATACGTGTATGTAGTTCTCCTTCTCCTGCGGTGTCATTTGCGCTATCAGGTTGTCGTCCAGTTGATCGAGCGGATGCGGCCGTCCTGCCACCAGCACAGTCGGTACATCGTCCTCCTCCTCGGCGGAGTCCGAGTTGATATAATTGTCGAAATCGACATCAGCTGTAAAATATAAAATTGTAATATTTAAATGGGAAATTTGAAAGAATTTTGTAAATAACTTCTTAATTTTAGGTTGTTTTCGTTGAGAATTGGATACCAAACTTCTACTTTCAGACTTTCTAAATTTAAATATAAAAGTAAGACCCTTACGAATCTTGGCGTTGTCGATGTCCTTCTCATCGTCACTGGAATCGCTGGAGTTGGCGTTCGAGGAGCCCACACGCATGCCCTTCATGTGCGGCTCCTTCTGGCCCGGCTGCTTCTCGTGCTGCAGAAGGACGGACATGATGTCCTCGTTCTCCTTGCGGTTTCGATGTCCGGATCCGCTGGCCGTCTGCACTGCATCGGCCGCGCCATCGGCAGCATCCGTGTCGGTTATCACAGTGCTTTCGGTCATCCAAATGGGCCGCGATTTGCGCTCGACCACGGCGTCCGAGGTGTCGTCGCCGCCAATGGTGACGTCCACGCGGGTTTCCTCCACGGCAAAGCCCTGGTTACGCGTCGCCTCACCCGACCACGCCATACCATCTGGTCGCATGGCGTTGGGTTTGTTCAGTCCTCGAATGGTGTCAATGTCCACGGGCTCCGGTTCGAGCACCTCCGGCGCCAGCTTTATGCCTTCCACTTCCCGGAGCAGGTCGTAGAGCGGTTGGAGCTGCTCGTTGAAGTGGGCCAGCAGCAGACGCGAGTCTTTCTTGGGCATGGCGGCGCTGTCCTCCTCCACAGAGCAGCCGCAGAAGGTGCAACGGAACTCCAGGGTGGTCATGTCGAACAGCTGATCTGCCTCGAGGTCCGTGAACGTCTTGGAGCACGTGGAGCATTTGAAACTGGCCCTACTTGTGGCGTCTCGCTCCTCCGTCTCCATGCGCTTGCGCATCAGATCCAGCTTGTACTTGACCACATTCACAAAGGTCTTGTAGTTGATGAAGTAGTAATTGACCTTCTGGGCCTTGCCGTCCGGCCCCGTTTCCATTTTCAGCCGTATCTGGATGAACTTGTCGGTTCGCAGCGTCGTGATCCTGGCCCTCAACTGCTTCTTTTCGAAGCGCAGCAGTTCGCCGATGTCGTCTTCCTTCATGCAGGGATTTCGCACCAGCATGTCGATGATGAGCGCGTCCTCCAGGGAGTAGAATCCACGGACCACGAGGCGGGCCAGTTGCTTTAGGCTGCTGGGCACTTCGGTCACGTAGCGCACCTCCGTTTTCGCGGGCGCTGAATTCGAGGCAGCCGCCGATGTCGACGACATCGTGGGCTTATCTGGGGGATCGGCAGTATATATAGTTTAAAATGCTTGTTGACTCCTGGCGACTCCCACGCGACTCACCAGTCTCTCTGGGATCCGGAACACCTGGAGCAGCTCTCTTTTTCCGTTACTCACAGGTCGCTGGGTTCGGGGATCTTCATGGGCTACCCAGCAAGCATCTGTTCCTTATATTTACGTATTTTAGTTGTTTTTCTACGGCAAAGATGATAATTTCCGCCGCCAAATAGCGGTGGACCAAAAATCGATGGCTTATTCGATAGAATATGGCATTAAAAATCAATCGATATCGAATAATGATATCGATAATTTGAAAATCAACATATTAAGCAATTACCCAAACCAAATTTGTGCGCTCACTTTGGGGCATTGCCACATCAAACATTTTTAAATTCAAATTTTCACTTTGGCGGTTACAAAATAAACCACAATCTTTTAGAGGTCATTTTCGTAATCATTTAGTTATAAACTATTTTACAATCCCAAATGTTTAGACAAATATTATGATCTTTTTTAAATAAATATAATTAGGTATTTCCATAAATAAATTAATACAATACAATGATAGTTTATTTTCCTGATAATGTAAGCTAAAATCAAACTTCTGAGAAGTAAAATACCAAGGACTCTTCAATGATATTCCACGAGTATTTGTTTTTACTTGTTTTCCTTATTTGCGCTCTGGCTTTTTAGAGAGCTTTGCATATGAGCGCTGTTTGCTTTCAAATGGTTTTGGCCGCACAAATAAGTGAAAATAATCCAACAAGTCGTTCTCTCGCCGCCGCCTTATGCCCCTTTGTTTATCCGGTCGAAGTGCTTAATATTTCATGCTCCACTGTCTAGGGTCGTCTATTTTTTAATGCGAACTTCGCCTTTCGTTCGAGTGCATTCCGGTGTAATCCCCCAGAACGACGCTCGCCCACACGAAAAACATCCCGACTACACAAACAAAGCAGCCACCGCGGTGGTGGAAATTTCCTGGGGTCAGAGGTCGGGGGGCAGACGTCCTCCTGCGTGTTTATTTGGCTGCCAACACACTTCTGTTGTCCTCGATGAATGTCATGGATATAATTGGGCACACAACGCCAAGTCCGAATCAGCTGCTTCGTGTTTACGAATGCAAATTTAACAGGCAGAGCGGTTGAAATTTATCGGACATGGAATAGACATGCAAGCAAAACTGGACTTTGGACACGAATTAGTTCAAAATATTTAAACGGAAACCCTCTAAACAAGGCGCTTGGGTTTTCCTGAAAAAAGTATGAATGCCAATAACTGAAAATATTTATACAAGCTCAACTTTCATTGCTAACGGCTTTAAAGTGAAAAATACACTGAGAAATCGAGCAAAAGTACAAGGTGCAAGGGCAGAACCAAACCATGTTAATAGGAAAATCCGTCTAAAAATGTTATTTTAATTAAAAAAATATATGGTGTCTTCTTGCTTTTTTAAATACGCTTAAAAATGTAAGATATAAATAACCTAAATAAATAAAAAATATTTTACAAAATAAGTCATCTGCAATTATTAATGAGGACAATTTAGGATTTATGTAGCATTAAATTATTTGAAATAATTAGACAATAATGAAATTAATGAATAAAAAGTTACTGCAAAAATGAGAAAAACTGTTTACAGTGCAGACTTCTGCACGTGAACACCCACGGGCGATCATCCTGCGGAGCTGCCTAAATTCTTCGGAAAAGCCCTAGATTTTCGAAGGGTAGGTCACCCCCTAAAACTCCACCTGAGCTTGTTTACCTTGCTGGGACTTGCAGGGCGCAGACTCTGCGAGAAGATGGACAGTGGAGTAGTCCCAAAGTGGTTGGTCGCTTTTCCGAGAAACAGCATATTGAGCACCCCGAGCACTACGTCCATGGGAAAAGCTTTTCCGCGCGAGAAGGAGAGAGCACTGGCCAATGCGCAGGCTCCGTCTCTTTCGTTGCGGGAAAAACAGAAACAGGCTTTCCCACTTTCGCTGGTGACATCCGCCTGCAGTTTGAATTTTGAGTCGTGCGCGCTAACGCTCGTTTTCCTCGCTTTTCCGCTCGACAATTTTCCACCGCGGCCACAACAATTACAGGCGACAAAAGCGTGCAAGCACTTTTTTTGTTTTCAAACGTTTTACTGCAATCGCCTTCGCTGTCTGCGAGACGGTGGACTTTTTGCGGCTTTGGTTTTTCCGTTCGCGTGTGTTTTCTTTCGGTGTTTTGTGTTTTCCGTTTTCCGCTGCGAATACGGGACCCAAAGGAAAGCCACGATAAACACAAAGGAAAATTGGGAAACCGCGGCGCCGCAACTTTTGCCAAATTGATTTTTATTGTGTGAGACGCCGAGTTCAAGCATTATATAAAGAATCTAGCAAGGAAAAGGTTGGTTTCATAAACACCCAACAACATTTTTAAAATATTGAAATATATTCAAAAAAAAAATAAGAGACATTTCCTTGAGTTAATGCAATATTTTTGTTGGCTGCACGTGATTTATTGTTGGCCAGTTTCACCCTAAGGTGTGGAAACTGTAGCGCTTACCCTCGAAAAATAGAGAGCCGGTCGCTAACCGCCCCCCAGAGGGTGGCGCCACCCCCCGCCCACCGTCCACTCGTCTGTGATGTCATACCACCCACCACCACCCATCGACATAATCGCAATAATGGTCTTAGACATCCTGGCGCGTCCTCTCACGAGCGCTTGATTAAGCGCATTGATTTGCGGATTTCTTTATCGACTCCTTTGCATATCGCTCGATATCTGAAAAACTATCCATCATCATCGACTGCATATATGCATATATATACCATGTACTAACCATGTATATAGACGGCCTACTCCACAAATCAGGTCAAA